CTCTAATATCAACTATTAATTTCCTTAACATGAACAGGGAGATTCTTAAAAATTGCGTTTTCCTGACAATAAACAATGGTAGAGAATTCTGGATAGGGCCTACAAGCTAATAATTTTTAGAGTTGAAAACGTGCTATGATTTGTGCATTATTTTTTAGATGCAGTTTATTCTTCCTTTTTGAAGATGCACCTATTGAAAATGTTCCTACGATCCAGGTGTGTGGTCTAAGAGATAGTCTACACCGGCAGTCCATTCCTTGCTTCTCACCCAGAGGACTCTGGGTTTACAGGGGTAACTCCTCCTGTGGCACAAGGCACCGTAGTCTCGAGAACCACATAACATTCTGCTCCAGTTTTTACATCCCAAGTTACATCTGCTTATTGCTTTTATTTCCTGGTATGTTGTTTTGCACACAATTCCACTTTAGTTGCTTATACATTGCATTTATGATTCCTTCCCTACCTCAACTTTTAATTCAATAGATTAAGGAACTTAGAAGTATGTATGAATTTGTGTACAGCAACTGTGACTGGGCCACCTGTTGACGGGTGGTGGTAACAGAACCGCTGAAGAACCAACGCCAACAACTGGGGAGCTAGCTACCCACTAGGCCCCGGGTTCTGAGTTGGCAGAACTTGTCACCATGGCCTACCAACTTCACCTGGAAGAAAACTAGCCTACACCCAATCAAGGGATCCCCAGCTATCAGGGTTTGGTGGCATGTGCGTCTCTGTAGTAATGTCTGTGGGGTTCAGTACCTAAGACTCTGCCTGGCTACATTGATACTGCAAATTCTCTCTCTCTCATGTAGTTATCCACATGTTCTTCTGGGATAGTGACCACTTTACAGTTCGATTTGGCTGACAGTGCACTGAACCTACACCAACGTGGGTGAAACTGTGATCCAGGTAGGAAATATGCCATTGGCTACAATGATCATTTGTTTTTAGTATGTTTGAAGTTTTAACTACATTAGTTAACAATTTTCAGCCTCTGCTAATGCAAAATCTATTTAAATCACTGTTTCTGTTAAATAGATAAATTGGAGAATACATTTTAGAAAAAGAACAGAGATCTGATCTTTAACATCTTTCTTCTAAATTCAGGGTCTTGCAGACAGTAGCTCACAGATCAAATCTGGCCCACATTTGTTGGCCTGCAGGGTAAGAAGGCCTTACATTCACCATGTTTATACAAGTACCTACCTGATAGCCTCAAGTTTACCTTTTGGCCCAAAAGAATGAAACAATTCCTGTATGGCTCTCAAGGCAGTTGGCTAACTCCTCTAAAATTTTTTCCAGAAAGTTTAAATAATAGAAAATATTAAAAATAAATTACTTCAACTTGAACAAACTCAAACAGCTAAATTTTGTTTATGAATAAGCTTACAAAATTTTAACATCAAATCTGCCCCAAATTCCAACGCTCGTTGACACCCTGCGTGGAGTCGCTCGGTAACTGCGTGTTTAGCCCCGAGGAGCCAGCAGCGCTGCACAGCATTTAACTTGACATTCCCCCCAGAAACGCACTAGGCTGCAACTCCTACAGTCTAGCCAAAACCCTTTTTCGACTCTAGCCATCCTAGTGGGTGTGAAGTGGCATCTCACTATGGTTTTGATTTGTATTTTCCTAATGACTGATGCCATCCAGTCTGTTTTAATGTGCTTGTTGGCCATTTGCATAGCTTCTCTGGAGGTTTATGCAAGTCCTTTGGGTGCTTGTCATTTGTTGAGTTGTAAGAGTTCTTTATATGTTCTAGGTACAAGACCCTAATCAGATATACGATTTGCAAGTATTTTCTCCCATTCTGTAGGTTTTTTTTCTTTTATGAATGTATTCTTTGCACACAAGTTTTTAAAATCTTAAGTCTGATTCATTTTTTTTTTCTGTTGCTGGTACTTTTGGTGTTATGTTATGAATCCATTACCAAATCCAAGGTCACTAAGATTTACTTCTGTGTTTTTTCCTAAGGGTTTTATAATTTAGCACTTTTAAGTTTTTGATCCCTTTGGAGTTAATTTTTGTATATAGTGTAAGGTGATGTCCAACCCTATTATTCTGCATGTGGCCATCCAGCTGTCCTACAACCGTTTGTTGAAGAGACTATTCTTTCCCCACCAAATGGCCTTGGCACCTTTGATGACTCAATTAACCACAGGTGAATAGGTTTATTTTTGGTCTCTCAATTCTGTCCCATTGCTCAATATGTCTGTACTTCTATAGGTACCACAGTTTTAATTTAGCTTTGTAGTATTAAATTGGAAAGTGTGAGTCCTCCAACTTTATTCTTCTTTCAAGATTGTTTTACTATCTAGGGTCCCTTCCATTGCCATGCGATTTTTAGAAATAGCTTTTTCATTTAGCAAAAAGGCCTTCGGGGGGGTTTCACTGGGATTGCATGAAATCTGTAGCTTGCTTCACAGAATACTGCTGTTTCAACAATATTCTTCTTGCAATTTGTGTCCATGGGATGTGTTTCCACTGACTTAGGTTTCCTTTAATCCGTTTCAACGATGTTTTGTAGTTTTCGGTGTACAGTGAGTCCTCAAAGTCACCGCAAGGTCCTGCAGCTTCAAGTGATGTATAATAAAACCAATTTTACCACAGGCTAATTGATACAACGAGAGTTACGTTCCTAAGGCATCTCTCATCATTAAAATGAACCATTTAACACAATGTTATCTGAGGTCCTGCTGTACAAATCCTGTACCTCCTTCATTAAATTTTTCATTATGCTGCTGAATTCAGTAGGCGAGTAATTTTTACATGTATATTCAAAAGGGATACTGGTCTGTAATTTTTTTGTGTGTGCCGTGTTTTATCTGGGTCGGGCTCTACAGTGATGCTGGCCTCGTACAAGGAGTTAGAAATGCTTCCCCTTGTGCTTCTGGGAGACCGGAGAAGGCCGGTGCTGTTCCTTGGGCTTGTGACCACTGATTCATCTTTCACTTGGGACAGACCTGTCCACACTTGCTGCTGCTTCGTGAGTTAGTTACTGGGAACGTTCCATTTCATCTGAGTTATTTAATCTCTGTTGGTGTTAAATTGTTCATAGAATTATCTTTTCTATTTCTGTTAGGTCAGTATTAATGTCCACATTTTTCATTTCTGATTTTAGAAATTTTAGTCTTCTATTTATCTTCGCCAGTCTAATGGTTTATCAATTTTCTTGATCTTTCCCAAGAACCACCTTTTTTGGTTTTATTAATTTTCTGTTTTTCTATTCTGTTTTTTAAATCAACGGTCTGATATTTATTATTTCCTTCCTTCTGACAGCTGAGGATATAACTTGATATTCTTTTCCTAAAGTACAAGGTTAGGTTAGTGATTTGACAGCTTTCCTCCTTTTCCAGCCATAAATTTCCCTGAGCACTGCTTTCCCTGAAGGAGTAAGTTTAGGTATGTTGCATTTTCACTTGTTCCAAAGTATATCTTATTTCCCTTGTAACTTCTTTGACCCATTGGGTATAACTGGAGAGTTTTTTTTTTTTTGGCGGTACGTGCCCCTAGTGGGAACTGAACCCGGGACACTCTGGTCCGCAGGCCAATGCTCCAGCCGCTGAACCAAACCGGCCAGGGCTCACTGGAGAGCTTTAAGGAAGGGAGTGGTGTGGTATGATCTGTGATTTAGCAAGCACGTCTAGCTGTTAAGTGGATAAAGGGTTCTGGAAAGGCAAGTATGAATGCTGGAGGCTGTTAATAATTTTCTGTGTGGGAAAAGGATGTCAACACAGACAAAGGTAGTGACAGAAAGCACATGTGGGCATATTCTGGTAGTCAAGTCTGCAGGACTTGTCAATCACCTCATTGACCAAAGGAAAAGGAGAAATCAGGAATTGCTTCTTGGGGAATAAAAGTGACACTAATAAGGAAAAACAAGGTTCATTTTATTTCTTTGACAATGAGAAAGAACATAGAGGGAGAGAAATCAGGAATTACTTCTAGGAGGATAAAGAGCTGGGAGGAAGTAGGAACCTGGGATGATTATACATACAGTGTGGTGAGGATAAGTGTGATGTAAGAGTTAGTAGTTTTGTCCGTCTGGCCAAGGAGGAGGTAAACATGTTCAGATAGGGTTCTAAAGGCCTCACAGGGCAACACAGAGTTGCAACTCCTGAGTAGTAGTTAGTATTGTGGTAGAGTTGTCATTATCTCTTGAAACAGAATCCCTGCTACCCTATCAATAAATCTTAGCCGACTAAGAAGCAGGCCACTTGACGGATGACTTTAAATGCTGGCGGTATTCATACACTCTGCTACCACTAATCAGGCAAGCGAGAGTGCGGCCGCTTGGTACTGTCCTGTACTTTGTACCTCTGATTGGAGAAGGATATTTTGTTTGAATGTTTGTAAAATAGGAAAATAATGATTTTAATATTTATCCAAATGACATAGCATTTATTTCAACTTTAATTGATATACTATGCAATTACAGCAAACTAAATATGTACTCCTTTTTATAATCTTGCAAATTACTACAATGAATAGAAGCTTAATAAATACTTGTCAAGACAGGGTGCTGTGAGTTAAGATGTCTACCCAGAATTAAAATAGAGACAGTATAGTTATTGTTTCAGGCTATGTAGCACCTTGGAGCCATGACTGAATAATAAATCTACTCTCCCACATTTTAAATCAGGCTTCTCTGAGTGAGGCTGAATTTTTTTATTACTTATAAATATTCTGAACTAGTAAACAAGTTTTAGTAATACAGTTTAGTCCAAACTGTATTTATTTAAAATATTCTTTAGATGATAAATTTTAATTTCTTAAACTAGTTTTATAAAAATGTAATTAAGTATAGTTAACTCAGTAATGTCTGTCTGATGCAAATATATTACAACAAAAACAAGCCGATAAAGAGTGGCATTGTACAGACAAGCTTGGGGACTTCAGGTCAGGGGCACTCTTGCCCGGGCGGTGTGTATTTTCCTTGTACGGCTACTTTGGCCTTCCCTCGGTTACATACAGAAAGGAACTGGAGAGAACTTGAGAACAGCTAGATCTCCACGTTGACGTTTCCTTCACAAGCCATGAATAATGAAAACAGCCCTCTGCGGACATTGAGCAGCTCCTCTTCTTGCTGTGGCCACGGAAAAGAAAATCACATTCACTTATATTTTAAGTGATTAGTGTCAGGAAAATAGAAAAAAAAAAATCAAGCTATTATTAGGGATTCATTTTAAAACAACCCCTTCCATACAGTATGATGTATCAGCCTCTGCTCTCCCTGGATCTACTCCTAGATGTCTACAAAGCTTGGGGATCATCACTGGATAACCAGTTGAGAGAAGACCTTCAATCCCAAGTCAATGAGATTTAGTTTATTTTCTTCCTTTAAATACTAAATCTAAGTATAGTCTAGGAAACAATTTCAACAAGAATCACTCTAGTGAGCTTGTCTGCTTCAAGCTAAACATCCTAATCTTCATTCATATTTCAGCATGCTGGGCCTCTATTAAAATGTATCACACACATTAATCTACCCTATGTAAGATGAGTACCAATGTGCATGAAAATGCCTGCCCCACAGAATCTCCAGATGCCTGCAGTCGGAGGGGTGCCTTTAGACCCCACACAACTGTGCTTGCCCCAGAACCAGCTGCTGGGCTACTAGACCTTTGGAAAGTCACCTCCTTTTATCCCCAAATCTGTCAACAATGTCTTGGTGTCCAAGGGGACAATAATTCTTTTCGGGTGTCTTGACACCCCTTCTCTTTGAGAACTCATTCTTCTAGAGAATTGTTCAAGTGACAAATTGTCTTTTTTCCTTTAGTAGGGACTCTGTTTAAACTGCTCCTGTTATTTTACTATAGATACACTCCCATTCTAATTTAAATAACAAAGTCAACTGAGCTAGAACTGCTTCCTCTCAATCCAAAAGAAACAAAAACTATGAAAAAATCTCATTAGAAGAAATAAAGGCATGGTCATTTCCATGGTCATCCTAACTAGATAGCTGATTTACCATCTCCTTAAGAAGCCTGTCTTGCAGGACTCTCATGTTTGTTTTCATGGAGCACATCTGTAAAATAAATATATTTCTCCCGTGAGATTTACTATAAAATTTTCACAGCAAAAAGACAGACTAACCAATACCAAAATTATAAAATTTATACCTCAGATACACAAATAGTTTCTTCCCGATCAGTGTTGTAGAAGACATTTTTGTCCAATGAGGCTTTCAAAAGGTGAAGCCTAACAATTAAAATAATGACAGTTACATTTGTATTTATCAGGAATTCAAATTAAATCACTATAGTATATATAATTAAAAAATTTTAAATCTACTTTTATAGTTTCCAGTCATAAAAATGTCATACTAACCTCTCCTGTTCATTTTTTTGATAGGCACCCAACTTCTGAACTGTCTTTTCCCCAAAGTCCTAAATTTTAATACAAAAACGAATTATACTTTAATATCGTTAAATATTCAAAGTTGACAGAATTTACTATATTTCTATTCTTTCTAATACACAAGTTGGCTACATGCTAAGAATATTCCAGATATCATAAACTTTCAGATAAATAACAAAAGCAGACTCCCGCATGGTTTCTCCCTTGTGATCCGTAATTTAGGTGTTTGCATGAGACTGAAGAGCGCTGTGGTGGTCCCAAAAGCAGAAAGGTCAATAGAGGTGTCTTGAGTGTAGCTCTTTAAAATGAGGTTTTAAAATTATTTTTAAAATCTTAAAAGCACAAACCGCAAATTCCTTCTCTAAATCTTTTAAAGACTGTGAATCTTTTTCAAAATTCTCCAACTCTTTTATGATGCTGAACTGGAATTTATCAAGTTTTTTGATCCTATTAAAGACACAAAATAAGATTAATTTTTAAAAACGATAGCACTCAGAACATACAGCGTTCAGGAGAGATTTTTATTACACACCTGTATTCCTGAATATGATGGTTCATTGTTTTCAGGTGTTGTTGAGCTGTTTTCCAAGTCTGCTTTGTAAAATAATCCATCAGTTTGTGGCGAATCTGAAAAACACTCATTATTTACAAAATAATACTCTACATTAAAGACTACATTAAGAACAAAGCACTTTCCTGTTAGAAAAGTGAACAGCAGAGGCAGTGATTCACAGGGCAGTGCTAATGAGTAAGCTTAGAGCACGTCTGGCTCCATCAGAAAGGCTCTGACTAAGGGCTGCATCAGTAACTGATGATTTCTGTAAGGGCACCACACTCTACCATTTTTTTAACTGCTAGTGATTACAATTCTCTTCAGGAACATAGCCTTAAAATCACAGCAAGAATTATTTATTACCATTTTTCACAAAAACATAATCCCATGTGGCCACAGATGTGTAACAGTACATGACTGAGTCAGGGCGTCTCTGTTTAAAGGAGGCCGGAGCCTCAGTGACAAAGGAGACTGGTCAGCGTGGAATGGGCTCTCTGACTGAGGCTGCTCACCCTTTCGTACCCTCACTAGCAGTCACCTCTGAGATTAAAAAAAAGAGAAACCACACAAGAGTCAAAATGTTAAACCCATTAAAAAAGGACGGCAGGACAACGAGAAGACCTGTAGAAAAAAAGAATAAGGATAATGCCCAGAGTTTAGAAGAGAAATTTCCTCATGAGGTAAAAGGATTTCAGCTAGGAATCATTCCAATTCTTCACCAGTACATGAGGAAAGTTGAATTCATGAATGGGTATTTTGTTGCCAAAAGATCAAACAAGTGGATAGTCTAGTAGAAGTGGGGCATATTGTCCCATTGTTTGGTATAATTTAAATAACTCACATTAAATTTCTTCTTAGATTCTGAACTGAACTGCTCATCTGAAATCTCTGTTCCCACGTTCTTCCCGGGAACAGGAAGCTCATTTGTTGATAACGGAGATGTACTTTCAGACGCTAAAAAATGAAGGCAATCAGCCAAAGTTAAAATACGCACTTTTACTAATTTAATTTAGCCTTGTCATGAGGCTGAGAACAAAATCTTATTTTTAAGTTCTATAAATATTAAAGCAGGAATGGTAACATTAAAGTAGAACATTTTTAGATTCATTTTTTAACTGGTTTTAGCTACTTCATGTTATTAACCCAAGTATTTAATAACAACTAATTTCATTATAAGTTCACACTCTAGTACAACTTGTATGAGGTCATCAGTGATAGAAACTTGAGGGATACTGACAAGCGAAAAAAAGACCATTCCTGCATCAATCACATCAGTAAATTTGTGATAAAGCAGCATCCTTCTTGGACTTGACCAAAGTTGTCTTACAAAGGATTTGTTTTGTGGATGGAGTCATTTGCGATCAAAGAAACTATCTTCCCAAACAGCTGCATTTGGACATATGCATCCTGATCTACCTACTTTTGTGACAGTGATGATCTGCATTTTCCGTTTTAGACAGTTTTTGGGGAAGCAAGTTTGCTCTCCCTTCCTCTTCCAATCCTCCTTCATCAGGATTGATATCTTCTATGTACATTCGTTTGCGACTAAGATGGTGTGTAGGGCCTTAGAAACAGTTAAATAATTAATAGTGCTACAATTTTGGTAAAAATACCTAATACATATATCCTTGCTTTTATTAAAAAAACGTTTCATTTAATTATGTATATAATTTTAGGCAACTGTGCATTACATTCTACCTAATTCCTTATTTTCATTTTGACATTAACTTGAAATAATTCAGTATGACTTAAAATATATAATTCCTTTAGATGAAATTTCACAGCATTTCAGTAATTAACTTAAAAACAAAAGTAAGGCTATGAGTCCAAACCTGATACATGAACAGAGTTACAAGGCAGGTCAGATCTTATTTTCTCTTCTTCACTAGACATGGATAATGCAGATGCTGAATGACTTTCCTAAAATATATATCAACAATTGAAAAATAAGTACCGTAAGTACTCTTGGACTCACCTTTGACCATCTTTCTCAAACCTTCAAGCCAGTTAATTACAAAAGCTGTCAATTCTTTTTCAGATTGTTTCCCTCCCTCTTTTCATCTTTTTTATTTTTTTTATCCTCACCCGAGGACATTTTTTGCATTTATCTTCAGACAGAGCAAGAGGGAGGAAGAGAAGAGAAACATTGACATGAGAGAGACACACTGAGTGGCTGCCACCCACACGACCCCAACCAGGGCCGGGGACAAACTGCAACCGAGGTACGTGCCCTTAACGGGAACCGAACCCGGGTCTCTCTGGTCCGCGGGCCAACGCTCTAACCGCTGAGCAAAACCACCAGGGCTATTCTACATATTTTAAACATCAGATTTATGGATAATAGTTGTTGAAAATATTGTAATTATTAAAGGCCATAACTGATTCTTATCAGACCACCTTAGCTTAAGGAAAGTTTTGATGGCTGTACAATATATATCTCCTTTTTGCTTTGTATTCCATACAATTCAAGGTTCAATTTCCATAAACTTTTTTCTGAACAAGAACTGCTTACATCTGAATAGCTCTTGCAAATTTGTGTTTTTTATGTACCACAGAATTTACATTTTTTTCTATTCACAATAGCATTATTCTTAACTATATCTGGGCCTATGAATGAAGAAGACATATAGAAACCAAAAAAATTAAAACTATTTAAATTTTGAGGGAATAATTCATTTGCTGGAAAAATTCAACACCTATTCAAAATTAAAAAGAAAAGCCCTTAGACAATTAGAACATTAACTTGATAACAAGTATCTACCAAAAACTATGGCTCAGCCTGCCTGCTAGTACAGTATCTACCTAACATTGCTGCAGAGGTCCTAGTCACCTGAACAATAAAAGACCAGAAAATATAAGGAGTGGAACAGAATACACAGTTATCATGAATAACAGTTTATGATTCTCTATACTCAAAACCCAAGAGAATCTAGGCAGGTAATTCTGGTAGAATTGTCAAGGTTATGGGAGATATAAAATATCAATAGTGTATTTATATAAAAGCAAAAAATTAAACCCAAAAAACAATTTTTAAAGTTTTCTTTTTCAACACAATAAAAAGGAAACCTATAAGACACTTTGGAATTAATCTAACAAGTAGTATAACTTTCTGGTGAAGTTTTGGCACAACTTTGTTAAAAATAAGGCCAAAAAGTATAAAAAACTGAAATATGTGGATGAGAAAGCTCAATAACAATATTGGGAAATGGTAGGTAGTTATTTCCTTAGGCAAACTAATTCCAAAATTTATATGGACAAGTAAATGGCCTAAAGAATTTAGATGTAAGAGTGAGACCAGGTTGACTGGGGTGTGGGGGTGAAATGCCCTGTAAGTGTGAAACTTTTCAAGTAGTAGTGCTAGCACAGAGTCTGTTTTCCTGGTTGCCCCGGCTATGAGCAAATTAGCATTACAAATGATGGAGAAAGGAGTGGTGTCCCAACCAGGATGTTGCACTAATTCACTATCCATATGCAAAGAGAAAGCTTGAAAACATAAAAGTTAAAATCAAAACTAACATTTTTACAAGAAAATAAAATGTCTTTTTTTTTCTTTTATTATCTTCACCCAAGGACATTTTTCCATTTTTTGTTCAGGTAGAGTGGGAGAGAGAGAGAGAGAGAGACATCACGTGAAAGGGACACATCGAGTGGCTGCCACCCGCATGACCAACCAGGGCTGGGGACAAACTGCAACCTAGGTACGCGCCCTTAGTGGGAAGGAACCCGGGTCTCTCAGGACTGCAGGTCGACGCTCTAACCTCTGAGCCAAACTGGCCAGGGCGAAAATAAAATGTTTTAGGACAAAAGCTGAAGGAAGGGTATCTTGAACAACACAAAAGATTGATAAATTTCATTACGTCACATTTTTTGTCATATGGGTATTTTCAATCAAGTGGAAAGACAAGAAAAATACTGGAAAAAGAATGTTTGCATTGTATATGATCAATACAGAATTAATGTCCAGGCTATATTAAGAACTCCTACAAATTTGTAAAAAAAAAAATAGGCAATTCACAAAATGGCCAAAAAACATATGAAAACACTCGATGCTGTTAATCAGGAAAATGCAAATTAAAGTGAGACACATTTCACATGCTTCAGGTTGGCAAAAACAAACATCTGATTACAGCCTGTGAATGAAAACTAAAGAAATGGGCATTGTTGGTGAGGGTAATGTAAGCTGGTACAACTAATTGATAGAGCACATTTCCAATACCTCATTAAGATTACCCAGTAAATGGGAAACAAAATTTCTCATATGAATGTTCAGCCAATAAATGTGCAACAATTAAAATTCCATCTAGCACAGAGTAGCATTAAAGAAAGTGGGTGTGATTACCTAGGTTTTGAGATTTGAAGGACAGGATACTGGAGGGATCGAGGATTCCGGGACAGTAAGGCAGATAGAGCAGTACTGATAAAGGACCGTGGGATGAAGTTCAGTGGGAAACTTTCAAACTGTGGTCTGCAGAGACCGAGAGCCCTGCAAAGGTCCCTTGGGTGGGGTGGGGTGGGGTGGGCGTGGGGGGAGGCTGAGCAGGCTAAGAGTTAGAGCTACCTGCTCTAAACAGCATAGCTCCATTTTTATCTGTTTGGCACAATGGAGGTTTCACAAACGATTTTGTTTGAAAAATATGGTCTGTGAAGAAGACTACTGGTTAAACAGAATAAAAGGAACTTAAAACCTTCTAGAAATAAAAACATTGTTTAAAGTGGTAGAACACAAGGTTGTTTTTAGTAGAGGTTTTGGAACTTGGCTATAGGTGTTCTGAACTATCATTAATCCCATCTTCGTTAGTACATATCAAGAGAATTTACTATATAAATTATTTGAGTATTTACAATGTATCAGGTATTATGCTTACATAAGACTATTTAATTTTTCACAGCCCCATTTTACAGGTGAGAAAATTGAGGTAGAGGGGATCAACTTGTAAAATGTTAGAGGCAGCAAATAGGGGAACCAGGATTTAAACACAGTTCTGTCTGACACAAAACTTTTTCAACTGTATTGTTGCTGTGAACTGTCTTATCTTGGCGACCAGTTCTATAACTTTGTTACTGCTTCCAAATTCTCCAAATTGAGCCATGGATAACACTCAGGCAAAAAAGGGGGGCAGGGTTGAGGTGGGGAGTGGGGGGGTATAAACTGGTACCAAAGTATTCACAACTTAAAAAAAGGCAGAACTCCAAATACATTTTTACATATCTCTCTCTCTCTAACCCATAACTGATTCCGATTTCTTATGTCTTTTTTTATCCTCACCCAAGGACATTTTTCCATTTTTTGTTCAGATAGAGTGGGAGGGGAAGAGAGGAAGAGAGAGAGAGAGAGAAACATCGACGTGAAAGGGACACATCGAGTGGGCTGCCACCTGCATAACCAACCAGGGCTAGGGACAAACTGCAACTGAGGTACGTGCTCCTAGCGGGAACCGAACCCGGGTCTCTCTGGACCACAGGCCAACGCTCTAACCGCTGAGCCAAACCGGCCAGGGCTAATGTCTTTTAAAGACTTTTGAGCATGCCTACATGTTTTATTAAGAAATGATACATATAACACATAAAAGGAATTTTTCTCTATATTAAATCTGTTGATATTCATGCCGCTTACCTACTAGTTTTCAAGTTCCTTACGAAACTCTGAAGTAACACTCCAGCCATACTGTTTTCAACTGCACTCCTTAACAATCTGCTCTGTCAGCTGGTGATCTGGTCCCTAAGGCTGCAGAGCTCCAGCCACGCGGCCTCGGAAAGAAGCGCCGGTGCTGCGGGACTGAGCCTCTCACGTCTGGAAAGCCAACGCTGTCGTGTCCGTGTGCAGCGGCCCGCAGCGGCCCTCTGGAAGCCACCCCTCCCGTCACAGGACTCTGCTTCTCACCCCACCTCCTCCTGCACAGCAGCTATAATCGGTCTGTGAGGTTCACCGAGCTTATTTTACTTACCAGGAGGTTCCTTCTCTCTCCTAGACCAGACGCAAAAGCTAAAGCTAAGTACATAAGCAATGTGTGTCTAATTAAGGAAAAACATAGAATCTTACCGAAGAGAATGACTGTGGAATTGGTGAGCAACTTTCTCTTGCACATAGTAAATTTTTCTCACCGTTTTTCAGTGACGTTATTGGACCTCCAACTCCATATTTACCGTTGGAGGAGTCAGGTGATGAAGTTTTTGCAGGTGATATGGATTTTGTTACACAGTCATGATCCTGAGTAAAATCCCTTTCTGTTGTTTTCTCTGTCCCTGTATTGCCTCACAAAACACAAATAAAGACGGCAGGTGTTATTGATGTCTGTTTTAGAATAGCACAGTTAATTTAAATTCTAAGAGACTACATAATTTATCAAAACCTAATAATGTTTAAAATATTAAGAAAATATTAAATGGCTTCATTTTAAATGTAATTGTAGCCATAAGAACGGTTTGGCTCAGCAGTTAGAGCACTGGCCTGCGGTCCAGAGAGACCCAGGTTCGGTTCCCGCTAAGGGCACGTACCTCGGTTGCAGTTTGTCCCCGACCCTGGTTGGGTCGTGCAAGTGGCAACCACTCGATGTGTCCCTTTCATGTCGATGTTTCTCTCCCCCCCCCCCCTTTCTTCCTTCCCCTCCCGCTCTATCTGAACAAAAAATGAAAAAATGTCCTCGGGTGAGGATTAAAAAAAAAAAAATTATCTATAGTATATATACAATGCACTAAAAGGAGCAACCTGAGTATTTTGACATCAAGACTGTTATATATTAAAGTCATATAATTTTATGGTTGGAAAGGCTTGGGAAATCATTTGGTCTCAATCCTTCATATATAGATGAGGAAATTCATGGCTGAAATCTTAATATGAATGAGTTCTCAGACAGTTTTCAGATCAAATGAGGGCATGTGTATCTTCTGAGTATGTGCTTATCTGAGATGTGTTACCAGCGTATGAAAATATTCTAGAAAAGAACAAAATAGTCACTTTATGTATGTTAACTGATGTAAGTATTGAATTTTAACTGCAATTAGAAACACTTAGAAATGCTTTAAAACATCCTTTAAAGAAACTACAAACATAAAAAGGGCAAACATGAACAACTTCAGTGTCATAGTAATACTGTTCCCAAGTCTACTTACGCTTAGCAAAGATCAAGTTCTGAGCATTAACTGGTTTAGAAATAAAAATAACTACCTATATTCTTAATACACACCTCAAAGTTAGTCTTCAAATTATATATTCATGTAATTAGTTATAATAAAAAGTATTAAATATTCAACTAAAGAGAAAAGAAATACTGACATCTCATGACTTCTATAGATGATGGACTCCCAGATAAAGATACAGGAGATAAGTCAAGGCTATTATCTCTTATAGTACTATTTTTTAGTAGAGATGAGCTTGCCCATTCTTTTGATATATTCTTTTGTGTCGCCACAGAGAAGGTATTCTGCTGTTTCTTTGGCAGCTTCATGGTTTTGCTTCTGGAATGGATATTCTCCTCCTAAATGTATTGATAACTTGCAAATTATACTCGAATACAAGTAATTTAAATGACATTGCAATATTTAATACATGTCTTATATTACTACATATGAGCATAGCAGGGGTTGCACATGAGCAGTGAGACTTTAATACCTTTAAAGACATGAGACAAATTCACAAGAAATATAATACATATACTATGACAAATATCCTAAGAGAGACCAATAAAATAAGGTCAAAGGAGATTATATTTAGGTCAGGGAAAGCAGGGAGAGTCCCTGGGCCCCACAGCTCAGGAGTCTGGACAGGAGGGTGGCGAGAGCAGGCATACTGAGGGGTGAAGGCCCGCTGACAAATGGACTAGAGAAGTACAGGTCTCATCTGGAAGTCACAGGTATTCTGACTGTCACAGCTCTGGGGATACACTGAGGAGGAGGGGAAAAAGCTTGGAAAGGTTTTGATGCTCTGAATGTCTGATTACATGGAGATAGACACTCAGGGTGTTTCTCTGAAGAGGGATGAGAGGGTGGCCTGGGAAGACTCACCTGAGTATGTGTATAGTAAATTAACGTAAACAGTGAGAGAAAGCATGGAGATAAGTTACAAAGTCCTAATGTCTTCCAGGTAAGAGATGATAAGGGAATATGAAGGTTTAATGATTTAAAATGAGAACAGTGTAATGGCCAGAGACCTGCCTTTAGTGCCAGATTCTTGACTTCAAACCTTTGTTTTACCACTTCCTAGCTGTGCGGGCCTTGGCAAGTTCCTTCATCTCTCTGTGCCTCAATTTTCTCATTTGTAAAATGAGAGGTCAATAATAGGACTAATCACCTATAGTACTTATGAGATTTTAAGAAGTCAAATCTATAAAGTATATACAGTTTACAATGGGGTACGTCCTGGTAAACGCATTGTAAGTTGAAAATATGGTTAAGTCACAAATGCATTTACTACATCTAACCTGCTGAACTTCATTAGTCTCATCTACCTTAACTGTGCTCAGAACACAATATCCAAAACACGCTGGCAACACAGTGTCCTGAAGTGCTGGTTGTTGACCCTGGCAGTGGACCATGTGCCTGACTAGGTAGGTGCTGCAGCTCGCTGCCCCTGGCCACGTCAGAGAAGGGCACCACCCCACAGGGTGCTAGCCTGGGAAGAGATCGAAATCCAAACCTGAAGAACGGTCCCCACTGAATGTGCACTGCTTTTGCACCACTGTAGTCGGACACTGTGGAGTTGAACCATGTAAGTTGAGGACTGTCTGCACTTAAGATAGTATCTGGCATAGTAGAAACACTATTTTTTAAAACATTGTTAAAAAAGCTTTCAAGCACAGGTAGGTAGGGATGTAACGTTATGAGACTGAAGGAAGAAGTCAGGGACGGACAGATGGAACAGTGTATGAGAAGAACTTCAGATCCAGTATTTTTAATTTCAATCAAGAGAAAGATCCAGTTTCCTAACAGTCTGTACTTCTTGAAGCATTCTTTTGGAAAGATCAAGTACTTCTCTAATTCAAGGATAGTATCTTAAAGTTATGATTCTACTAAAGTCAAACATCTGTTTTGTAACACTAATACCAACTTATTACAAACATATTGCCTAAGGATCAATTTTTAGAATTATATAAGTTTTCTCATATAGCGGGTTAAATCTTAAAAAGAAGTGAACAAGTACATTTGACATTTTTACAAAAATATCTTCTCTGTTCAGTGTTTTAAAAGATTGTTAGAATTTATTAATCTGAATGGTTTCTATTTACCTTTACTAGCAATTTTTCTTTCAATGATTGTGAACCTTCTTGTTCACATTCTGATTCTGAATTTGAGAGATCTTTATAATTTTTTTTGGTGTTTGCTGCTCTCCGTGGAAGTCTGGTTCTCCCATCTGGAATGGTCTCATCTACCTTTTTGGTGATGTTTTTCTTGGGTGTCTTTGGGAGAAAAATTCCTGAATATTATATCAATATTTGAATTACAGGAAATACAAGTTATTTGCTATAAAATATTTCTAGAAATAAAAGGATTCCTGATTAATGTTTTTAAAAAAGACTAGAATATATCAGAATATTACTTAGCCATAGAAAAAAAAATCTTGCCATTTGCAACAACATGGATAAACCTGGAGAGTATCATGTTAAATAAAGCCAGGCAGAGAAAAACAAATACTGTGTGATTTCAATTATATGTGGAATCTCAAAAAATAAAACAGAAACCAACTCACAGATACAGAGAACAAACTGATGGTTGCCAAAGGGGAGGGGCCGAAGATTAAGCAGCAGAAACTTCCAGTTATATATTTTTAAAAAGACTGGATTTTATATTTCCATTCCAAGTATCTTCTCTATTATCTTTTTATCCCTGTCATTAAAGGTTTGAGGGGCCTGATTTATATCACCTAACTTAAAGAGATATCAAAAATATCTATCACTGCAGAAAAAAACAGGCTAGCATGTTTAAAAAAGGCAGAAGGTAGGGGTAAGGGTACAAAGACTGAAATAATAAACTGATAAGGATAAAATTATGAGATGATAAATTAACTTTTTTCATGACAAGGAGAAAAATGATTTTAAAGGGATGTTTGAATACAGACTTCCGACTTTTACCATTTTAGACCTTGGTTGTTCCCTTTCCAAAGATGGTCCTGCAATTCAAGAAAATAAGGTTAATTTCATCAAATGGAGAAAAAGTGGCATTAAAACTCATTAGAGTATTTCTGCATATAAGTTAAAATAGAAAATAGGAATACATATTTATTTAAACTCATTCAAACTTTAAATTTCAAGTTATGAGGCCAGATTGACATTGATAACTTTAACTATACAGTATTTGATATATGAATGACCAATTTCCCTTCTCTTTTATTTCATAGTAATAAAACTTTTAAAACATATAAGAGAATATGTAACATTAAACGCCCATAATGCTACCATTCAATTTAGGAACTAGATGGTCAATAATGTTGAATCTACTTAAGCGAGCCTCCATATCTCTTCTGCTGAAAGGTAATCACTATCCTGAAATCTTTGTTTCTCATTCACTTGATCTGAAATAAAATCTTAATTCAGAGATATGTATCCCTAAACAATATAATGAACTTTATAGAACAAAATCATGTCATATGTAATATTCTATGACTTGCTTTATTTTTCACTTATGTTTCTAAGATTTATCCACATCCTTGAGAGTGGCGTTAGTCCCTATTCCCCTTTATGCCTTTCAAGCATAATTTCAACTTCCTAACTATTCTCTGAAGCCTAGAAGTGGGATTATCCAAGCAAAGGAAGCAATGAAGTTCTGGAAGAAAGATTCCCCCAATCTTGACTTGTTGTCCTTCGGCCATTTAAACAAAACAGTTCACTCAGAAGTTCAACTTTAAAAGTATTTGCTGATTATAGGATTCTAGACTTTCATGTCTCCCCAAGATCTCTAATCTTTTCATTTGTTATGTCTTTATTTGTACATCTTCCCAAGAGCATATGAATCTTATGTTTCTCGAATGCTTACAGTCTACTCAACTGGACTAGATCTAGCCACATCTTACAACATTTTACCACAAGTCTGATCTACGTTCTAATTACCACAATGCTGCACCCCCTGAGCATACTAGGCTACTTCATACTTAAAAAAAATTTGAGAGAGAAACATCAACATCAATTGGCTGCCTCCTGCACACAATAAAAGCTGATTCCCAGAAAATAGGATCAAAAAAGATGAAGATAGTATAAGGAGCTCCTGGGACAACTTCAAGCGTACCAACATTCACATCATAGAAGGAAAGAGAGAACAAGAAATTGAAAACCTATTTGGAAAAAATGACAGAAAACACCCCTAATCTGGTGAAGAAAATGGACATATAAATCCAGGAAGCTCAGAGAATCCTTAACAAGATGAATCTAAAGAAGTCCACACCAAGACATAGCATAATTAAAATGCAAAAGGTTAAAGATAAAGAATCTTAAAAGCAACAAGAGAAAAGCAGTTACCCATAAGACTGTCAGCTGATTTCTCTACAGAAACTTTGCAGGCCAGAAGGGATTGGTAAGAAATATTCAAAGTGATAAAGAACAAGGACCTACAACCAAGATTACTCTACCCAGCAAAGCTATCATTTAGAATTGAAGGACAGCCCAGGATGGTATGACTCGGTGGTTACAGTGTCAGCCCATACACTGATTCCCTTAAAATAAATATAAAATTAACAGCTCAGAGTTATGTTGTCTTCTACTAAAAATGGAATATAGCCCTGGCTTGTTTGGCTCAGTGGTTAGAGCATTGACCCAAGGACCGAAGGGTCACGGGTTCGATTACCAGTCAAGGACACCTATCTGGGTTGCAGGTTTGGTCCCTGGCCCAGGTTGGGGTTGTGAGGAGGCAACTAATCGATGTACCTTCTCACATCAATGTTTATCTCTCTCCCACTCCCTCCCTTTCACTCTAAAAATCAATGGAAAAATATATCCTTGGGTGAGGATTAACCAAAAAAAGGAACATATAAAACCTTTGTGTTTTAGTAAACATTGAAATTGATGTTAAGCAATGAAAATGGTCATTATGTCTAGCCCATATCTCAAACTCTTATCCAACTATTTCAAGAGCTTTGCTAGAGAAAGCAAAAGCCATGTGCACTTTATGAAAGATGTAGGCAAAAATATTTCTGCAAGAAAATTGCTTTCCTTTCAGTATTGTTACTGCATCTATATCAATTCTTTAAAAGTATGTGTGTTAGGTGTGGCAGAGAATGGGGATGTTGTCCAAGCTTTGATTTTGTTTAGGGTTTTCAGTTCATGAGTACTTAATACATTATTTACAATAAATATCTAATAACTGATAACAGTAGGCCAAGAATAGACAAATGATGAGAGTATGTCATGAACCAATGATTATGGTAAATAATATTTTGTGTCCCTAAGATCCAGTTTTAAAGAAGAAATTTAAATATAACCGTATTACCAAAAATAACACAAAGCAAAGCCACTGTAGTGTTTGTGTATTTGCTTTCACTCTTTTCTGTTATAAGGATTATGTAATTAAAAATACTATCCACATACAAAAATATACTTAGCAACCAACAAAGCATTTTATAGTTGAAATAGTAAAATCATTTGCAACATTTCTCTAGAAACTGATTTCTTACTTGGTTTCCCACTTTTCTTTTTCTTCTTCACACTTTTATTTCTGCTGTATTCTATTAGCTGCGGTTTTGATTTTGGCTCTCTTAGCCAGCTAATGTCGGTCGTGCCATCATCACCTCTGTAGTCTGTGTCAGAATCACTAAAGAGTTTTTTATTTTTATGACTTGTTACAATCTATGAAAGAAAAAGAATCCTTGTAATGGATTAAGAAATGTGTCTTATATCATGCAAAGTAAGTTAAGCCCCTCAAAAAAACCGAAAAAGTAACTTCTCATGTTTTTAGCATACTAATCTACCTAGCAGTAAGGACCTATCCAAGAAGTCACTTGGAAATCCAGATCAAGATTTGTATTTTGTTGTTTGTGTCGTTGTTAATTAAAAGTCACATCAGCTTATTTCCATAGAGACATTAACCTATTACTATCAAAGAAAAGAACTAATGTCACATCTATTACTAGATGATCACAGTAGCTCAGAGACTAAGAAAAGTCATAACGGGAACATGGATAATTTCTGAGGAAAATCCAATTATTTGTTTTCCAGTTCTGTGATAATCTTTGGTATTGAAAAATTATTAAAAGAAATAATTGGTTTTAATAGACACATTAGGATATTATAACTTACTCTTTTATCTTTTGTTTTGAGAGAAGGTTCAAGTTCATCATGATTCCTTAAACCAACCCTTAAACAAAAATATGCATTAATTTTAATTAACTTTAAATACTTGTTTTCTTAAGGTAGCACACACTGAACAGTTAGACCTGGATTTTCAGCCTTACTCTTTACTAATTCAGCATATAATTCTGGCCAAGTGACTTTTCCTCTGACCTGTTAGTTATAAAATTATAAGGGTAGGCCCTGGCCGGTTTGGCTCAGCAGTTAGTGCGTAGGGTCTTGGACCAAAGAGTTCTCAGGTTCGATTCCGGTAAAGGGCATGTACCCCAGTTGGGCTCAGTTCCCAGCCCTGGTCAGGGTCTTGCGGAAGGCAACTAATTGATGTCTCTCTCTCTGAAGATAAATGGAAAAATATCCTTAAGTGAGGATTTAAAAAATAAAATTACAAGGTTAGATGAAAGTACTAAGTTAGCTTTATCATGTAAGATTACGACTAATATTAAAAGTGCATAGACTCTGCATTATTAAATTCAGAAGTACAGTTGTTTAAAAAACACAGGTTTGAACTGCGCAGGTTCATTTACACACAGATTATTTTTAATAAATAGTAAAAATGAATTTTCTCTCTTGATTTTCTTTTCTCTAGCTTACTTTATTGTAAGAATACCGCATATAATACGTGTTTATCAACTGTTTATATTATCAGTAAGGCTTCTGGGTCAACAGTAAGATATTAGTAATTAAGTTTTGGGGGAGTAAAAAGTTATACCCAAATTTAACTACACAGGGGTTGGTGCTCCTAATCCCTGTGTTGTTTAAGGGTCAACTATAAATGCTGAAATAATAAGATAATTATTAGAATAATCAGGACAGTAGCATTTTTATTCACTCTTTTCATATAGTAAAAACTCTCAGATAAACTAGGAAGAAATATTTAAGAAAAAGGACAATTAAGAGAAGTGTATTTTAATCTGCTCCAACTAATTATAATAAAGCACTTACGATTTTATTGAATTATCCACACAGGCTTCTCTAGCTGTAGCTTGAAATTCCTGGATCTATATTGTGAATAAGCATTAAAAATTTTTTTTTCTTAGTGTCAAAATAAACATAAAATCTAGTTTCTATCACTTCATATAATTATAAGATGGGACAATAAAATTAAGCTTAGTAAAATATACTAAAAATAAAATAAAGAGTAGCTGTTTCAAAATTTTAAAACAATTGTAAAAACTTTAAGTTGCTGTCTCTATAGAAAAGTACTGTTCTTGGTGAAGTAGTCTGAGTCCCTCCATGTCCCGACTACTCATTTTTCTCTACTTCAACGCAAAGGATTAGAAAGGAAACTAAATATATCTAGGTTGGTACTAAATACATTTTAAAATATTTTAAATGTATGGGACGAGGAGACTAAACTTTGGGTAGCAGGCACACAATGGAGTATACAGATGCTGTATTACAAAGTTGTACATCTGAAATTCATGCTATTAACCAATGTTACTCCAATAAATTCAATAAAAATAAATAGAATATATGTTTTAAAGCACTATAAGAGGACAGAAATAATACACTCTAATAACTGCATGATAAATACAAAATAACTTCCGATTTCTAGCTTACTCCAAGTTTTATAACAGGCTCATCAGCTCCATTCACATTAAAATTGTAAACATCATTCCTGTAAAAATGAAGAGAAATATTAACTCCATTATATAATAAACTTTGAATATGAAAGAAATTATAAAATTTATGAAAAATTACTTACAATGGGTGTTCAGAAGAAACATTAACAAAAGTAGTCTTTAGTTGTCTATAGGTTTTTTTCTGACCCTTTTCCTAAATACAAAAGAAGTTTACATAAAACTATTCAAACTTGTATATTGCTATACTTGGCAAATAACATATGCAATTAAATTTTCATATATTATTGTTTTCCACAAATACAAATTTTATATTTGTAAGTTTCCTTAATGTGAATTAAATGAAAATATTAAATATACATACATAAAAATACTGAAGACTTCAGTATTAACTAAACACATAAAAGTCAAATACAAAATATAAGAACATATGGTACATAGGTAAAATGACCTCAGTGGTATTTTAAAAGCTGAATTTTAGTGATTCTACAATCTCTCGCATACACACAAAAAAAACCCACTGTTTTAATACACATTTGCTTTAAATTCCTAAATAGAAAACTTTGGGAGAGGCTAAGGTTTATGTAAAACCTCACTTAAAACACTCAAAATTGCATCAATCAACAAGGGCTATTAGGGAAAAAAATATGTGTGAGATTATTTCTATAGCCTGCTGCTCAAAATATATTCAACCTCATCAAAAAATAGAGCAGAAAAGTTGTTAAATAAAATTTTAATAGAATTGTTTTATTAAAGCACTTATAATTAAGTAAACAAATGTCACTAAATGACTGCTTACTAATCTGAAATAATCACATCTAATATCTAGGAAGTTAGAAATATCAAAACTAAAATATTCATTTTAGTTGTGATACGTATTCAATTTTATTTCTTTTGGCTACTTTATATAGATTTGCATTATTCCAAAAAAACGTATCCCTCAATACATTACTTCTCTGATCACTTTATCTGACTTACCCTTTTCAATTAGATTTTTTACCAGCGTTTAGAAACAATGCTCATGTAATCTTTTGCATGCTAGTGTGTGTTAGATATTACAGAAGATATGAAGAAATTAAAGAGGATACAAAAAGGTGTTATAGATAGTACAAAAATGATTCTTAACAGTCATACTCTGGTAAAAGAAGAGTTTTTTGTTTGTGTCTTTGTTTTTGGTTAATTCTCACCCAAGGATACTTTCCCACTGATTTTTAGATAAGAGTGGAGGAGAGAGAGAGAATCATCAATGTGAGAGAGACACATTGATTAGTTGCTGCCTGCATGCACCCCGACTGGGGTCTGGGATCAAACCTGCGACCCTTTGGTCTTCGGGGCTGATGCTCTAACTGATGCGCCAAACCAGCCAAGGCCAGAAGAGATTTTAAAAAAGAAAAAAAAAGAACTGCAGCCCTGGCTGGTTTGGCTCAGCGGTTAGAGTGTCGGCCCGCAGATCAATGAGTTGTGGGTTTGATTCCGGTCAAGGGCATGTACCTCAGTTGCAGGTTGTGCAGGAGGCAACCAGTTGATGTGGCTCTATCACATTGATGTTTCTCTCCCTCCCTCCCTCCCCCCCTCCCTATCTGACAATAACTAGAAAAATATCCTCGGGTGAGGAATAAAAAAACCAAAAAACTGCAATAGTGAAGAAAATACCAAAAAAGTTACAAAAATTATTGTGCAGATTTAGAATTCTTGCCCATGTGGATTCCGAGTCAGGCACCTTGGAAAGTTTTTATAAAGAAGGCAGACTCTGAAGTAAATCTTGCGAAGACGAATAAAGTTTTGATGTTCAGAAAAGAAGGTGAGAGCCTGCTAAGTCAGTTCCAAGTTCTTTCCAAAGGCGGAAGAAAAAGAGAAAACACTTGAGGGAATCTCAAGTGATGTTTCAGCTACACAAAACATGCCTAGGAAAACATACTAGGAGACGAGACCAGCACTGAAAGGGACCAGGGAGCCAGACTGTCTCCACACTTAAGTCAGTAAGTGACAGGGATCAGAGGAAGGTTCTGAACAAGAGAATGACAGGATCGAGGCTTGCGATTTAGAAAGAAAGCTGCATCGAATGAACTGGCACAAAGAAATAGTAGCAGCAATAGGGCTTACATAAAGGCTATTGTAATAATCCAGGGATTAGAAATTTAGAACTCAAACTAAAAAAAACAGGAGCTGGAATAGGCAGGAGAGGGAAGATTCAAAAGAAACTTACAAAAGGTAAACCTCAAAACTTGGAATTAAGTAGAGAAAGAAAGTAATTGTGAGGAATAAATCAAAGATAATTGATATTTTAAGTCTGGAAGAATAATAAACATTTTTAACAACAATAGGGACTTAGGAAGAATCTAATTGTCAGGAGAGATAGGATTAACTAGAAAAAGGAAAAGAACAGATAAAGATATACTGAATCATGAAGCAAAAAGTAAAAATATCACACTCATGTAAAAGAAGCATTCTCTTTGGAAAGTCAGATTAGAGGGCTTCTGAGTACTTGCCACTAAAGGAGACAGTTGTTTAATCCATTTATCAATATGCTGAGAACATTAATTCCATCCTACCACTATTCTATTTTAGTGTTTACAATTAAATACTACAGTTTGATTCTCTCTATATATTTGGTGTAAATACATGAAACTTACCTTGCTGAGCTGTAGATCAGATTTGTTTGAAAAACCACTATAAAAAAGGTTTTGTCAAAATTAAGAAAGCAATTAAATATCAGCAGAATGTTTTTCATAACAGGCATTTTATATAAGGTCAAATCTATCTGGACCCTAAGTCTCCCTTCAGTATGCTATAAATAACTGACGTGTGACAGCACTAGTCTCATCTCATCCTATTTACTCACAGTAAATAGCAACAACATTTAATTCTAAGCTAAATCATTCATATAGCAGCAGGAGGTGCCAAGTAATTTCAATGAAATGATTCTGCCATGAGAGTAATTTTCATGCCATACAATAAGACGGGAATGAATGTAAACGTGAACTGACCCGACGGCAGCCTATAAAAATACATTTTGTAATAAGAAAAGAACGAACCTTCAGAAAGATTACAAACAAGGAATACACATTTACTATATGAAACTCATTTTAGCTAATTTAAATTTCATATTTCATTAAGCAATATATTTAAAGCACACTTCATTTTACTTATCACTAGGCTCAATAAAAATCTTTGTATCTTAAAAGATTTCTGAAATGGTACACTGTATAATATGTTGTTTTTCATACTTTATAAAATACAATCAGATACTAGAATGTCTAATTTCAAATTTAGTTCTAATTTTAACAGCTAGTATTTTAAAAAGTAAATAAGTAACCATGTTTTCTACTGGAAAGTTACATTATTTTAACATGTTGAAAAACTGACCTTAAAACAGTGTAAAACAATTTAGTTGTATCTGTCAGAAAAATATTCATATCTAAAACTTAACATACCTGTTGATCAAAGACTCATTTAGTTTTCTTGAAGACCGTCTATCATCCTTTAGTTTGTATCTCTTATTAATTTGGTTTATCAAGGATTCTGCAGCATCAGTAAATGTGTTCCCTTCTGACTTTTCTCTCTGGAATGATTTATAAGTTACTTAAAAACTGTAAGTTAACCTTCAAGTGAAAATAAGGGCTGAAATAATTTTAAGAAAAATCTGGTTCCATGTATAAACCTCAAAGAGAAACAAACGGTGGTTAGAGAAGTTATTTGATAAGTTTGGGCTTTGGTAGGCATTAAAATGAGTGAGGTTAAGTCTTTTAACTGTAGAAAGAACTTTGCGGAGTGCTCTGTAAATACTACCTTTTAAACGTTTCTATCTGTAGAGAAACAAAAAATCAAATAAAAAACTAAAGGAAACTAAAAGCTGGTTCTTTGAAAAGATCAATAAAATGGACAAGCCTCTAGTCAGGTTTACTAAGAAAAAAAAAGATATGAAAGACTAATATAAAAAATGAAAGAGGCTATCACTACTGATTACGTGGACATTAAAAGGAAAATAAATACATACTATAAACAACTCTATGCTCATAAATTTGATAACCTAGAGTAAATGATGGACCAATTCCTTGAAATTCTACCAAAGTCCACAGAGGAATTATCGGACTAGGCCTGTGTCTGCTGAATCAATGGTTCTACCTTCCATGACAGAAAGCACCAGGCCCAGATGGGTTTGTCGGTGAGTTCTTTCACACATTTAAGAAGTACACCAATTTTCCACAATCCCCCAGGAAACAGAAGCATAGGGGACACTTCCCAACTCATTCTATGAAGCCAGAATCACCTCATGGACATAGATGTAAAAGTCCTCAATAAAACAGTAACAAATCGAATCCAATAATGTATAAAAAGAATTATCTACCACAAGCAAGTGGGATTTATTTCTGGTAAACAAGGCTGATTCAACTTTTGAAAATAAATTAATGTAATCCATCATATTAATAGGTTAAAGAAGAAAATCATGATCACATCAATAGATGCACAAAAAAACTAAATTTTGACTAAATCCAATATCCATTCATGATAACTCTCAGAAACCCAGGGATGCAGGGAAACACCCTCTACTTGATAGAGATCATCTACAAAAAGAAAAGATAGCAACATCATACTTAATGGAGAGAAACTAGAAACTTTCCCACTAAGATCAGAAACAAGGAGAGGATGGATGTCTGCTCTCACCACTCCTGTTCAGCATCATACTGGAAGTCCTAGCTAAGGCAGCAAGACAAGCAAAGGAAATAAATGGTACACAGATTGGGAAGGAAGAAATAAAACTTTGTTCACAAATGACATCATTGTCTATGCATAAAATCTCAAAGAGTCAATGAAAATATTTCTGAAACTAAAAAGCAATTGCAGCATGGTGAAAGGACACAAGGTAATAATAAAAGCCAATCACTTTCTTACATCAGTAACAAGCAATTGGAATTTGAAATTACATTCCATTTACATTATCACCCCCCAAAATGGAATCAAGTATAAATATAATAAAACATACACAAGATCTATATGAGGAAAAGTACATGACTCTGATGAAAAATAAAAAAAAAATCCAAATAAATAGAGAGGCTCAATATTGTCAAGATGTCTGTTCTTTCCAATTTGATTTATGGATTCAATGTAATTCCAATCAAAATCCCAGAAAGGTATTTTTGGGGTATCAACAATATGATTCTAAAATTTACATGGAGAAGCAAGGGGCCTAGAATAGCCAACACAATGTTGAAGAAGAACAAAGTTGGAGAACTGACACTATCCTAATTTTAAGACTTACTAAAAGGATAAAGTTATCAGTATAGTGTAGTGTTGGTGAAAAAATAAACCAATAGAATAATGGAATAAAACAGAGAGCCTAGATATAGGCCCACATAAATATAGTCTCCTGATCTTTGACAAAGGAGCAGAGGCAATTCAATGGAGAAAGGATAGTCTTTTTAACAAATGGTGTTGAAACAACTGGACGTCCACAATGTAAGAAAATGAATCTAGACACAGACCTTACATTAAATAAAAATGGATCACAGACCTAAATGTAAAATAAAAACTATAAAACCCCCCTAGAAGATAATATAGGAGAAAATTTAGATGACCTTGGGTTTGGCAGTCACTTTTTAGATACAACACCAAGGGCACAATCTGTGAAAGAGAAAATTGATAAGTGGAACTTAGTTAAAATTAAAAACTTCTGCTCTGTGAAAGACACTATTTAGAGAATGAAAACAAGCCACAGACTGAGAGAACATAATGGTAAAATACATATCTAATAAAGGACTTGTATCTAAATTATACAAAAACCTTAAAACTCGACTATAAGAAAACAACCCAATTTTTAAAAATCGGCAAAAGATCTGAATAGACAAATCACCGAAGAAGATATATAGATGGTCAATGAAAATATGGAAAGATGTTCACCATCATGTTACTAGAGAATTGCAAATTAAAACAACAATGAGATACCTAAGCTCCTGTAACAATTGCTAAACTCCAAAACACTAAGAACCCAATACTGGCAAGGATTTAGGTCAACAAGAATTCTCACCCATTGCTACTGGAATGTGAAATGGCACAGACACTTGTTCAATGTTTGGAAGACAGTTCCTACAAAATTAAACACTTATGATCCAGCTATCATGGTCCTTGGTATTCTCCCAAAGGAGTTGAAAGCTTATGCCCACACAAAACTTACACACAAATGTTTACAGAAGCTTTATTCATAATTGTCAAAACGTTGAGCAACCAAGATGCCCTTCAATAGGTGAATGGAATACTATTCAGTAAAAAAAATACGAGCTGTCAAGCTATGGAAAGATACAGAGGAACCTTCAATGCATACTAAGTAGAAGAAGCCAATCTAAAGAGACAGTATGTAGTCTCACCTGTATGGCATTCTCACCTGTATGGCATTCTGGAAAAAGCACAACTATGGAGCTAGTAAAAAGAGTGATTGCCAGAAGTTTTAGGGGAGGAGGGATGGGATGGAAAACAAGGAAATTTCAGGACAGTGAAAACTATGTATGATACTGTAATGGTGGATACATGTTGCTATACATCTGTGAAAACACATAGACTAAACAATACAGAGTGAACACTAATGTAAACCATGGACTTTAGTTATTCATTAATGTGTCAATATTGGCTCATCATTTGTAACAAATATACCACATTAAGGTAAGATAGTAATGATAGGGGAAACTGTATACCTGAAACTTCTCTAAGAAAAACTGTATTAAAATATATAGAGTACTCATACAACTCAAAAGGAAGACAAAGAACCCAATTAAAAAATGGGCAGAGGACCTAAATAGACACCTCTCCAAACAGGACATACAAATGGTCAAAAGATACATGAAAAAGTGTTCAATGTCACTAATCATCAGAGAGATGCAAATTAAAACAACTATAAGGTATCACTTCACACCTGTCAGAATGACTGTCATCAACAAATCATCAAACAAGTACTGGCGAGGGTGTAGAGAAAAGGGGACTCTAGTACACTGCTGGTGGGAATACAGATTGGTGTAGCCACTATGTAAACAATATGGTGTTACCTCAAAAAATTAAAAATTGATCTGCCATTTGACCCAGTGATCCCACTTCTAGGAATATACCCTAAGAAGCCTGAAACTCCAATCAAAAAGAATATATGTACCCCTATGTTCATAGCAGCACTATTTACAATAGCTAAGATCTGGAAACAGCCCAAGTGTCCATCAACAGATGAGTGGATCAAAAAGCAGTGTTACATATACACAATGGAATACTATGCAGCTGTAAGAAAGAAAAATCTCTTATCCTTTGAGACAACATGGAGGGACCTGGAGAGTATTAACCTAAGCAAAACAAGCCAATCAGAGAAAGACAAATATCACACAATCTCACTTATTTGTAGAATATAATGAACAAAGCAAACTGATGAATAAAATAGACCCAGAGACATAGAAGTAGGGTACAGACTGACAAACCTCAGAAGAGGGGGTTGTGGGGGCAGGGAAGGGAAGAGAGAAATCAAGAACTTTATATGGATGTATGTGTAACCATGGACATAGACAACAATGCTGGGGTTGGGGCAGGAAGGTGTGGATCAGGAGGAGAGTGTCAATGGGAGAAAAAGGGAAACATCTGTAACAAAAAGAAATTAATAAAAAAATAAAAAAAGACAATTGTATTAATATTTTAAAAACTGGAATGACTATAAAGAATTATTATCTGCACAATTTTAGATAATTTGGTTAAGAGAAAACTCTAACAATATTCTTAGAGGTATAAGTTCCCCTAATTTTATTTTCACTTTTCTGGGGAATCAGGCATATGGGTTTTAAAAAGTTATAATAAAATATAGCATAAGCATTAATATAACATAAAATTTACTATTTTAGCTACTTTTAAGTTTATAATATAATAAGCTTTACTTGCTAGCCCTTCTTAAGATTACCATAATGAAGACAAGGTTACTTGGCTTGATAAAAATGTAGCAAAGATAAACCTCCCCTAAAACCAATATATGATTTAAGAACTTCCAGTATAATTGGAGCCAGCTTGGGAAATCTGTACCATTGACTAAGGAGGTTCTATTTCTCTAGGTTTATTCAGTGAACCAAAAGACAGGATCAAGACAGACCTTAGAGGAGAGTAATCCATGCATGGGAGTGGCAGGAAGTCATGCCTAATAGTACAAGGAGAGACAACATGAGAGACTGAAGAGACCTTCTGAAAACAGTAAGTTGATTTTTAAAAAGTTTAGCATAGCTTAGATGATCAAGTTTCTGTACTTCCAGGAAAGAGAAATTTCTGTGAAGTGATTTTAAATTCTAAAGAAAACAATTTAATATTAAAACTAAAGGACCTGCCCTGGCCCGTTTGGCTCAACGGTTAGAGCATCGAGAGAATCCCAGGTTCGGTTCACGTACCTCTGTTGCAGTTTGTCCCCAACCCTGATTGGGTTCGTATAGGTGGCAACCACTCGATGTGCTTCTCTCACATTGATGTTTCTCTCTCTCTCTTCCTCCCACTCTATCTGAAGATAAATGCAAAAATGTCCTCGGGTGAGGATTAAAAAAAATAATAATAAAAATAAAGAACTGGATCAGCATTCAGACCAAAAAAATAAAACAAAAACAAAAACCAACAATAAAAACACACACCTTATTTCCCCTGGGTCTAAAGGAACTAAATAGCACTAAGACTAGAAAAAAACAAAGATTAGCTACTAAAAATGAAGAAAAAAGTAACCCAAAAGGAGAAATTAGCCATATTAGGCTCAAAAAGTGAGTTACAAATGAAAAACAAAGAGAAGACTGGTCAAGAAATTGAAATAATGTCTATATACAATAATTGCAAATTGTCTATTAAATATTTCATCTGTACACTGAGATGTTCCAATATATTTATGAGCATTTTCCATTTTAGAAATTTAGAAATTAGAAATTTGGCTATCAGGTATTAATAGTCTGGAAGATAAATGAAAATTACAGCCTGTATAACCTGGGTCCTCTAAGGAATAGCAAAAAATAAATTGCATTATTGGCAATTTTCTTAGAAATGTATTATGATTTTAAAATTTTCTTAATCTGCATCTTGAAAGAAGTGATACCCCTCTCCCCCCAAAAGATTCATGGTAACTGCTACAAAAAGTAAACTTTTAGTCTCAACGAATGGTACAAAATAGCTAAACTGTCCTGGAGATGTTCTACAGATGACTAATCTGAAGGGGAGGCGCCAATGCGGATGAGCAACAGTTACAGAAGATCCTATCCTTCACCCCACTTACATCCTTTTAAAACAAACTTGTAAAAGTTGAATGCAATAATACAAGAAAGGAAAACAAATGTTGAATAAAAATCTTTACACTTACAGTTTAAAATTACAAATAAAAAGCCCACAGAAACATAACCATTTATTAAAAAGAAAGGTAGGCACCACTTGAGAGGCACAGGCACAGGCACAGACAGTTCTACACGCATGTTCAAAAGAATCTGAAGGACAGAGTGGGAGAGACCCAATAAGAGGTCACAAGGCAGAAACTAATATAATTGAATGTCAACTGTGACTAAAAAAATTAAAATATATATCACTAATACTAATTTCACCTGTAAACTTAAAATGTGTAATAGAAAATTTAATATAACTAGAAAATTAAAAATTACATGTGTGGCTCAAAAAAAAAAAGGAGTCAAGACGGTTCATACATGCAATCCCATGTACATGCTGCTATGTACCAGCAGGCAATGTGTTCTATCAGAGCAGGGACTAGGGAGAGGTGCTGGAGTTCAGGAAGCACTTGCCCCAAGTGAGTGGTAAAGAACAAGGTATTACAAATGTTAAGTTTGCAGCAATCAAGCTTCTTTCCCTTTCTTATGTTAAGTAGGCACATTATGGGTGTGCAGAAATAAAACACACTAAAAGCTCACCATTTTTTTTTGTTTCAAATCCCAGGAATTAAGTTCAGATGTTAATCTTTTCCTTGATTTCCTGTGACTCTTTGCATTTTTACTAGGAGAAGGACTTTTATCACAAGTAGCAGCATTCACATCTTTTGATAGTATGTATTTCTTCCTATAGATGAGAGATTCTTCAACTGTCTTATTTAGGAGAACTGATTTAAAAGTAGTTTCAGATTTAATATGCAAATCACACTGCTTGGTATTTTTAATATTTTTCTGCTCTGAAGGTTGGTTTAGTTGTTGACTGTTTATTCTGCAAACGTCTACTGCTTTATCTATTTTGCTGTGCTGCATTATTTCTTTCTTATAGTCCACCTTTCCTGTTTCTTTAGAATTATCATCAGATACTGAAGAGGATGATTTTTGTTTAGTAACTTTTTTGTTGATAGCAGTATCTAGTGGGAAAAATAAATGAATCCTTATTAAATTAATAAAATAAATGTATAAAATATGTTAAAACCAAAGATATTTGTCAGACATTCCAAGAAATAAATATTACCCTGAACTACTATTATATACAGAGAAAACTACAGTTGACTCTTGAACAACACAGGGTTAGGGATGCCAACCCCCACACAGTGAAAAATCTGTAATTTTTGATTCCCCAAAAGTTAAAGACTAATAGCCCACTGCTAACTCAAAGCCTTACCAATAATAGTCAATTAACACATTTTGTATGTCATGTGTACTATGAACTATACTTTTTTCTCTAGTAAGTTAGAGAAAAAAATGTTAAGAAAATCATGGGGAAGAAAAAATACATTTACAAAATGTACTGAAAAAAATTTGCATAAAGTGGACCCATGCAGTTCCAACCTGTGTTAAGAGTCAAGAGTATATGTTTCACCTTGAATAAATGTGTCCCCTTGTGAAGTACTTGCTCTCTGGTTATTATTACACAGCTTAATATTTGTTACAGGTGTCCAACATGCCCATCTAGAGGGTGTTTTATTTCCATGAATGTTGTATGAAACACCTGATATCCTGGAAAATAAATTCATTTGTTTAATATATCACAAAATATTAGCTATGACTCTAATATAAGACCTTGGATTTTTAAATTTAGTCAATGTTTATTTATAGCAATTTTTAACAGTCAAGTATGAAAATGTTTTCATAAGTCATTTATGAAAGTTAAACTTTACCATACAATTGATCAAAGATCATCCATTATTGCTACTATATTTTTATCTACCTAAATATATCTCACATAGCTTACATGTTCCACTGTATATTTAAACTAGATTAAATTGCTTTCCATTAATACTTTATTATGTTTAAAATCTCATTCATTTGAATTCTATTTGAAAGGAGTTATGTTGGTTGATATGGACAAAACAGACCATTTCCATTGTGCTATCGTAATACTTGAAGATGATTCATGCTATAACCAACAGTACATTCTAAGACTATAAAGGCCTTTTCCTTTTAATTTGTCACATTCATCTAACTGTAACAATACACACTAAAAGATCTGATAGGCTTTCTCATACTTACACAGGTTTATCTATTTTCCCCAGTGCCTGCAAATCAGGAACAGTATACTGGGATTCATCTAAATAAAACAAAAATTATGGGATTTTGATTTTTCGTGCAGTTGATAGGGTAAAATTGGTATAGATTTTGGTCAAGGTTTACATATTGCAATGGAGAGATTGATTAATCGCATTTTCCTCCTCTCAAAACCAAACGTTTTGGGAACAGAGAGTATATTATATTTCCTTGTTATCTCCAAGTTCCTTGCACAAAGCTGAATATATTTATTAAAAATCTTTCTTTTTTAAATCAAAGAAAGCCAGTGTGGCAAAAGGGAAGTAGAAAGAAGATTAAATCAAAAAGTACTTACTAAAATTTTCGTTTAGGAATTCAATGTCCTTTTTTTCTATCTTTTTTGCAGTCTTAGCAGTTTTGATATGCTATAAACACAGGAGACATGTTAATGTAAATTTGAATTAAGGTATTATATGAAAACAACTTTTAAAAGTTAAAGTATTAAAGATTAAAACTTTAAAAATAAATTTGCCTTGCTGTTAAAAGCTAGATAGTATATCTATTTACAGTTGACCCTAAAACAACTTGGGGGTTAGAGGTACTGATCCCTCACTCTGTCATATTTGCATATAACTTTTGACTCTCCCAAACATAACTACTAATAGTCTACTGCTGACTTGATGCCTCACTGATAACAAACAGGTGATTAATACGTATTTGTATGTTATATGTATTTTATATTGTATTCTTAAAGCTGGAGAAAATGAAAATGTTAAGAATATCTTGAGAAAATACATTTACAGTATTTATTGGAAAAACTCCATGGATAAGTGAACCCATGTGTTTCAAAGTCATGCTGATCAAGTGTCAGCTGTATTTCATTCAGGTTATGCCCGTCTCAGAATATCGCCTCTTCTAACGTACAAGGAAATAACTTTCACTGCAGATAAGGAAGCAGAAGAGCCTACAAATTTTCTAATCTCTCCATAGCTATAACACAGTTCAGTCTTCATCTGGAACTGACAAGTTCTGGAACCTCCATGGCACATCTCCTTTTGTTTTGATCTCATAACTTGCATCTATTCTGTCCTTTCACTAAGATACATAAAGGAATTGGAAATTATGGAACATTAAATGTTTTGTAAAGTTCTGGCCTTGCACAGGTAACTTCTTACCTACAGCAAGCTTCTCTCTTTCCACAGCCACAGATACACACTTACCCAGATCAAATAAAAATCTGACGTCACCCTGGCTGGTTTGGCTCAGCGGTTAGAGCACCAGCCTGTGGTCCAGAGAGACCCGGGTTCGGTTCCCACTAAGGGCATGTACCTCGGTTGCAGTTTGTCCCCAACCCTGGTTGGGTCGTGCAAGTGGCAGCCACTTAATGTGTCCCTTTCACGTCGATGTTTCTCTCTCTCTCCCCCACCCCCCACTCTATCTGAACAAAAAATGGAAAAATATCCTCGGGTGAGGATTAAAAAAAAAATTAAAATAAAATAAAAATCTGACGTTCACTGTAAAAAAAAAAAATATATACACACACACACACACACACACACACACACCCCCTCTTGGCCAGTGATTCTCAACCTTCCTAATGCCGTGACTCTTTAATACAGTTCCTCATGTTGTGGTGACCCCCCAACCATAAAATTATTTTCATTGCTACTTCATAACTGTAATTTTGCGACTGTCAGGTTTTAGACAACCCCTGTGAAAGGGTCATTCGACCCCCAAAGGGGTCGCGACCCACAGTCTAGGCTAAGATATTTTGCCTTATCTTGGCTTTCTTTCCTACTTAATCTAGCCAGTGGTTCTCTCCCCTGGGAGAGGAGCAGTATGAAAATGTGCAGCTGTGGTTTTGGTTGTCACAATGACAGAAGGGTTCCGGTGACAATAAGCAAGCACAGGCCTAGGGTGCTTATCATCCTACAACGTTCAGTACCACACCACAAAACTGAGTAGTATCCCTAGTAAGAAACACTTAGCTAGACAACCTGAACCATCACTTCCACTATTTTTCTAATATCTTCGACTCTTGCACCCTCTTTCTGCAGCATAACCATTTAATTTTTTTTTTAAACTGCCATCTATTCATTTTTACTCTAATACCAAAGCTACTAAACTTTGAGAGATTACACATTTTTGAACCAATGTTATGATAAAATTCATGGTCTCTAAATTGGGACCTCCACATTGTCTAACACTAGTTCTCATTCTTAGCCCTCTCTAGTATGTCAGTAGCTATTCTTTTTTTTTTTTTTGTACGTGCCCCTAGCGGGAACCAAACCCGGGACTCTCTGGTCCGCAGGCCGATGCTCCAACTGCTGAGCCAAACCAGCCAGGGCTGTCAGTAGCTATTCTAAATCTTAACTTGTCCCTGAACCCTCTATGTTAACATATCCCCAAGAAAAACTCACCATCCTCACACTTCAGAGGAAACAAAAGCTAACTACTAGATGTTCTTCATCTACAAACTTATCTGTATCTCTGATTACCTATTTCTCCAAGAAACTTTCTCTTATCCATTAGCTGCTGTTTTCTCAGTTACCTGAAATGAATACCCTTCTTTTCAATGTCCATTTGAATAACCTTTATTTATCCTTCAAAAATCAACGAATTCTCTATCTCCTTAAAGAACCTCTCCTGATCTTCACCATCCCCCTCCAGCTCTGGGGCTAAACACCAGCCCTGTCACTAGGTTCCTCTTGCATCCTATATGTACATCTGAGAAGACTGATACAGTATTATAATGATCTTACTAATTTGTCTAATTCCCACGCTAGACTTGGAGATACTGAAGGACAGAGTCCACTTGTAATTTATTTTTCTATACCAGAACCGTCCCCATAGCAGGCACTAATTTGTGTAACGAAAGAATGATGGCAAGTGCATTCTCCTATCAAATGCATAAATCAGAGTTATAGTGAATGGATATTCCTAAATTCTATCGTCAGCACAGTAAATGAGTTGTATGTGAGAATGACCTTACATTCAAGGACAATAAACTATATCTAAAAAAGCAATACCTTAAACCAAGTGAGACACTGCTTGTAAAGTTAGCTCAATATGTATTTCTACAATAACTGGATAAAAATTTATTTTAAAAAGGCTTTCAAAGTGAAGTTACTTTGTCTGTGTCATCTCTTCTTCCTCCTGCAGGTGACTTAGACTGATGTGATACAGCAGTATCCATTTCAGTTTCCAATGTTCTGGAAACACCGGGTTTCTCTGCAGAGCTCATTACTTGCAGTGGTAGTTTCATTTTTCCTTTTCGTGGTGTTGCTAAAAAGGAGGACAAAGGACTGGTATGTTTGTGGGCTTTAAATTACAATCCCTATTATTGAGGTACCCTCTAGAGCAGTGGTCTCAACCTTCCTAATGCCGCGACCCTTTAATACAGTTTCTCATGTCGTATGTGGGCGTATCTGCATGTGGGTGGACCCGCCTGGAGACAGACACAGGAGCGGTTCCTAAGACCATCGGAAATATGTATTTTCCGATGGTCTTAGGCGATCCCCGTGAAAGGGTTGTTTGACCCCCAAAGGGGTCGTGACCCACAGGTTGAGAACCACTGCTCTAAAGGAAGGTGAAAGGGAGTTCTAGGATGGATCCCAGGTTTCTGGTGTGGATGAGCAAGTGGATATGGACACCATTTACCAAGGTAAGAAATGGAGGAAAATATGGCAGATGGGTGGAAAGATGAATTTATTTTGGACCTGTTAAGTGTGAGGAGACTGTTGGACATTGGACAACAGTGGGTAGGCAATTGGATTTTGGAAACAGGAGGTCACTATTAAATTGTCAAAAAGGTGAAATAAAATGGTATTTATAGTGACTAGTATACAGTATCAGATTTTTTTTATTTAGTGCTTAGTATGTAACTGGTCCTGTCCAAATGTTTTACAACATCCCTTGTCATGTGAATTATTTTTACCTAAACCTCTAAACAACTTTTATAGAAAGGAAATGGTCTCAAACTTAGCTAGAGGATCATCTGTACTGAGTACACATTTGGGAGTGGGGAAACAAGCCCAAGTGGCATGATTCAATGTTTTATCCAGTGTATAATGCTGCTACCACTTAAATTATAATAAATTAATGCTGGATATTAATATTTTGAAAAATATTTATGACACTACCCATTAAACCTTTCTTAGACATTTAAAATTTCTTGACAGAAGACATTTGTGGTTCATAGCTCCAATTTATCCTCTAGGTAAATTATGTCCAGAATATCCCTGAATTTAAAAATGCCCGATTTAATATACATAACAGTTGCTAGAAATCTTTTAAGACTGTCAAACTCACATGTCTCGAGTGAATGTAACGGACTTCTCGTGTTGTATATTTCTGCACCAGTAACAATCATTGAGGCTTCAGACATTTTTCTTTTGCTAGGAGTGATTATCTTAAACCATGAGAAACAACCACAGTAAACACACAGCACCTTTTAAAATGAAATATCCTACAATTTTATTCATAACAGTTTACCCTGATTGTACAAATAAGATATGTGGCATTTTATAAATAACATGATACCCAGGAATTTCTTTGTTTCAGGTTGACATTTCACTAAGAACTTCACCCTGATGTTTGGTATTAAACAGCCAAAACAAGAAAGGACATTGTTTTAAATACTTATAGAACATCTAGACATATAAATAATTTTTTAAATTGATACTGAGTTTCTCTAGTTAACCAATGACTCACAGCTTCCTATTCTATTTCAGGTAGATGATGTTTGGATACATATTTATGTAAACTTGTTTGTGAATGCTTTCATAAAGTTAAGCATTGCCCAAAACTTTCTCACATTTAAAAAAATTCCATTACTATTCTGTGAAGACTAAACTGCCTTGGGAGTAAAATGCAGCTCCAGGGATTCAGAAACTCAATGACACACAAGCCAGTGATCCCAATGAAGGTCTGCATTTTTAACTTCATCCTGAAATGACTGGTAGGAGCCACAGAAGTAGAGCACCAGAGGCAGGGACAGCACGGGACAGGAGTGTCAGAGGGTACCATATAAAGGAGTAGATGGTGACAAAATGGAGAGGCAGAGGAGAGCTATTTGTGAAAAAGGCACCTGCCCCTAAAACAGAGGAAGATATGGATGGAGTTCTGTGCAGGTCTGCAGATGGTGCATGGAGTGAAGGTGGGGGGAGGACAAAGAGAAGGGGGGTGGACAGGAAGAAAGGGAATTCTAGTATTAGGCAGAAAACAAGCTACTAAACCAGTATATTCTCCTTTAAAAAATGGCAGTTTCTAGAGGTATAGCGAATGGGACCTGAACAGTTACTCAATCACATAAATGCTTCAAACAGTGACTCCTTATTGAGGCTTCAGATATTTTTCCTTTGCTAGGAGTAATTATCTTTTTTTTTTTTTTTTTTTTTATCCACACCCGAGGATATTTTTCCATTTTTTGTACAGATAGAGTGGGAGGGAGAGAGAGGAAGGGAGAGAGAGACAGAAACATGGATGTGAAGGGACACATCGAGTGGCTGCCACCCGCACGACCAACCAGGGCCGGGGACAAACTGCAACCGAAGTACGTGCCCTTAGCGGGAACCGAACCCGGGTCTCTCCGGACCGCAGGCCAACGCTCTAACCGCTGAGCAAAACCGGCCAGGGCTAGGAGTAATTATCTTAAACCATGAGAAACACCACAGTAAGCGCACAGGAGCTTTTGAAATTACTGAAAATACAGTGGCTGTTTCACAGTAGTGCAATGTTTTCAAACTTCACTGTGCTTAGGATCTATCTCAGAGTTTGTGATTCAGTAGGTATAAATTGGGGGAGGGGGCTAAGAATATGCTTTTTAATAAGTACTCAAGTTATGATTCTGATATAAAGACAGAAATGTCTTTTATGATCTAATCATCTAAGGGAAATATAAGCTGACATTTTAAATTTAATGATGGACACAAGACTTAAGGGAAAAAATCATAACAAATATGACAAAATGGATGGGAAAGCCTGTGAAACTTATAGTTGTCTAAAGTTGAGAGATTAGTAAACACTGAAATAATTAGAAAAGGCTCCAGGAAGAAGGTGGAAATGAACCAAGACTTGCAAATGTAAGTACATGTTAGATGAGGTCAAACAGGACCAAACAACATAAAGGCATCACGGCAAGAAGAGCATCCATAAGAGGACACAGGAAAGGAGCTGACCTTCCTAAAGTGAAGGGCATTTTGACACAGTAAAATTGTAGTCTCAGAACAGAGTCAAAGCTTAGACTCAGCGAGACAAACACAGGTCACGAAGTTTCCTGCGCAGAAAAATGCTAATACTAAGAAAAATCAGTAGTCTACCATTTGGGTAGCTCACAGGTTACAACAATGTTGTCAAAGAGCATACTATGTTAATTAGGTATGCTAAAGTGAGCAATGGAAAAAGGAGGGGAGGACGTGGGAGACACTACAGAAAAACTATCACCAGTGCCTCGGTTGTAGGCATGGGGAGGAGAGGCGGGAATCGAGGATATCATCAATGGTGCATTATAGAAATATGGAGGCAGATACAGATTTGAAGTGAAAGACAGAAAGTTTGCTGTTGAACTTCAGGAAAGCGCTTGAAGAGCTCTGGAGAAGGAACCATTAGAACAGTGGATGGAGACGTAGCTACAGAACTTGAAGGGCACAGGAACGAAGCTCGCTAAGGGAGAAGGTACAGAGATGTTAAGCATGAAGCTTCTAGAGCAGGAGGCAGGGAGAAAGTATTTCTGATATAGTAACAGAAGGAGGTAGAGAATTAAAATACTACTTAGAAGTCAAACAAGAGGACATAAGAAGAGAGGGCTGTTGGCAATGCCAAGTGTCCCACAAGCCGTGATGAAGAAGGCTGAGAAATGGTTCCACAGGACGTGGTCTAGAGGAGACCCTCGATGGAGCGCGAGGAGGGGAACAGAGAACAGAAGAGTCTTATGAAAAGAGTGGCAATTACTTGCCTGTGTATCTCTAACTTGGAATGTCCAAGTGCAGACATAACTTGCCCAAGCATTGTCTTTTGCTTCTATTTGTACAAGGCAAGGCAAGTACTTTGAAATGTTATAAATGCTTTTTTCTGTAATTCTATATAGTAATGATTTGATCTTTTTTTTTTTTTTTTAATGAATGACTATTTTGACACCATATTTACCTCAGACTGACTAGTTTTTCTGTCCCCTTGAGTACTATTTTTGATGTATTCTGGAGGTTTAACAAATTCCTTTTGGGAATTAGGGTTTTCTTTCAAACTAACAAGTTCTGTAACAGGTGAGACTTGACTTTCTGGCACCAGAATCTGTTGGAGAATGTGGAAAAACACTTAAAACTGCAAATCTTAGGATGTCCTCAAAACCCACTGGATGTCTTAATAAAGCGCCCATTCACCTCATACTTCCAAAAATCAGTCCTTTCCATCTTCCATGTACTGTTACAATTTTTAGTCCTACAACGTAACCCAACTAAAAGCATCCACTTTTACAAATGTTAATAGACCTAACACAAGCTTTTGCATTAGTGAAAGGACATATACTTCTAATTTTTAAATTTACCAAAAAGGTATTGATAACTTCATATCTACCTTCTGTACTAAAGTAAATTACCATTAGTAACATGTTTAAAAACCACATGCATCTTATTGAAGTAATATCGATGTTGAGACAATTTATGTTTAGATAAATGAACTTTATTATTGTGCTATTATTTGGGTTAAACTTAGCCCAATGATTAAAATCAAGTAAGTTACACACATACCTGGGATCCAGTTGCATCAAAAAGTATATGCATAGATGTTTTGGCAACTGAAATGCCCTGTTTTCTGGTAAATTCCTAAAATTAAATTAATTCAAAGTGATGTCATTATCTTCTAGCTCTTTCTATCTTAATGCAATTATTTCCTGTTTCCTTTCAAATTTGCCAAATTATCTCAAGTCATTATTTTACATATATAAATACCTTTGTCGGAACACTTTAACGACTCCCCATTAACCACCATCTTCTTAGCCTGCCAGTTTGGAAGTGTTGCTCACAAACAGTCTCCATTTTCCCCCATAAATATTTTGCGCTGTAGCCCTGGCTGGTTTGGCTCAGCGGTTAGAGCATCAGCCTGCGGTCCAGAGAGACCCAGGTGTGGTTCCCGCTGGGGGCATGTACTTTGGTTGCAATTTGTCCCCAGCCCTGGTTGTGTCATGTGGAGGCAGCCACTTGATGTGTCCCTTTCATGTCGATGTTTCTCTCTCTCCCTCCCACTCTATCTGAACAAAAAATGGAAAAATGTCCTTGGGTGAAGATAAAACAAAATTTTTTTTTTGCACTGTATGGGCTGAATGTGCCCTCCCCACCCAGTTCATATTGAAACCTAACCCCCAATGTGATCGTGTTAGGAGGCTAGGGGGAGGGACCCTTGAGAGATGATGAGCTAACCAACACAGAGCCCTCATAAATGGACTAGTGCCCCAATAAAAAAGACCCAAGAGATCTCCCTCACCCCTTCCACCCACCATTTGAGGACCCAGTGAAATGGTGGATGCTGTGAACCAGGAAAAGGGTGCCCATCACACACCAAATCTGGTGGTACTTTGATCTTGGACTTTCCAGCCTCCAGGACAGTGAGATATAAACGTCTGTCGTTTAAGCCGCAGTCCATGGTATTTTGTTACAGCAGCCTGAACAAAGATATGCACTATCCAAACTTATTGGCAGACTATCTCCCCCAAACATAACGTGAATTGTCACCTTAGATTCCTGGTTAAATAGCATCTAACTCATGATGTCTTCCATGGTCGTGGGAAGGATCTCACCTACTTCTATCTATTAACTTCAAAGACCATTCAAACCCTGTCTCTACAGCCTTCCCTTCAAATCTGACTCCTAACGAGCATTCTCTTTCCTCAACTTCTGTGCTTCCTTTTCCTTACGCCGCTACTTACACCCTCTGAGCTATATTCTGTAATTCTCACAAACTCTATTTATTATCTTAAAAACAGGACTTTGTCTCATTTCACCTTTTAAATACCTAGAAGGAATTCATTAAATGTTTTTGAGTAGCTGCTAACTTTCTCATCTGAGACTTTCCTAATAGGTATCTCAAAGGGTATAGCTAACAATCTGACGGCTATGCCACAATATAAATTTAAAGAACTGAAAATCTACAGGTCATTTTAAGAATTCTAGAAAAATAATTAATGAAATGTATTGCCCCAAGTAACCAAAAGTTTCCAGAATATGAAAATAATGAATTTTTATTATAAACTGTTTAAACACTTACCTTATGTTTATTTGCACCAAAAATTTTGTGTGTCACATTAGTGATTTCTAATGAAGCATCAAAATACAAAATCAATTCTTTCCCTTCTCTTTTACTAATTTTAAAAATATTTTTCAGAATTATGGTCAGCAGCTTCTTCGATTCTCTCTCTGCACACAAACAAATCACAATGATTACTTTATATTAATTTCTATGATACCACTCTATAGGTGTACTATAAATAAGAAAAGCATATAGCACATTAATCAAAATAAATTTAATAAAGTTGACCTTTAGGATTTCAAAGTATTTAAATTCTAGTAGTATCTATGTAAACAAATCAAGTCAATTTATTTTCAGACCTCATTTCCTGCTCTGTAAATACAGGGTAAGACAATAACTAATGAACTAATGCCCTGAATACGTTCTGGACACCAACAGGTCCTGGAACAGATCTGAGAAAACTGTTTTTATTAATTTGAAAGAGGCAAACAAAGAAGACAGCTAATTCCACAAATAACTATATTTCTGTGCATGAGCATCTGTTCAAACATTTCTATTAAGTCCATAGTAGTTACAAACATGCTGACAGTCAACAAACAACATTCGACAGAAACCCGAGCGAGCGCTAGGAAACTGTGAGGCGAGGGCACAGTGCTGACCTTCAGTGACCCATCAGTCCAGTGAGAAGAAAACGGGGGAAGTGCAGTTTATGAGAGGTGCTCACCCCCCTTCCTCCAAGAAGTCATCAAAAGATTACCTGGCACCCAATGACTGCACCTGCAGTATGACTAACGCCACCCTGGCCCTGTCCAACCTGCAGTGGTGCTCCTCTTGCCACTGAGAAGACTCCATACTTGCCCCTGGTGTACACTCTGGGCAGGAGGAAAACATCTTGAGGGAGCAGGACCACACCAACCAGAAACATTTGTCTCTACATCTGGAAAAGCCCTGCTGGTCACTCAGTGACCTACGCTAAAGGACAGATGTCCCCACAGGCTATAATACTCTGATTCTTATGAGGCTGACCCAGCTGAAAATGTCTTACTTGCTTTTGCAGCTATACGGCCATGAAATGTTCACAGTGATGTCCTTTGATGGAACTAAGAAGTATTAATTGCTTTAAGATCATGGCAACACTTTCTAACTCAAACAGTGCCAGTGGTATTTTTTGAGGAAAAAAATCATGAGTTTCAACATTAAGTTTTCAAGCTTGAGAGACAAAGATTAATTCCATTTAAAAGTCAAATTCATACAAACAAAAAGTGGAATGGTGGTTACCAGGGGCTGGGTGGAAGAGTGAAAAAGGAGTTGTTCAATGAATACAGACTTTCAATTCTGCAAGATAACAAAAGTTCTAGAGATCTGTTTCACAACAATGTAAATACACTTATCATTATTGAATTATACACTTAAAAAATATTAAGATGGTAAATTTTGTTATACATGTTTTCTTACCACAATAAAAGAAATTGAGTGAGGAAACATTCTATACTATTTTGGAAGTATACTGTAACAAAGTTCTTACACTATACATAAAGGGGTATAATATTACTTGAACATACATACTATTAGGTTAAAGATGTATTAAATAAACCCTAAATCAATCATTAAAAAAAAAAAGGAGTATAAAGCCAACAAAAGAGATACAATGAATTCATTTAAAAACCAATTAACATAAAGGAAGAAAAGAGAAAAAAGATATATGGCAGGTTTTAACAAGAGCTAGATGGTAAATTGGACATATAGCAATAATTACATTTAAAAATTACACTTAAAAAACAAAAGCTAGTATATGATGCCTACAAGAAACCCATTATATATGTATAAATGATCCTTAAGTACACACACACACACACACATACACACAGAGAGAGAGAGAGAGAGAGAGAGAGAGAGGGAGAGAGAAATAAGTTAAAAATAAAAGAAAATATATGCCATGCTATACCTAACCAACAAAAAGCTAGAAGGGTATATTAATGTTACATAAAATAGATCACAAAGCAAAGGATATTACCTTAGGCAAAATAGAGTCATTTCATAATGACCATTAAGAAAACAAATAAGCAGGAGACAGATTGTGAGAAAAATACTCATGGAACATATATCTGTCGAAGAATTGGTATCCAGTATATGTAAGAACTCAAAAAATTAATAAAAGAAGGCAGTCTAGTAAAAACTGGACAAAACACTTAAACAAATACTTTACAAAGGAAGACACATGAATGGCCACTAAGCACATGAAAAAGTGCTCAACGTCACTGGTCATTAGGAATATACAGATGAGAACTACCATGATGCTCCACTCCATGCCCATTGCAATGACTAGCAGGTCTCGATACCGGAATCTGCAATGGTACCAGTTTGCCAAGTAGTCTGCTATTGGCGAGCAGGGTTATACAGTTCCAGTTGTATGAGGGGATAAGTAGATGTTTGGATCTAATGGAACAAACAGGAAACCAGACAAGAGCCTTGAACATATTTACAAGAAAGTGATTGTTCATGGGCTGTAGACCAGACAGAGAAAGAAATAAGTACAGGAGGGAGCTGGGAGATTGTGGGAAAGGAAATATAACTATCACATTTATGAAGGTGAACATAATGAAAATGTTGACTTTGCTTTCATTAGCCTATTTTGTTTTCTCAGAGAGCATGCAACTTGTACTCCATATAATAATTCAGAAGAGAATTATAGAAAATAAAATGATTACCTTCAATGCTGTATATCTGTACTTCTTCCTCAGGCACAGTGACTGCTTCCCACTGATGGTCCTTAAAATTTAAAAACAGGTTTTGACCAAAAACAAATAATTTATTCCTGCTTTACAGCTTCTGTGATCACCATTTTTCAGTTATACAAACAATGATGGTTATTTATTACAAAGCAACCACTTGATATAACACATTTCTTGCTTCATCAATTGCATAATACATTATACATGTCACATTTAATCTATTTGTTCACTCTTAAAAGAAAATAATGGTATTAGTTTTATGGTTTTCTAGTCCATGGGATGGCGCCCAATCCACTGAGCCACACCAGCAGGGCTCAAGCAGATTTTTAAAAAGTAGAAATCATCATATAAGAAACCCAAAGTAATAAATAAATTAATTAAAAAAAAAAGAAACCCAAAGAAGTGTTTACCTAGCTTCAACAGTTACCGATAGACTGTGTGCATCTTGTCTCGTCTTCACCCCTGCTCTTCCTCCATTACACTCTCTCTTCCTCTCGGCATCAATTTTTATTCAACTCATCACTCCAGTCATCGATTTAAAAAAGTTCTTATCCTTAGTCCTGGCCAGTTTGGCTCAGCAGTTAGTGTGTCAGCCCACAGACCAAAAGGCTGTAGGTTTGATTTCCATCAAGGGCATGTGCCTGGGTTGCAGGTTAGATCCCCAGTCCTGCAACCCATGGACTGGCCGGGTCGTTTGGGAGGCAACCAATTGATGTGTCTCTTTCACATCGATGTTTCTCTCTAAAATTAAAAAAAAAAAAAGTTTCTATCCTTAAAATAAAGTAGCTAACAAAAGCCCCTCCCTTGAATCCACATCACACTTTAGCAGTTACTGTGCTCTTTCCTTTAACTTGATGCCTTTCTTTTATAATATACAGCATGTCCCAAAGAAATGTATACACAACTTTTAATAATTATAAAGCCAGTGTTTATTAAAATATAGTTCATTTTCAAAATGTAATAGAATCTAAAGACACCCTCTTTTTACATTTTTGGGTGATGCCCTGTATTTCAGCTTTCCAGGAATGCTTAAATCATTGTCTCTTAAGTAAAACTGCTTTTTCATTGATACCACTTTGACAGTGCTGATCATTTCCTCTCATGAAAACACCATTCCCTTGCCTTCCCTAACAGACCCCTTTACTTTGTTCTCTTTTGCCGATTCTTCCAGTATCCTTCGGCTAGAGTCTCTTCTATCTATCCTGTATAAATTTGTTTTTCACAGTTTTGTCATCTAGGCATTTATTAAATCTATGATTTTATTTGTAATCTTTATATAAATAGCTTTTAAATCTCCACTAAGTCTCAGTTCCCTTACCTGAACTTCAGACTGGTGTATGTAACTGCCTACCAGATAGCCCCAGCTAAATATCCCACACATATCTCCAAATCAAAACTCATTTCTTTCACCTACAAAACTTATCCTTCTGTGATAGCACTTCAACCATCCAGTTACCCAAGTTTTATTAATCCTCCCTCTTTTTACTACAAACAAATCACCAAGTCTACTCAATTCTACTTCCTCTCAAGTTTTTCTGGAATCCGTGTTTCTATCCATTCCCCACTGTGGCTTTCCAAAACCATGCACATGACTTCTCACCTGGGTCACTGCAAGTCTCCTAGCTGCTCTGGCCTTGTCTCTTTCTAACCCATTGTCCCCACCAGGACACCTTCACATGGATGTGCTCCTCAGTGCCTAACACTTCTCTGCACATAGTTCTTAATATTCATTACATTGATGTTACCTCCTACCTAGAATCCTTCTTTGGCTTCACACTACCTTATTCTTTCCAGTCTCCTTTGCACTCTTTGCACTAATCATACCATGCATCTTTCAGTCCTTTGAATATTCTATTAATGCATTCTTATAGTAAATATGAATAGCTATAAAGGAGAAAGAAAGGTCCCTGATTTCATGACTCTAATCTTCAATGGGATGAAAATAAACAAACAAACAATAAACAAAGATTTTAAGTGCAAATTACTACTATAAGAAAATAAAACAGGGCAATGTGTTGTGATGTGGCTGGGAGGCTACTTTAGGTTGAGTTACCAGACAACACTTCTATAAAGAGGTGATCTTTGTGCTGAAATCTAAATGGAAAGGAACTAAGATACAAAGATCTGGAGGAGGTTTCTAAGCAGAAGAACTGGCAAGAAGAAAGAGCTGAAATGGGCATAATCCGTATTAGAGAAACAGGAATGAAGGAAATGTGGCTGGAACATAGAAAGCATACAGAATGGTCTGAGGTGTCAGAGCAAGAGCCAGCGGTAAGATCATCAAGACCCTCACATGCCATGATAAAGACAAAAGAAGGGCTTAAAGCAGCTACTCTATGTAGAGTGCTTCTCATGAGAGAGAAGGCAGGACTAGTGTGCTGCTACAGCAATCCAGAGGAAAGGGTTCTAAATACTATATTCTGGGAAAGAAGAATATCCCAGCATCTCTAGATCAGTGTCTGGATAATAACAGGTATTAAATACTTATAATGCACTTCATATATCCCAGTCACATTTAATACTATATTGCATATTTTCTTGTCTGAATCATCCATTGCACCAAGTTGACTGGAGGCAGAAACTGCATCAATACGATTCTGTCCTCTTCTCCCAAAATGAAGTCCAGTTTCTGAAGAAAATCCAGTTAAAATACTCCTAAAAATCCTGAAGAAATAAATATACTAATGAAAAATGTCCGTGCCCCTGAGAAGCAGTGCTGGTATTTGGAACTCCATTTTAATTAAGCAGTCTAAGAAGTACTATAAAATAAAAATAATTAAAGATGTATGGAAATCCTAAAAGGCATTTGATTAATGTTCATCTGTAAGAGTTGAACTGGAAAAAAAGCAGGACTTTACAAGAGATCAACTAAAAGGACTAAAGCTTCATTATAATACCAGGAGCCACAATTAGATTAGTGAATTTTATTGTATATTATTGTAGCTATTTTAATATATTTCAGTGTTATCTCTAATTTTAATTAGTATAGTAACGTATTGAGCTAAATAGAAATAAAAACTACTTATTGCAACAGAAAAATTAATGCTAAATTTTAATCAACTCGGATTTTGGTAAAGTGATGATAAAGTTTGAGCTAGAAGTGTCCCAAAGTACAAAACATTAAGCAGTAGCTATTTGAAAACAAAAGCTCAAGAATTTTCCTCTGGTTAAAAAGAGGTCAGTAGAAAATATACCATCTGGTTGGAAGGTTTAAACATAGCTACAATATACCATGGGAGGAAAAGAACAAAAGTTCACTTCCAAATACTACCAAATAAGAATCAACTCACTATTTTCAAATAGAAGATTTTTTGAACAAATAAGACCATAGTCATTATCTGTTAATGTTTTTTTCTGAGTGCTTCTCTATTTGAGTAACCGTTTTTTCTAGATTCAATTCACTTTATTCATGTGAATGTTAAACTTTATCTGACATTAAATGTAACTTATTTGTGAAAAGCTTATGTTAAAAAACAAATATTAAAATTTAGCATTAATTTTTCTGTTGCAATAAGTAGTTTTTATTTCTGTTTAGCTCGATACGTTACTATACTAATTAAAATTAGAGATAACACTGAAATATATTAAAATAGCTACAATAATATACAATAAAATCTACATTCTTAAATTAAGACATTTTAGATATACATATAAAATAGTACACAGGGAATAAAACTTACATCATTATCTCCAGCAATGTAGAATGATAGAGTCTGGCTCCCAAGATTAAAATCTATCCAGAATTCCTCAAGTTTTTCATCTGATGGTATTTGCAGCTAATAAAATAAACATATGAAACTAATATAACTTATATGCTGTTAAAGTGACAACAGAGATTATGATCATGTAATTAAAGGCTGAGTTTTCCTTTTCTTTTTTAAAGAAGATAGCTGGAAGTTGTAAAGGAAGACAGAGGAGACAAGTATTGCATTTAAATAAATTTAGAAATAATTTTAAATTGCTGTTTAGTATTTTACACAGAAATTAGCTAGCTCCAAGCAATCACGAATATTCCAAGTGCAAATAAAGGTTGAGAGTATTAGTTTGAATATATTCATGAATGATAAATCAATAATGAACCTGATTAAGGAAACAAAAAAATCTGAAGTACAGCCTTTGTATTTCATTTATCCTCGGCTACAAATATGCCATGTTTTGTCTCTTAGATATAGAATACTATACCAGCTGGATTTGTGATCTAATTATGACTATTTTTAAAAAAATCCTTACCCAAGGGTTTTTTTTCCCATTTATTTGCAGACAGAATGGGAAGGAGAAAAAGAAACATCCATGTGAAAGAGACACATTGACTGGTTGCCTCCAGAACAACCCCGACCAGGGCCGGGGACTGAAAGGCGCCCTTGACCGGAATCAAGCCCATGACTCTGGTCCATGGGCCGACGCTCTAACTGCTGAGCCAAACCAGCCAGAGCTAATTATGACTATTTTTAATGTTCTTGACAATTTTTAATCTGTAATTCACTTGACCCTTCCTTCAAAATTCATTCAATGAATAAAACATATGTTAAAGTTAAAACTTACCTCATATTTACCAAGAAATGCCGATAAACAAGGAAATGTAAAGACCCTGAAATAAAAAGTTTGAGGTAAAGAAAAAATAAGCCTTTACAACAGCATAAGCTTGACTAGCCATAGAAATCATGCCTAGAATCAAAAGAAAATCAGGCAGTGGTCATAACGATTTAAATAAAATCATATCTCCTTTATTACTTTTTAAAAGAGTTTAATGGAAATTTGTTTCTGTAGAGAAAGCATATTACATGCTACTCAACCTATTGTTTTGACTGAAGTGATTGTACCTATTACATTCCATGCTGTGGACTCTGAGCAGAGATTCCTATCTTAGCTCGTACTATTGATACAATGCGAGTTCCCACAGAACACAGATGGGAAAAGAAGAGAAGTGATACTCCTCCTAATAAAAATGGCTGAACAGTGGGTACTTCCTTGGTCAGATATGATTGTAAGCACTACCATATAATTATCTCCTTTATTTCACACAATAAACACATTAAGTAGATATTATTAGTATTCTTATTTTACAGCTAAGGAAACAGAGATGAGTAAGGGTGAATAATCTGCCCAATGTAAGAAAAGGGAGAGAGAAACCTACAAATCCAAATAATATGACTCCTTGCACTTACCCCTCACTCTATTATTTCCTTAGTAAGTAAAGTAAATGTGAACTCAGTCATCCAGTGTGTCCTGAGCACCTATAAGGTGCCAGGCACTACAAAACCTCTGCTCTTATGTCATTATCAAAATGATAAGAATTTACATCACTCAGCCTTACATTTTCATTCCTGAGATTAAATAATCTACATTAAGTTTACCTTCTTTTGTCTCCAAGCATTCCATTTACGAGGTTGAGAAAAATCCTGCAATCCTAATTTTTTTAAAAAGAGAGATTTTTAAAAAGCATAGTAATTTTCAAAAACTATTGTTAATTTGTTCTTTTTATACTACTTACTGTTTCAAATTCAGAGTCTTTAATTCCTTTAAATGCATTAGCAATAAAATCCATTGAAAACCACCGACATGCCAGTTCTCGTCTTTGTTTTTCTGTTGTCATTCTACATAAAGCCTCTACGATACCTACTTGTAAGTCATAATCTTGAAAAAAAAGTTAATGTATTATTTGAAATTGTGAAAATTCAGTTTATAAAAGTCGATATATTTTATGAGGTATTAGAACCAACAAGATAAAGAAAATATTAGTGTAATTTACTTATCTTTTGCCATCTTCTTCATATGAATTAGAACTAGCTCATCATTATAGGAATGAATACAGCCCAAATACAAAACAAATTTACTAACAGGAGTGATAAAAAAAATTTAAAAGGATATTTAAAAGAAACTCCTAAATATTCCAAGACTCTGCCATTCCATTATTATTAGAGTTGTGTACTGTAAAATAACTCATACAATAGCATATAAATCATAGAATTATTGTTTTCCTTTTGTGTAACATGATGTTTAAAGTTATTCCAAGTACTTTAAGCCAGTGGTTTTAGTCTATAGGTAAATCACTATATCAAAATTTTCTCATATGAAACTTAGGAAAGAAAATTTGAGTTCTTTTAATAAACACATTGTTTAAAAATAAATCTATAGCCCTGGCCTGTTTGGCTCAGCAGTTGAGCGTCGGTCTGCGGACCAGAGAGTCCGGGGTTCGGTTCCTGCTAGGGGCATGTACCACACACACAAAAAATAATAACTAACTAACTAAATAAATAAATCTATAGCCCTGGCCAGTTTGGCTCAGCGGTTAGAGCGTTGGCCTGTGGACCAGAGAGTCCTGGGTTCAGTTCCCGCTAAGGGCACATGCTTTGGTTGCGGTTTGTCCCTGGCCCTGGTTGGGGTCATGTGGGTAGCAGCCACTCGATGTGTCTCTCTCACATTGATGTTTCTCTCTCTCTCTCCGCCCCCCTCTATCTGAAGATAAATGCAAAATACATAAATAAATCTATAAATCCCAAGAATATTTAACTTCCTAACTTCATAAAATACAATTTGAGAAATTTCTTAGCAAAAGTAATTCAGATCTATTAGAAAATCAAGTTATTATTCATAAATTTACTATGTAGGCACAAATTATATTTAAAAATTCCTACTGTCATTCTTAACCATTATTTCAGTCCCACAAATATTTATCATTTAATTACTTACTAAAGTAATTAAAATTGCTTGACTATATACTGTGTATAATTCCCTCACATAATCTCACTACATTTACAATGGTAATATATTTTTACTAAAAAGATACTTTCTATTAAATGTGTAATAATTCAAATATAAACATTTTGAAAAAACTTACCTCCAGCATCTAAAATCCTTTCTCCCATACTATTCCTATGAATCAAAATAACAGATTATATACTAGTATCAATTAAACAGAAAGCCCATATGTTGGGGGGGGAGGGTCACTAAAATTTACAATTGGCTAGTATCATATACTTTTGCAGAAATTATATCCATAAATTATATTAGAAACCTACAACAGTTTTATCAGTTTAAATTATTAATGCAATTCACAGTTGCCTTATTGCCTTATAAAACATCCTTTAAATTCTTGATTTGAACCACTAATTAAATCAATATAGTACAAATTATTACATGAGAATTAACATTTCTTGGTTAATGAGTATTTTCCTGGCATCTTGAGGCATTTTGTCAAGCATAGCATTCATTTTTTTTAGAGTCTACAAAAGAAAAGAAGAGATAATCTATTAATATTTTATATTCAGTAAAACATTAAGAATTTAGAAAAATATTCTAATACATAAACTTAAAAGCCTATCTTTTTCTTAATCATCTCATTTTATGCAGGGAATGGAGAAAGGCAGAGGAAAGACAATAAAGCATAAAACAGTAAATACAAAAAAACCCCATAAAACACAGAATATAAAAAAATAAATATACCATGATTTCTGTACAGTTATACTCTTTGCAATATGACATGTTTACTATTACTTTAAGAATTAGGAAGGCAAAAATATTACCTTATTAATATTTAGTCTTATGGCTATACAAATGTACACACATCTATACACTATAACACTTTATTTTTAGCATTTAACTACTCAAGAACTCCTAATATTTACATGATATAATTTATTTTCACATGAGCTATATGTATACATAAACAGACATGCTTATAAATTTTTGATAAATATTTAAGTAACATATTCATTATGTCAGGCAATGAATTGTTAAGACAATAAATATATACTACATGATAAGTAATTTAGTGCCAAGGTAAAATTATTCAATTTAATAAATTGGTACCAAATTTCCATCACTTTCTCATCTTTAGGTTTCAAAAGAAAATCTAACAAATGACTTTACCTCCTGCTGAATACAAATATTCACTCTTGAGTCAATAACCAGGGCACAAATTCGAGGTACGAAACTTTCCACTACTTGCTTTTTACCTGAATAAAAGTGTTAAGTTATTGATATATGAGTATTTTAAATTCTTTTAAATGGCAATCTTTATTTATATGAGTTAATGTAAAGGAAGTACTACTTCATTTTAGAAGAAGGTCCACTTGACTGCCCTGGGCCTCAGAAAGCATAAAATTTAATCCTGGTTCTGCTACTAACTAGCTATGTAGCTTTGACAAAACAAACAAACAAAAAACCATCAATAGATGTGACTGATCTTAATTCTGGCAAAGGAATCCAAATCCAGCTTCTCCTTTCAGGCACCAAAGGCACTTTTTTTGGATGAAATAAATATAATTCAAAAGTGTAAACTTCTATATTGAGATTTTTAGAAAACTGGCCTCATTAATAGTAATACTCAAAAATTCTATAATAGCCATCAATACCCCTCAAGCTCATGAAGATCTAAATATCTTTAGCTGTTTCTAAAAGCCAATCCTATTCTCAAAAGACTAAGTATATTTAAATAAATTTTCCACATGCTATTTTATAATGCAAATTTAAAAATAATTTTAAATAATAGCAATACTATAACAACCTTCCAAAGTGACCATATTGAAAAAAATAATCACTCAATTAAAAGAAAAGATATAATAATTTACTTTAAAAAAAAACCTGTTGGATCACTATAATCACTGGCAGTTTAAGAGTGTTTTCTCTCCTAAAAATGTAAGAATTTAGACTAGATTGTTATGCTAATTGCAAAGAAATCATTGAAAAAAAAGCAGCATTAAACTACTATTGAAATAAACAGTAATTACTCTTTTGTTTTTTAAGTAGTACTTGGGTATATTTTAGAGAAAATTGTTTAGAAAGGCTATTTCAAAGTGGTTTTTGGGCAAACAACTGAATGAATTCAAGAGTGAGCCATGAGTGTATCTGAGATCGGTCTACTGTCGAGGAGATGGCACGTGCTGACACAGAGCAAAGCAATAGCAAAGAGAGCAGTGATCAAGGGGACAGTCTCCAGATGAGATCAGAGCGTTTGGGTCTTGAAGACGTAGCAATGATTTTGAAATCTGACAACCACGTTTTGCTGATGATCAATGGCCTAAAATTTTATATCTATGTAATTCTCAACTATCATATATGATATCTTTTGTGTAGTAGTTCAACTAAAAGTACATATGGTTTTTCAAAGACATTTTCAAAAAATGTTTTAAAAAATGAGGAATGCCCTGGCCAGTTTGGCTCAGCGGGTAGAGCGTCGGCCTGCGGTCCGGAGAGACCCGGGTTCGGTTCCTGCTAAGGGCACGTACTTCGGTTGCAGTTTGGTTGTGCGGGTGGCAGCCACTCGATGTGTCCCTTCGTGTCGATGTTTCTCTCTCTCTCTCCCTCTCCTTTCCTCTCCCTCCCTCCCACTCTATCTGGACAAAAAATGGAAAAATATCCTCGGGTGAGGATAAAAAAAATAAAAAATAAATAAAATAAAATAAAAAATGAGGAATAAATTAAAACTCTTCTGCAAAATATAAACATTTTGAGGGGTGTCTACATAAAATGCAAGTCTATTAGTTTTCCCATCTTTTTTTTTTTTTTAATCCTCACCCAAGGACATTTTTCCATTTTTTGTCCAGATAGAGTGGGAGAAAGAGAGAAAGAGACATCAAAGTGAAAGGGACACATGGAGTGGTTGCCACCCACACGACCCCAACCAAGGCCGGGGACAAACTGCAACCGAGGTACATGCCCTTAGCAGGAACCGAACCCAGGTCTCTCTGGACTGCAGGCCGACATTCCAACCGCTGAGCCAAACCGGCCAGGGCTATTTTCCCATCTTAATAGGGAAATCTCCTTTACTCATAGCTAACAAAACAGCAATTGATCTTTAACCATTTGGCTTTGAAGGCAGCAAATAGCAGCTGTTCCTTTATGTATAAATAATTGACCAGCCTCAATTACCAATCCTAGGTAATTCTTCCTCAAGCAACACAGATAATCACTTGAACTGATTGCTTGCCACCAGACACCTGCTAGCCATAAGTGAAAGGAAGAGTTCTCAGTGACTGAAAATTTTGTTCCATTAGCTCAAGGGTTAGCAAACTATGGCCCCAAATTCAACCCACTGCCCATTTCTGTAAGGCTGTATTATTCATCAGCAAGTACTCTGTGGAAATATTTGAGTCTATCATGTTTTATTGAACCAGCATTGTCAAGGTGAATTTCATTCACTCTCATGAACTTGGCCATCATCAGTTACCAGTGAATGACTTTGGTAAATAGCTTGTGCTGCAGAGTTGATAATGTTTCTTAATGAATTCAACCCAAAATTACAAGGCAAAACTGTGCCATACTTATACTTCAGTAAAGTCATTTCAATGTAACTAAAGTTATCTGCATTATGAGTAAAACCAAACTGCTTTCTGTACTTCCTGGGCTGTCAAAGGTTAAAACAGGAATTGACATCTCCATCCCTACTTCTTACACAGGTAAGAATCCCCTATAAAGGGGATATATTTATTTCATGTTCCAACTACAGGTCCAGCAGCATTTTTGGACATTGATATAATTGCAAGAGAAAATTTCCATATGTTAAAATCTAACTGTGCATTTGAGGAGCTTCCACTTAACCTTCAATTGAAAGTGATTAATCTGCAATGCAATGACATTCTAAAAGGCAAATATTAAGACAAGAACCTAATATAATTCTATAAATGCGTTCCAAGTGATGAATATGCTTAATTAAAAATCATTATCTGTGTGAAAAGACATTTTCTAACACAATACACATAAAATCTCATGACAGATAAGCATTAACAAATTAATATTTGTAATCAATTTTGACAACAGCAAAAACTTTGAACCTAAATAAGTGAAATATCCCATCAAAAAAGAGCACTATTCTCCACATTAGTATACCTGTATTACTAAAACATTGTACTCAATAATTATATTTTGAATTGCATCAATCAAACATCTGTGGAAATCTGTTTTCTTTCTTGTTATATAAGTATCTACATATTACCCTCAATTTTTTTTTCTTGGCCCACAAAACCTAAAATATTTACTCTCTGGCTTTTTACAGAAAAGTCTGTTGATCCCTGAATTAGATAATGAATTCGTAATACAGTATTAGGAAAATGCTATGAGAATTGCAAAATTATACTAAAAATCTAACTGCAAATTACTGTTCCATAAAAATAAAATGTTTATTATACCTTCATCACTGATGCCATATATGACCTGAAAAGTAAGTGAATAATATTTATAATTTACTATCTTACATTATAAACCATTAAAAATAGTATTAAAATAACAGGTTACATTTGAACTCACCACATTAGTACTTATTATTTAATTACATTATTCAGGATAAATGTTTTATACAGTCGGAACAGGTTAATCCAACCAAGTCACAAACCAATCTTTTAGTGACTTTTAGGCTCTTAAGGCATATAGAAGACAAATGTTTTTAAATAAACACATGCTTTATAACATTGGTTAATTAATGTGACTTTACCATCAAAAGATCAAATAAGTCTTCTATCATATTTATAACAGCTTCATCTTTTGAATTTCCTCGACTCAAAATTATCTCCTTGGATTTTTCAAACCAGGTAACCATGTAAAGAAAAATGTATATACTAGTTACTTAAAATTCAATTTTGAGAATGTACTTATTTATCTTTGTATAAATAGGAAACCTAGGAATAAAGAAATTAAAAAAAAAAAAAAATCCCGGTATTGTATCAAAATAAATGTATGCTTTCAAACATTGTCATTAACTCACTGCATTTTCCCACTGTTTAGATGGGAATAGATAAAGTTAATCCTAATTCTACATAGAAGGCCTTTATATCCCCCTTCAAATTTCTAGTTCGGGTACATTCATATAATGGATGAAAATAAATCATCACAAGTTAGTCTTTTGGCACTGCTACTATTTGAAAATTCTTGGTATTCTTTACTTTTAATAAATTCAGGTATCTGAATGTAAACTACATCTTAGACACACTGTTCTTGGCACTGGGTATCCAGCAATGAACAAAACAAAAATCAGTATCCTAGCCCGCCAGTGTGGCTCAGTGGATTGAGCGTCGTTTCATGGACTGAGAGGCCCCGGTTCGATTCCCCAGTCAGGGCATATGCCCAGGTTACGGGCTCAATACCCAGTAGGGGGCATGCAGGAGGCAGCCGATTGATGTCTCTCTCTCACATAGATGTTTTTCTCTCTACCTTCCTCTCTAAAAAATCAATGAAAACATTTTAAAAAAGTCAATATCCTGTAATTCTAACATGGCAGATGGACAATAAATATAAAAATTAATAAAGTTAGCCCTGGCCGGTTTGGCTCAGCGGTTAGAGCGTCGGCCTGCGGTCCTGAGAGACCCGGGTTCGGTTCCCGCTAAGGGCGCGTACCTCAGTTGCAGTTTGTCCCCGGCCCTGGTCGGTTGTGCGGGTGGCAGCCACTCGATGTGTCCCTTTCACATCGATGTTTCTCTCTCTCTCTCTCTGTTCCTCTCTCTCCCTCCCACTCTACCTGAACAAAAAATGGAAAAATTTCCTCCGGTGAGGATGGAAAAAAAAAAAAATTAATAAAGTTAGATAGTGATTAAGATGAGCAAAAGAGAAAATAAACCAAGTAAAGTCCCTAGGGAGAATTGTGACCTTAAGTTCACATGATTATCAAGGAGCCTGTGCATAGTTTCCTTGTGATCTTTATCTTTGTAATATACTTCAGGTTATAAAAATATTTAACTCAAATTTTTTTTTTTATCCTCATCCGAGGACATTTTTCCAAGTTTTGTTCAGATATAGTGGGAAGGAGAGAGAGAGAGAGAAACATCGACGTGAAAGGGACACATCGAGTGGTTGCCACCCGCACAACCCAACCAAAGCCGGGGACAAACTGCAACCGAGGTACATGCCCTTAGCGGGAACCGAACCCCGGTCTCTCTGGACCGCAGGCCGATGCTCTAACCGCTGAGCCAAACAGGCCAGGGCTAACTCAAAGTTTTATACAAAGTCTCCAAATTTATTTTTTCAACAGTTTGAACCATTTATTTTATTAGAAAGCACACCTTTAATCATATTTCCCTCTCATGAATGTTACATATTCTATACTTATCTTTTGCACTAGTCCTTGTTTTATCAAAGTTAGAAGTCCAACTTGCCCCAAAATACTGATATTTTTGCCACATCTTCCAAAGGAAATCAAAATGATTGAAACATTTTGGATATCCTTTTTATTAAGTTCCTGAAATGAAAAGTATACATTTAAACATCTGTTAACACAAAAGAGTATGGAATGGCATTGAGCTAAAAGCTTGATAATCCTCACAAATAAATCCTGAAAGTCAGCCATGATTATAATCTTCAAGGGCAAAGGACAAAATATGGTTTTTTAAAAAAGCAACTTAAAGCCAGTAAGTAACAAACTCAGTACAAAAATGCAGATCTGGCCCTGGCCAGGTGGCTCAGTTGGTTGGAGCATCATCCTGTACACCAAAAGGTTGTAGGTTCAATTCCTGGTCATGGCACATTTGTAGGTTGCAGGTTAGATCCCCAGTCGGGATACATTTGGGAGGCAACCAATTGATGTTTCTCTCTTTTTCTCACTCTCTTTCTTCTCTCTAAAATCAATAAAAACATATCTTTGGGTGAGGGTTTAAAAAAATGAAGATCTGTGTAAATTCAAGAAACGTTAGACTATGATACAAAGTTACCTTCCATTCTAAAAAGCTCCATGTATCTAACAGATACAAGAAATATTTACTTAATCTTTTAGTCAAAGCAAATCTCAAGTACTGGAAGGGACGGTCAGTAATCACATTTTCTCACATATAAACCTCCCTTGCATATGGTAAATCAAGTCCAGGGGTTTGGATATATATATTTCTTTATATTTACAAACACTAGGCATTGTCTATATAACATGAAGAATATGCTGATAGATTTTTAAAAAAATAGATCAAGTTTTTTAAACTTCCAACAGGTACACTATTTCTCCTCAATGGTAACTCTGTAAACACAGGTCTTTGAATACTTTATTTAGAAAATGGTCCAATATGTTATTTGGAGCTTGTCAAATTAAAAAAAAAGTAAGTAGTAAAATAAGCATTTGTTTATATAATTGTAAGCAAACTTGCCAAAGCCTTTTTATCCATCTCTTCCAATGGAATGCTTCTTCCTGGAAAGTAGATTGCTATCTAATAATTTTAACAATCAATGACCAAAAATATTTACCCTGCATATAAGGTCATCCAACTTGTGGAAAAACTGTTTGCTGCATTTAATCTTCACATCTTCACTAATATCAATTTGTAAAAGTGTTTTCAAAGGTTTGAAATCATTTTTTCTTAAAGCATCATCAATGCATTTTTCCAACTGCTAGAGAAATATAGTTAATGGAACAGATATTGAATCAAAACCAAAATTAGTAACCTTATGCAATCTAGTAATTTGAGAATTGTTTCCACATGAAAATTTTCAGAAGGGCTTACACAATATGAATTCACACTTATTTTTTAAAAAAACTTTCCACTCTTAAAATTGGAGTAAAGTAGTTAGATTAAGTTTCTTTGATAAGATTCTATGTAGGAAAAATATATTTTGCTAATTTTCTATTTTATGTCTTAAATTGGAAAGTCATCATTATGTTGAATTCAACAAAAGCCTGTTAATAAAAGGAGTAAAATAAACTTTATAGTAAATAATCTGTAATACCATAGATAAAAGTTTAACGTATCTATCAAATTCTTAATGAGATTTAAATGTTAAAATATGCATAAAAACAGGTAAAAGCACTATTTAGAAACTATACCACCCAACCTGACTTAAGCAGTACACACACAACACACATGTAATTTATTATATTACATATTTATAGTCATGTGCCACATGATGAGGTTTGGGTCAACAACAGACCACATATATGATGGTGGTCCCACAATATTATAATGAACCTGAACTGTTCCCATTGCCTAGTGACATCGTAACCTCTTATCACAACACATTACTCACATCTATGGCAATGCTGGTGTAAACGAACCTACTGCACTGCCAGTCATATAAAAGTATAGTACGTACAATTACATACAGCACGCAGTACTTGATAATGATAATAAACAGTTTTGTTACTGGTTTATGTACCACACTAGACTTTGTATCACTTCGGAGCGCACGCTCCCTACTTGTAGACGTCTGCTGTAGAACAGTTGCCATCAGGCCTGCAGCAGCCTCATACATCTCATGTTTACTGCCTCTCTTGACTGCATCATTTTCTCTTGCGTTTGATTTCCTCTCATGTTGTTTAATAAGTTCAGTGTAGCCTAAGTGCGCAGTGTTTACGAAGTCCGCCTGAGTGCAGTGATGTCCTGGCCTTCCCCTTCACTCACCACTCACTCACACAGAGCAACTTCCAGTCCTGCAAGCTCCCTTCATAGCCAGTGCCTTACAGAGCTGTACCATTTTCTATCTTATACCATATTTTGACTATACCTTCTCTATGTTTAGATACACACACAAATACTTACCATTGTGTTATAATTGCCCACAATATTCAGTACAGTAACATGCTACACAGGTTTGTGGCCCAGGAGCAATAAGCTATACACCATGTGGTCTAGGCTAGACCATCTAGGTTTGTGTAAGTGCACTGTGATGTTTGCATGACAGAATTGCCTAATGACACATTTCTCAGAAAGCATCCCCATCATTAAGCAGCGTATGACTGTATAATCTTTACAAAACCTGCCATCCCCAGTATTAATGTAAACATCATTAATAAGTACTTTTCATACTACAATCTGATCACCAGAATTGGGGGTGAATTGCATAGAAGTTAAATAGCTAAAACTTACTCTTTACCTAAATGAAGTATCTTACAATTTTAAACCTTGATATGATAATGTCCAGGCATAAGTTTTATACATGAATCAATGCATGATTTCTTTCAATGTATAAAATATATAGAGAGACAGATGTATACACCACACACACACACACACACACACACACACACACACACTAATTAGCATCTATACTTCAAATGTTTTAAATACAGCTTTGAAAACAAATCTATTGAAAAAAAATGAAAGGATAACATTTTAATTTAAATTAGTCTCCTCTTAAAAATATAGCACTTAATACCTATAAATGAACAAAAAGTGATCTCAGGAACTAAAATAAAGTATTTGCTTCTGGTCGTGGACCACATACCTGGAGATCTGGTCTTATTGGCATTTTGACTAAATTTTCAAATGGCAGGTCAGAACAAACACCTATAAAAGAAAACATACACTTGCTGTATCTTACAATCTGTTCCACATATTTACAATTTAAAATCTTAATACACATAAATAAGCATTGCTGCTTATACCAAAGGCAATAAATATTGTTTCTTTAAGTTCCTCACTATTTATGAAATTATTCATTTTAATTTGGCCAAAGAAGTTTCTGTAGAAAAGCCTGAAGATCATTTATTCAAATTTTCTCTTTAAATAAATTACTTAAAATGCCAAAAGCCCTGCTAAAAGGTGACAAAACTAGTGCAAGAAGACAAACCGGGATCTCCCTCATCCAAAAGTCCTGCTATATTTGTTTCTACTTTGGGGAAAAATAAGAAAAATAATCTTGAATTAATGTCTGAAAGACTTGTAATAAAACAGTTAAGCCCTGGCCGATTTGACCCAGCGGTTGGAGCGTTGGCCTATGGTCTGGAGAGACCCGGGTTCGGTTCCTGCTAAGGGCACGTACCTCGGTTGCAGTTTGTCCCCGGCCCTGGTTGGGTCGTGTGGGTGGCAACCACTCGATGTGTCCCTTTCACATCAATGTTTCTCTCTCTCTCTTTCTCCCTCCCACTCTATCTAAAAACAAAATATCAAAAAGTGTCCTTGGGTGAGGATTAAAAAAAAAAAAAAAAACCAGTTAAGAAGGAAGAATATGTGAGTATATTACCAAAGAACAAGATATATGAGAATACACAAAAATTCAATAAAAGGAGTAAGGAAAAGATAACCTAAGCCCATTTTCTCTTCAAAGGTGAATGGAAACAGCAAACAGTAGGGTTACATTAAGCACCATCTACCATCTTAACAAAAGTATCTAAAATGTCCAAATTCAATTGGGAGGTTAGCTCTATAAAGGAAAAGAAATACTACAATCTTTCCTAGATAGCACTAGAACAGTTTAAAAACAATCTACAATTAACAAAAAATCCAATACAGAGGCAATTAATTCATTAATTCAAGAGTAATAGAGGACTTGTACCCATAAGACAACAAGAAACATTAGTCTACTTTCTTGCAGATATGCCAGTAGAGAGATTGAAGTGCCCATGAGGAAATACATATACGGCATAGAAAAAGGGTGAGTAAGAAAATCTCTTGCATTTCCAAAGATTGACTCTAGGGGACAAAATCCTGATCCCCAAAGAAACATTTGCTCCACGTGTATAAAGAACCAGGTCTAAAATGTTTTTGCAGCATTGTTTTGAGAGGCAATGATTCAAAAACACCTAGATGGGATTTGGGAATGAGAGGGAGGGTAAGAAATAAATAAAATGTGATATATGGTCATTTTGTGAACATAATAGTTAAATAAAGTGGTCCAGAATTTTAGATATTTGTAGTCAAGTTTAAGTGGTTAAAACTACGCTGCCAAATGATACGTACAGTGAAAAAAAACTTTGTGATATTTATATGTCTAGCTGTAAGCATGTATATATACATATTTAAGTGTGCGCATGTATAGATAGACATACATTCACTTATACGACTCAGGACAGTTGGAATGCTTATGAGGCTCATTGGGAAAGAGGAGTAAGAAGTCGTACGGAATTGTAATTGGCTATCTGCCAAAGGAAGGCTTTAGTTTTATTTGTAATTTATACTTATATATCTTACTGAAAGTACAGTAAATTCTTGCCCAAATGCAGGTGAGTGGGGTCTAAAACATGGGATCAGTAAATTGTGGGTTTGGGTTATTGTGAGGGAAATGAAATGACCAAGCCTAGCCTTGGCAGTCAAACAGCTGGGAGTCCAGCCACTCCATCCAAATCTATCCAGGACCTAACTGTGGCTTTGCCCCATCTGGTTGTGTTTATTTATCCTGGTTTAACTATTAGAGGGGCCAGTCTAGTCTGTGGCTAGCTGGGGATTTCAGTACACCAACAAGGATTCCAGGATCTCTGTAGTTAGTCACTGCAGTCAACTAATAGAGATTTGACCTGGAAAATATTGGAAATGCAGGGACACACTCTTTGCCTCCCCAGTTCCTAAGAAGGAGTTAGCCTATTTTCTGCTTGGTTTCACTCTTTCTTTTATTCTTCCCAGGCCCTCGCATAAGGTAGAAATTTAGCCTGGTCCTGTCTGAAAATATTATATCACGTTTTAATATTTTAGCTTAAAATATGCTTGTATGTTTATATATACATATGTATATAAGCACATATATGCATGTGTGCATGTATAAACTTGCTTTATAGATAAAGAATAGAAAAAAAGATAGGGAAAATATCATTTCAAATATGCAGATAAGTAAGTAATTCAGGTTAGCAACCCATATCAACCCATAGGCCTTAAAGCTTAGAGGGGTAGCTGTCTTCAGGAGGAAATATTCCTTGGGACAGAAAAACCAGGTTGAGGACATAATCCAGAATATCACAAAGACAATACAGAGAGAAAGCTGGGATATATAGGAGAAATGCAGACATTCCAAAACCTTATTCAATATGAATTTCAGAAAAAAATTTAAAAATAAAAAAGAGTGGGGTGATAACAGTTGAAAAATTGCCAAGAACTTTCCCAAAATAAATATTAACATCCACAATTTGAAAGAGTCCACTCATTTCCAAGGAAGATAAATAAGAAAAATACACCTAGACACACTGTGAGGACATTTCTGAATAAGAATAAAAGAGAAAATCATGTCCGGCTGGTGTGGCTCAGTGGTTGAGCGTTGACCCCTGCACCAAGAGGTTGCTGGTTCGATTCCCGGTCAGGGCACATGCCCAGGTTGTAGGCCCAATCCTCAGTGGGGAGAATGCAAGAGGCATCCAATTGATGTTCTCTCTCATTGATGTTTCTATCTCTCTCTCCCTGTCCCTTCCTCTCTCTCTGAAATCAATAAAGAAAAAAAAAGAATAGAATAGAAAATCACCAGAACAAAAACAAACAGAAACATTCAATAAACCAATAGATACCCTGTTCTCACAATGCAATAAAAATTTAGAAATCAGCTACAGTGGTAGCCTCAGACCTCCTATATATTTGGAAACTAAAATATGTACATTTGAATAGTCCATGGGATATAAAGAGATGGAAATGACAAAATATTTAAATGTATAAGAACATGTATACATATTTAAACCTATAGGATGCAACCAAAGCAATAGATAAATGCAATTTATAGACTTGAATGAACTTATTAAAAGGTGAGAAACAGACCCATACGATCTCCAGAGAGTAGGGTTATTAAACAAATACTTTGAAATAACTAAGTACTGTGTACATAAAGATTATTAAATGAGACTGAAAATTTTGGCAGAGAACTAGAAATTGGGGATGGGGTGGGGAGGAGTAAGGGCACGGAAAATTTGAAAAACCACCAAATAATTCTAGAAACAAAAATAACAAAATTATTAAGAACAAAGTGGATGGGTTTAAACAGCAGGTTAGACAGAGATGAAATGAAAATGAGATAAACACAACAAACTGGACAACCTAGAAGAAAGGACAGCTGGAAGAAACAGCCAACCTACTAATGCTGAATCGATCATAAAGAAATAGGAAATCTGAACAGATCATTACAAAAGGAGATTGAATCAGTAATCAAAAACTTCTCAACAACAACAAAAAAGTTCAGGATCAGATGGCTTCATTGGTGAACTCAACCATACATTTAAAGAACTACACCACGCCCTGGCCTGTTTGGATCAGCAGTTAGAGCATCTGCCCGCTGATCAATGAGTCGCGGGTTCGATTCTGGTCAAGCGCACGTACCTCGGTTGTGATTCGTCCCTGGCCCTGGTTAAGGTCATGCGGGAGGCAGTCACTTGATGTGTCCCTTTTACGTCAATGTTTCTCTCTCCCCGCCCCCATTCTATATGAACAACAATGTCCTCCGGTGAGGATAAAAATAAATAATAACAAATAAAGAACTACACTAATCCTTCTCAGACTCTTATTTATATAAATATGTGTGTGTGTACGAAACACTTCTAAACTCAGTTAAAGAACCATCATTACTGTGATACCAAAGTAGCTATGCTACAAGAAATTACAAAAGTGCTGGGAAAAAACCCTGAAAACTAGAGTTCTATAGCCAGCAAAGTCAAAATTACTAAAAACAGTATTAAGAAAAAGAAAAATGGATCAATAAAACTGCAGTTAATTACACTATTCTGTTTATTTGGTATATGATGGAAATCTTCCACAATAAAAACAAGTTTAAAGAATTTCAAGGGCGAGGGGAGGCTAAAACAACGCAGACAAAGTTGTAGGTTGTGCTGATACTGGCATTTTAGCCTCTAGTTCAGAATGGAGCTACAGTTTGAACATTCTAAGTGATCTCAGGTCGGAGGAAAGATAGTGATTAACTGTCTAGTCCTTCCTCCGGCAGAGCTTACAGCTGATTCTTGCACAAGGAGGAACTGATTCTTAATAGTCCAAATGTCCAGTTTCTTCTCTTTGTATTCCAACTTGTGGCCCTGGAATCACTAGCATCTCTGTGCACAGTATTTGCAACCATTGCACATAGTGCCTGAGAAACATTTGCAGTTCTAAACAACTTACATTCTTGTTTAATTTGTATCTATGTGAATCTAGACATAACTGCATGAACATAAGATGGACTTGTGAAAATGGCAGATGACAAGCAAACACTACAATGGTGACTATGTTTATTTTTATAAAAATATTTAGTAAGATTTATTTATTAAGACATAATTTATTAAAACAATTTTATTAATGTTCATTAATAATTTGTGTTGAACATTAATTTAAAAATAATTTTAATATTTCAAAGAATTTTTTCAAACAAGTTATTTTATATTTATTTCATGTTTTTGATAAAATATACTCAAATTAGTATATGTATATATATGTGTATATATATATATTTTGGTACATGCCCCTAGTGGGAACCGAACCCGGGACTCTCTGGTCCACAGGCCAATGCTCCAACTGCTGAGCCAAACCGTCCAGGGCCAAATTAGTATATTTTGAATAATTACATATTGTTTTAATCCTTAAATTATACTGTCAATAGAACTCAAAATAAGTAAAAGTCTAGATTACAATATATTTACTGACTTTGCTAAAATAAAAAAATACAGCATACTAGTTTATTAATTATATAGGTCATTATTTTATTACTTATCCAAAATGCACCAGTCCATCATCAAATATCCGTAATAAGTGAATTCAGTATCTTTGATATTTTACCAGTACTCAATCATAAAAATAGCTTTACATATATTTTTCTATCTTGTTGCAATGATGGTATATTTGTGAGATTGAAGACTAGAACATTTTATTTCACAATGTGAAAACTTCATTAAAAAGTTTAAATACTTAAAATATACTGTAGGGGCCTCCATTTGACTCTTTGCCTAGGGCCAGCAACTGTTGGGACAAGCTCTCACATCCGAGACCATCTTAAACTAAATACCATTTACAAAATACTCCAAGAAAAGAAATACAGCACAGAAGAATTACTTGTGGCCAAGAGGCCCATAAAGCTAACAGGTCGGTTTAGTTTCTAAGTCTACTTTTGTGCATGAAGTCAGCCGAAGAAAAGGAAAATTAATTAGTATCTACACAGGCCGATTTTTAAAAGAAAGTAAAGTCAACAACACAGTCCCTCCCCCCTTCTCCCTCCCTGTGAAGGCTGAATTCAGTGGAGCCCAAATGTAGTGCTGTCCATTCCGCACGTCAAACACGCTCAGCCGAAAGGGGAGGCTAATCCCGGGAGGAAACGAGTGACAGGCTGACTCTCCACCACCACGAGCACACGATCGAAAACGTCCTCACGAAGCACTGCGTCACAGAACAAGGAACAACAAAACCACCCGGAAACACGGACAGAATTACAACTCCCCAAGAAGAGCCGGGGGTTGTGTGTCCACTGAGCAGGCTGAGTCCAGGTCGGCTGACAGGCAAACCCGAGAACCAGCGAGATGACCGTGTGTGTCAGGCAGAAAAGGGGTTAAGGTTTATTTTTTAGTGTAAATTTTTTTCTTTATTGATTTGAGAGAGAGAGGAAGGGAGGGGGAGAGAGAGAAACATCGATGAGAGAGAACATCGACTGGCCGCCTCCTGCACGCCCCCCACCGGGGACCTGGCCCACTGCCTGGGCGTGCGCCCCGACCTGGAATCGCACGGGTGACCTCTTGGTGCAGGGTCGAGGCTCAGCCACCGAGCCACCCCGGCGGGCAGGGGGTTAAGGTTTAAAAAAAGAAACAACCCCACACAGCTGGACAAAGTGGGGAGGCGTACCCCCGCAAACGGAATGGATGCCAGCAGCAAGGCAGATCACTGCAAGGCCGCTTCGGCCACCGCAGAGATCTGACACTTGCAAAGGTCACCGAGCCGCTAGAAGACGCCCTCTTCCATAAGGACTAAGCGTTAACGCAGCTATTTAGCACCACGCTGGGGTGCGCCCCCGAAATCCAGCATTCGGGGGCATGTCATTCTGATCGCTCCTCGGATACAGGTGCCATCAGAACACAGTAAGAGAGGGAGCCTAGGACGCGAGCGGACATGCGCAGACACTTAGTCTAGTCGGGCGCAAGGGGCGGGGCCGCGGCGGGGGCGGGGCCCGCAGCGTGGGCGGGGCCAGGCGTGGGCGGGGCCAGGCGTGGGCACGCAGTCCTCCCTCCAGCCGGCCTCGTGCTACGCCCCGCCCCCAGCGCGGCTGCCCCGTTTCCAAAACCCGGGGACAACCGGACAGGGCCGAGCCGGCCCGCGCGACGGAACCAGCGTGGCCGTTCGGGGACACGCAGTCCGGACACGGAGAGGGCTCGCGTCCACGTCCCGCCCCTCCCGCCCAGGGCACAGACTGGGGCCCCCACGGCCGCTCCCCGCGCGCCGGCTGCGCACGGCCCTCCGGACGCCCTCAGCCCCAGCGCCGCCGGGCCGTGTCCACAACAGCGTCTCCTTCGCTGTGGGGCCCCGCCGGCCGGCTCCCTGAGCCCCGGCCCCGCAGCCTCCCTCCGCGCGCCCCGCCGTCGGGGACACCCGCCCGTGGGCCGGGCCCAACCTGCCCGCTCTTGGGAGGCGTCGCGTCGCGTCCCGTCGAGGAGCCAACGGCAGCCCGGCGTCGTGTCCCAGCGCCTCAGCGTCCGCGGCGGTATTTGAGGCGGCCGGCGGAAGGCGGGAAGCGCCCGGCCAATCGGCGAGAAGCGCCCGTCCAATCGGCGCTACGTGCGGGCGACCCCACGCCCAATCAGCACCACCGCTTGGCCAGGCCCCGCCCCTCGTGCCCGAGGCGCGCGCAGGACAGCAGGAGCCGCGGTGGGCGTGGCGCAGAGCCTCAAGTAAGTGGACTGCCGCGTGCCGGACCCTGACCCCAGCCCTGACTCCTGACCCCCGCGGGCCCCAGCTCCTCCGCAAGGCTGCTCCTCGGGGTCGCGCCGCGAGAGGCGGCTCCAGCGTCTCTCCCCTTCCTCCCGTGCTGCGGACGCGCCCGAGCGGCCCTGCGGCCAGCCGGCAGGACGCCAGACAGAAAGGCCCGCGGGCCCAAGGAGACCCCCTCCCCGGGCTCCCACAGCCGCTTCGGGGTGGGGGCTGGACGCGGCCGCAGAAACGGGGAGGCGGGGGAAGCACCGCCGGAACCTGCGAGGACGCGAGGGTTGCACGGCCTGGTTGCAGGCCGGCAGAGGGCAGCAGAGCCGCGCCCGGCCACGTCCTGGCGGAGCGCCACCGAGCCGCCGCGCCCCGCCCCCAGGCTGCGGGCCGAGCACACCCGTCAGTCACGCTCCCTGTCCGCCGGCCACGCCCCCTCCTTCCGGCTGCCACGCCCCGCCTGGCCCCGCCCCGCCCCCAGGCTGCCGCTGAGCACACCCGTCAGTCACGAATCTTGTCCGCCGGCCACGCCCCCTCCTTCCGGCTGCCCCGCCTGGCCCCGCCCCGCCCCCAGGCTGCTGGCCGAGCACGCCCGTCACGAATCCTGTCCGCCGGCCACGCCCCCTCCTTCCGGCTGCCCCGCCCCCAGGCTGCCGGCCGAGCACACCCGTCGGTCACACTCCCTGTCCGCCGACCACGCCCCCTTTTCGCGGCCGCCACGCCCCGCCTGGCCCCGCCTGGCCCCGCCCCACAGCTGTTCGCCTCCTAGGTTTCCTAGAAGCGGGTGCTGGGAGGAGCTGCCTCCTCCTTTAGGCAGAATCCAAGATCCCTGTGGGAAATCAGGCTGACACCACCTGGGCGCGATACTGAGCAGAATCATTAGTATGTTCCAGTATCGTTTAGTATATTAGTATCGTTTAAAAATGACAAAGACAACGATGCTTGGGGAAGATATACAAGCAATTCGGAAACGGATACAGCACTTCAAAAATTCAAAGTGGTGTGTTCAAAAAGCGTAGGGACTGTTTAGTAAACGTCAGGAAACTGCCACAAGGAAGAAGGAACCCCAACCACTCATTTTAATCTTATTTTAATTGTTTTTAAGTAGGTTTTTAGATTATGGTGTGAGATTAAAAAAAAACAACACCTCGATCATCATCAAAATTGGGCTCTGATGTAGGTTTGAAGACCAGCTTTGCTGTTTGCCAGCTGTGGGTCTTTCAGTGAATTAGTTAAACCTCTCTGAGCTCCACTCTCTCCATTGATAAAAATGGGGATATTATCTACCATGTAGTGTCGTTTTCAGAATTAATGAAGTCAAATATAGCACCTAGCACTGTGGGCAAGCTAATAAGAGAGGACACGATAAACGTTTGTTTCCTTCCCCTATGTGCCAGGCTTTACCCTTGGGTCACAACCCTGGGGGGAGGCAGACACACACAACTATTCCATGCATGAGATTTAATAAGCAATGTAAGAGAAGTACAATGCTATCCCATCCCCTACAGTCCCCTAGTGCTTGCTTCATAAGTGACCTGGCACAGAAGATTGTATTTCAGTTTCTCAAAGATACACACAACTGTGCTACTGAAACTGGGGTGCCAGCATACTTTTTTTTTTTTAGCAAGGCACGAAATCTGACTGTTTTGAGAAGAATAAGACTTAACTGGGAAATGATTTAAACGATCAGTAAGTGTCTAACACCTTGTTTCCGTAATGAGACCACAAGAAAAACACATTCCAGCTAACATTTTGTGCACGTACAGTTTAATTTTAGGCCTGGGTGACATTGTCTTAAATGACAGACATTAAAATATGTTTGAGGAGACAACCCAACAGTTGCACAACCCACTACAAAATGTTAACATCTCAGCAACGTAACTGTTTTAGGCTCTGAAAGTTCTTGTTCAGCTAAACGTTATCAACTGGGCAAGTATATTTAAGCTTTTAAAAGGCACATTGAGATTCTCTTAATACTGAAGATATAATACTGACTTTATATTCTATGACCAGAGCCTTTTTGGCAAGTGACTTATGTGGATTATAAGATGATCAAAATGCCTTTATACAACCATACACTTGGCAGCTCTAACTTGGATAATGGTCTTGTACTCTGGGTTAGGGCCAAGGGCATAGCAGCCAGGGCCCTCACAGGCTTGCTGACCTAATTGGAGTTTGTTAAACAACAGGAAATGCAACCAGGCTTCTTTCTCTCTTGCATGTCAATGTAGTGAACAGTGCTAATAGCCAAAGGTTGTTCAAATTAATCTCAATAGTTTAAATCAAAATTCAGTGTTTTTAAATCAGAACGTCCTCCCTCTAGATCAGAAAGCCTCTTTCTTCAAAAGTTGCCATTGGAAAAACATTGTTTAAAAGGCAAAACTCACCCTTTACATAGTGACTTAACAAATGTCAACAAGCATTTAAAAATATAGAGTTAACTCCTTGGTGACAGCCATCACAAAACTGACTACGCCAGCTTCAACTGTATTGTAATTAAACTTCACAAGTTGGAGGCCTTGGCTGGGTTTTCACACTTCAGAGCTAGCACCTGCTGTCAGAAAAACCATCACTCAGCACCAAAAGAAATCACCAGCTCCTTGCTGGGAGTTTTAAGTCATTGTGGCACTCTGCAGAGGACAATGACCTTGACTTCTTGGTTGGAGTTGTTTTGTTTTATTTTTAAAGAAAAGCATTTAACATTTTAAAACTGGAAAACAAGTCCAGACAACGTTAGAAACTCTCTGGTCTGAAGGCACAAAGAATAAAGTTGGCAGGTAGTTAATAAAACTGGGCATATATAAATACAATTAAAAAGTATAAATATCTGTGAATTATTTTTCCTCCAGAGCTCTGGCTGTTGCTGAAAACACTTTCTGGTTCCACTTGGAACCTTCCTTGACTTCTGAATGATGACCACTGGAATCCTCCGACGCTTAAGAAAACATACACAGAGTCATCTTAATCATCCAAAGGGTAACTGAATAGGGCATTGTTTCCCGAAATTCTAGAGTTGCCTGAAAAATGTAATAACTTAAGGCAGAGTTTCTTATCATGTTTAAGTAGTTTCAGACCTAAACAGTTGCCTGGTAACATGCGGGTGCATCGTGACCAGACAGGTACCAGAGAAGTACCCCAGGTGGGGACCAGCTGCGGAGAAGGGCTGTTGGGCTCCTTTAAACGTTCTGAGTATTTCCCTCTTTCTCAGCTGTGACAGGGGAGACACAGCCAGACCAGGGTGGCGGGAAGCCTGGCGACGTTGTGTGATGACTGATGGGGCATACATTTCTTGCCTATTAATAGTTTCCCACTTCCAGAAGTCCACAGACTTTGGCAAGGACACCTGGTCTCAGGTTTTCCTTGTTCCAGGGCAGGAATGCCTCAGGGGGCCATGATGGGTGTCAAACCAGGGCACAAATACACAAGACTTTTTTTTGTAAGCTTATTAAACCCAGCATGTTCCCGAGAAGGCATCCACTAAGAGTAACAGGTCCCAGCATCACAATAATAAATAACACCGACGGTTACAGAGACGCAGTCGGGAGGCATGCAGAACTCGGGCCTTCCCCGAAAACCAGCCAAGCCCTGTCCCGAGGGCCCAGCACCCCCATGCTTCCACCCACCCAGCACCTTCCCCCAGCAGGTAACATGCTCGCCTTCTGGCCACTTGGGACTACTTTTACCAAGTGACACTGATTTTCAAGTAGATGATGGGACGGCACTGCCAGGGGCCTTGCAGCAGGACGTGAGGTCAGATTTAGGTTTGGGGATGGAGTGGAGGGAGGGCAACCACTTCTTCCGCGAAAGCCCTGCTAGGAAGGGAGCGCAGTGCGGTGGGGTGCGGCGGGGTGCGGCCGGGCAGGGCCCCTGCGCGAGTCTCAGATGAAGTGGATCCAGCTCTCTTCGCACTCCCCGCGGGGCATATTCAGCTCGTGGTTGCGGCAGGTGAGGCTGTAGTCGCGGCCCTCGTTGTTGTCCCAGTACTCGGCACCGGCCACACGGTAGCGCAGCGCGAAGTGCACGCGGGAGCCGAGCTCCAGCAGGAAGGGCGGCACTGGGAAGCCAAAGGCGAAGACATCCTCGGTGCCCTCGGAGTCCGCGGTTCCCCGCCACCTGGCCACCGCCTCGTGCGTGGTGCGCCAGTCGGAAAAGGTGTAGCGCACCGCCACCTGCTTCTCAAAGGCCAGGTTGCGCACGCGCACCGTGCCGCTGATGCCCAGGTCCGAGCAGGTGACGCGCTCCAGGCACACGAGCTGCCGCTCCAGGCGCTTGCCGAAGTCAGCAGCCTCGATGGGTGGCAGGAAGTCGGGCACCAGGCACTGCAGGGTGAACGCCAGGTCCTGGCGGCTGCAGCATAGGTCCGAGTTGATGGCGAGCCGCGACAGCACGTGCAGTGGCACCGATGGGTCGTCGCCCGCGTTGAACACCTTGACCTGCGCCAGCTCCAGGCCCAGTGCGTCGGCGAAGCGCACACGGTGCTGCCGGCTGCAGCCCGGCCGGCACGCAGCGCCCGGGGCGCCCGTGGCCTTCTGGCGGCGCTCGGGTGAGCTGGGCAGCGAGTGGGCTCGCCGCAGGATGATGGGGCGCAGGCTAGGGTCGCAGCCTGGCGGTGCAGACGGCGGCGGCGGCGCGCGACCCCGGCTCCCGGGGGGCCGGCAAGGCCGCAGCTCCGGGGCCGCGCTGTCGTACAGGTCCGAGAGGCAGCTAAGGCTCCGCGGCGCGGGCTTCCGAGACCCCAGGGCGCGGGGCAGGACCGGGGAGCCGGAGCTTCTGGACATGGCCCAGCCGGCCCTCGGGCGTTGGGAATAGGAATCCGAGGAGCAGCCTTACGACCCCGCCTCCACTACCTCCGCTGCGTCCCTGGCCGTGCTTATCTGTCCCCGAGTGTCCGCCGGAACTGCAGCCAGGAGGAAACCCTGGAGACCGCTGCGCCCTCCCCCCTTCTGCCACCTCGCCCCTCGATTCCTCTCCTAGGTCTTCCGTTTCTTGCAGCGAAAACGGTGCTGTCTCCAGTGCAAGCTTTTCGGGGCCACCAGGGGGGCGCACGGTGGCACCTTCTTTTGCCTCCTTGGAGGTTCTTATGGGAAGGCTGCGTTGGTGGAGTGGCCCCTCCCACCTTTCCCGTCCGCGACGTTACTTACATGGCTGCGACTTTTCTGGGTGCAACTTCCCGGCGAGTCTCCGCCCCGCCCCTCGTGACGCCGCCCGCGCGCGGGCTCCCGCCGGCCCGAGAGCCGTCGGGAAGCCAGGCCGAGCTGCGCGCCCCCGCCGCGCCGCCCCCTGCCTCGCCCCTGCCACAGCGCGCAGAAGGGCCTCCCCGCCCTGGCGCTGTGAAGGAAGGCTGGCGGCCTCGTCACGTGTCCTCTGCGATCGCGAAACAGGTCTGATCGATTTCTGTCTGCGTCTGCCTGCCTGGCCCGCGCGCCTATTGATCCTAGATCAGTGTCTGCACGAACCGAAGACAAGGAAAATGCATGCTGCGGGTCCTTGGATTTCTGGGTTACTGGGGGCAGGGAGGGTGGGGGATGCAAAAACTGGCCTTTCCAGGGGCTGGTCGCCAGGCTCACTTTAAGCCTCTAGGCTGGCCAGCTCTTTGGACATAGGCACTGCCACCTGGACCCTAGGCCGGACCCAGGGAGCCTCCCTGCATAGAGAAGTGTCTTGTCCACACTTCACCCACAATGCTTTGCCACCCAGGACCTCCAGCCAGTTCCCTGGGGGAGGGGCGATGCTGCTCTGTCCCTCTCTAGGCGCCAAGCCAGAGAAGATGTGGGAACAAGAGGTAATACTCTGTGATGAATCATGCAGCTACCCTTATTGGGAAGCATTTTTGTAGCCAGAATCTCATTCCCAGGCAAGCCTGAACCGTTAGGGAAACCAACAGCCAGCGGGTTCTCTGCATCCTCGGGGCCCTCAGTAACTTGGTGCAGAAAGTGCAGAAGCTTTTGGGGACCAGGAATTCTAGAAGATTCCTTTTTCACTGTCCAGAGCAGAAAGAACAACCACCTAATTAAGGAAGGTTGGTAAAGAACCTAGTGTATATCTAAAGTCAATCAAGCTTGTTGATTTTGGCATAATTCACTAACTGACAGCCCAGATGAGACTTTTATTACCATCATATGTAAACCGACCCAAAAGGGCATACATGCTTATTGTGAAAAGTAATATAGCGAAGTTCCAGGAAGAAAGTAAAGATCTATAATCTTACCTCTTTCTCATTTTAGGGAGAAAGCAGGGGGCTATCACCAAAGAAAATACTCCCTTTTAAATCGGGGCATTTGTGGCTACTCAGAATCAGGCAGTAGCAGCACCATGTGGTCTGAGTCAACAGAATTTCAGAGAGATAAGGTGATAGGACAAGCATTAATATATTGATAGTCTTTCTGTGGGTTGATGTGATAGTGAGAATTGAAGGGGAATCCCCCCCGCCCCGAGTTTCAGCTCTGTGAGAGCTGGGACATGGCCACAGTCCTGCCATTTTCTAGGCACTTCTGTAATTATTTGTGAGTGAAGGAATGATTGGATATGGAAGCTTTGGAAGAACACCTGACCCTAGCTTCACAGATTTCCTCACTACGCCGTTTCCAAGGAGACTGTGTGTGTGTGAGTGAGAGAGAGAGAATGAGAATTCCTTCGCACACAGGAGTATGATCTTGTATCCAGTATCCACTGTGAAAAACAAAGCAGAAAACATTCAACTGCAAACAGAAAGCGGTCTCATCTCTCCCACCAATGTTTTAATGCTAGGCAAATATTTACAATCAAGCCAGTGAAAACCAGCCCCAGTCTGGATGCAGGACCACGTGCAGTAGATATTCAGACTGCTCACTTGGGCAGCACAGTCCCCAGATGGACCATACAGGAAGCTCAGCATGGGCCCTGCACAAGGATCACATGCAAATGTCTAAATCTGAAGTGTTCCATATTTTTAGAAACAAAGCATTCCGTATTTTTAGAAACAAACTCATAGATACAGAGAACACATTGATGGTTGCCAGATGGGTGGGGAGTGGGGGGATGGGTGAAAAGAGAGAAATTAGGTACAAACTACCCGTTATAAAATGAGTCCTGGAGATGTGAAGCACAGCACAGGGAATATAGTCAACAATATTGTAATGACCATGTGCGGTGCCAGAAAGGCACTGGACTTACTGGGCTCATCACTGGATAAGTTAATAAAAATGTCTAATTGCTACGCCGTATGCCTGAAACTACAATATTGTAGGTCAACTGTAATTGAAAAATGAATTTTAAAAAATACGTATTGACCGCGTTCTGTTGCTTATAGTTCCGGTGGTAAGGAGTCCTTTCCAAATATAAGAGGAATAAAGAAGCCACCTCCCCGGCTGTCATCATCCTCCAACAGTTTGAGCAAGAATATCGCAAGCACTACAGAGGTGATGTAACCTGTGAGGGGGGATCTCACCTAGATTTGTTCTGTTTCTTGTGCGTGTTCATGGTATTTATTACTGCATGTCTGGTTTGCAGAGAGTCCATCCAACCCGAGATGATGGCCTGCCGTGCGATGTTTTCAAGAAAGGGAGTCGGGTGAATGAATCTCATCAGAAACGAGGGTAAAAGGTTTTCATGTAACGTTCATCTTGTAGAGTCGTGGGATCTCAGTCCAGATTGACGATCTGTGTGTGGTCTGTGGACAAGGAGCAAACACTTACAGTGTTTATCTAGCAGAGATGAGTGAGTGCGTGGTTTTAAACATTGCTGGCCGGCCGGAGTTCCAGAGGTCGTGATCCTGACACTGTTAGCAGGGTCGACAGTGCTGGGCGAGCCCCTTCCTCCGTCGTCTTTCTTTGAAAGAAAACTGAGGACAGCGTCCCTGGGTGTGCAGGGCGCTGGAGGTAAACAGAAGCGCCAGTAGTGTTAGTGACGAGTCTGAGACTGTGGCAGTGGCTTCATCTGTTTTTGCACTTGCTTCATTCACCGAGCACATGCTAAGCTATTGGCAGTGGTTTCCTGCCCTCCCTACTTATGAATTGAGAGGTGACACAGTTTCCAGTATGCTTAGTGTGGTGGGAGCCTCCGGACAAATGAACCTCTGAGGTTTCCGAAAAGCATGTTCACCCCCCCACCCCGAATTATGGCCCTGAGAGGTGGTGGTGTTCTTAGTAAAATGCTGTCCTTGGTAAATAAGTGGAAAAGAACATATTTTCAGTTCGATGGAAGATCCTGCCTCAGAGTAAATTACCCCAGAAAGAAGCAGGTGGGTGCTGGCGGAGCACACCCCAGTCATCCCGTGTCCCTCCCCCGCCGCGCTGCAGACAGAACTGCCCTCTCTCATTCGCGCGGTGCTCTGCGACACCGGGGCCCCGTGTGCTCCCCTCTGACACGCCAGCAAGCTTGGCTCGAAGTTGCAGGCTGCTCGCGCCACACTTCACAGTGAGATTTTAGTCAGCTCAGAGTCACCGCCATTAGTGAGTTCAATAAAATTGCCTTTTACGTCTTGTTGACACTTCATTTAAAACGAGCATTAAGAGAAAGCTGTGGATTTCATCATGGATGTTATTGAACACTACTCATGAACAGAACAGAGCTCTCCAACAGATTCTTTCCAAACTAGTGATTTTCAAAGCGCACACACCAGGCCCAGAGGGATTACGTAAGCACTTTCAGACATGTTCATGTCTTCCTCAAAGGCTACTATTTGATAGACAGTAGAATCGTGCGTGTACGTCTGGCCTGGGTCAGTTAAATCGTGCTTCTGAAACAGCGTGGCCTGTAAGGATGATGGTTCTGGAGCTCTTGAGAGCTGTGAGCTCATGAGGAGCCACGGGGCCTTCCTCTTGCTCATGCCCAGTCCCAGCTAGAGGGCCGGGACCTGGAGGACTGTCCATGCATGATGGCAGGAGCCACGGGGCCTTCCTCTCGCTCATGCCCAGTCCCAGCTAGAGGGCCAGGCCTGGAGGACTGTCCGTGCGCGATGGCAGGAGCCACGGGGCCTTCCTCTCGCTCATGCCCAGTCCCAGCTAGAGGGCCGGGCCTGGAGGACTGTCCGTGCACGATGGCAGGAGCCACGGGGCCTTCCTCTCGCTCATGCCCAGTCCCAGCTAGAGGGCCGGGCCTGGAGGACTGTCCGTGCACGATGGCAGGAGCCACGGGGCCTTCCTCTCGCTCATGCCCAGTCCCAGCTAGAGGGCCGGGCCTGGAGGACTGTCCGTGCACGATGGCAGGAGCCACGGGGCCTTCCTCTTGCTCATGCCCAGTCCCAGCTAGAGGGCCGGGACCTGGAGGACTGTCCATGCATGATGGCAGGAGCCACGGGGCCTTCCTCTCGCTCATGCCCAGTCCCAGCTAGAGGGCCGGGCCTGGAGGACTGTCCATGCGTGATGGCAGGAGCCACGGGGCCTTCCTCTCGCTCATGCCCAGTCCCAGCTAGAGGGCTGGGGCCTGGAGGACTGTCCGTGCGCGATGGCAGGAGCCACAGGGCCTTCCTCTCGCTCATGCCCAGTCCCAGCTAGAGGGCTGGGGCCTGGAGGACTGTCCGTGCGCGATGGCAGGAGCCACAGGGCCTTCCTCTTGCTCATGCCCAGTCCCAGCTAGAGGGCTGGGGCCTGGAGGACGTCCATGCATGATGACAGGAGCCACGGGGCCTTCCTCTCGCTCATGCCCAGTCCCAGCTAGAAGGCCGGGCCTGGAGGACTGTGCGTGCATGATGGCAGGCAGATCCGGTTTGTCACAGGTACTAAGAATCGCAGTGTTATTTCTTGCAGCAGTATGGACGCTGGCCTGTCTGGGGACTCAGTGCCACCAGGGAAGAACTCTTCAGGGAAAAGGCGGAGCAAGTTCCAAGGCCCCCATGCTCCTTCTGGGCTGAAGAGCAGTGCCATGGGTGTCTCCCCACGGGCCGTGGAGGAACTTGGAGGAAGCATTGCCCTGGAAGGCAAAGCCCAAGGGAGTCCACTGGGGTCCAGGTGTTGTGGGGCCTCGAGGAACACGCTGCTTCTGGACTTTCGGTCCATGAGGATCATGGGAGGAGACGCGGACGAGGACAGTGCTAGCGACCTCTCGGACTCGGAGCGGGTCCCCGTGCCCCCTTCCCCGCGCAGGCCTCCAGACCTCCGTCTTCGGGCGGAAGAAATTGACCCGGTCTGCTTTGACCTGGACCTTCAGCCAGGTGCGGGCCACGCCGGGCCTGAGTACTGTTACCCCGACTTCCTCCCGCCGCCTTGGAACTCCTGGGACCTGCGGGACCGGGCCGTGCTGGAGAACACGGAGCACAGGCCCGGCGCTGGGCCGCGAGCAGGGGGCCTTCTGGGGAGGTACGTGGACAGGCTGGTGCGGCTCGAGTGGCTGCAGGTCCTGACCGTCCAGGGCGAGAGAGCGAGGGGGGCCAAAGCCCGGCCGCCCCCCGTGCCTGGGGCCGCAGCGCCTCTGCAGAGCCCGGGGAGAAGCAAGCTGCCGGCCGGCGCTGCGGCCAGGCCACACCAGAACGGCGCCCCCAAGCCAGGCCCCTCGCGAAAGAAAGGGTTCCACCGCCAAGACGGCCGTCCCTGCCGTTCCTCCTCCGAGGCTCCCGCCGAGCCCCTGGATGTGCTCAGCACTAGCAGGCTGAGTTCTCAGAAGCAGGCCCTGGACGTGAGGACCGAGGAGAAGAGACAGAGGTGCAAGAGCCCGCGGCCGCCACGCTGGGAGCTGGCCGGCAGTGACAGCAGCTGGAGGATGGAGAGCAGTGGCAACGCCCGGGTCCCCAGGACGGCCACCCTGACCCTGGACTCCGCCGACCCCCACAAGGCCTCCAGAATGCAAGACATGCAAATCTTAAGAAAAAGGGAAACACAGAGAACTGTGGACATGCCTCCCGGTCCAGTGAGAAAAAACTCGAGACGGACGGAGGCAAGCAGAACACGCACAAACTCAAACAGCGTCCGGAATGGCGAACGGCGAACACCCGCAGAGACCTAAGTGCCAGGGCGCCGCCAGCGACAGTGCTGTGGGCTTGAGGGAATCGTAGGACTGCTGCCATCTCCGGAGCTGACTGCTTCTTCAGTCCACCCCACCCACGTGTTGTTTCCAGAGAGAAGTGTCCTGAAGAAGCCTGTCTCCCTGTGGACAGTCTGGAGCAAACGACAGTCCTCTAGATAAAGATTAACCAAGGCTGTGCTGCGTGGAGGAACAGCGACGACGCGGGAGGCGGCGGCCACAGAGAGAACGCTGGGCGTGGGGAGCTCCCCCTTCCCCTGCATAGGACCCAACTCGAGCAAAACCATTCATCACAAAGCCACCTGCTGCACAGAGACCATGGAGTCTGGTGCTCCGTACATTTTCTCTGCTGTAGGTTAAAAAAAAAAGGCAACTTAAACTGACAGCTGGCAGCGAAGTCCCTCTTGCTGTCCTCGAGCTGAGGCTGCGGAAGTCACGGGCTACCCTTATGTGCTGCCCGGAGGACGGCGTGGGAGACGTGGACCCGGACCTGCCAAGAGGAGCCGCAGGAAGCCCTGTGCAGTCTGTGAACCAGGGCCTGTGAGACAGAAACACTCGCGACCACTTTGATTGCAGGTTACGAGGCTACCGAGTTGGGACCTGGACCTGCTGTCTGGACTCTAAATTAGGACCTTTTTAGTTTCCAAGAGCAGGATTTCAGAATCTTGCTGGCGTGGGGGCCAAGCGGGCAGTGGAAGTGAGCTACTGCACGTGGTCTTCCTGGGGCCTAGAGGCTTCTGTTCACTGCAGTGAAGGGCCGTGTAGATGCCTCGGGGCTGTGCCGGGGTGCCGATGCCATTGGGGTGGCGTTGAGACCCTGCTTCTTGGTGTGCAGCATGCTTCTATGTGTATCTTCATTTTGTTGTGGACTCTATTACAGATGTTCCCATTTTCCCTCCCTCTGCCCACCTCCCCCAGACCCCCCCTTCCCTCTGGACATCACCACACTGTTGTGTGTCTGTGGGTTATGCAGATATGTTCTTTGGCTAATCCCTTCACCTCCTTTCATCCAGTCCCCTTCCCCTCTGACAGCTGTCAGCCTGTTCCCTGTGTCCAGGCCTGGGGCCACTTTGTTTGTCGGCTTGTTTTGTTCATTACATTCCACCTGTAAGTGAGGTCATGGGACACTTGTGTTTCTCTGACTGGCTTATTTCATTAGCATAATGCTCTCCAGGTGTGTCTTAATGGCAGGAGCTGATGTTATCTCTTTAAACGATCATTCTGGTTTTTGTATTTTTTTTTTTTTTTTTTACATACGTGTCTCTGTTTTTTTACCTTTGGGGCAAATGGAAAGCAGGGCACTTCTCCTGTGGAGACATCCACAGCTGCGGACGCCCTGAGCACGTGCCGCCGGAGGTGCTTCGGCGTGGACTGCGGAGGACAAGGTGCGCATGTGCCGAGGGCAAGGTGCGCGTGTGCCGAGGGCAAGGTGCGCGTGTGCCGAGGGCAAGGTGCGCGTGTGCCGAGGGCAAGGTGCGCGTGTGCCGAGGGCAAGGTGCGCGTGTGCCGAGGGCAAGGTGCACGTGACTAAAGCAGCAGGCACGTGTCTAGTATTAAGATCCTGTCTTAAATCTGATCTCAGTCACACAGAGACGACATGGAAATTGTTAGAGTCATCTCTTCTTCCCAGACTTGGCTTGCAGGTGTTTGCAGCTCCTGTCTGGCATTCTTTACGCCCAGCACCGGGGACAGCAGCTCCTCCCCAGACCCCACGCCCAGCACCGGGGACAGCAGCTCCTCCCCAGACCCCACGCCCAGCACCGGGGACAGCAGCTCTTCCCCAGACCCCACGCCCAGCACCGGGGACAGCAGCTCTTCCCCAGACCCCACGCCCAGCACCGGGGACAGCAGCTCTTCCTCAGACCCCACACCTTTCTGTACCAACAGAAGCTGGACACCTTGTAGGCATTGCTTCTGTAGTCCTCACTGGAGTACCTGAAAACATAGACACTCCTCTTTCCCTTCTGTGCTTCCCGAGCACACGCCGTGCGTCCCTGGCCACCCTGCTCCGGTGACGCATGGGCGAGTCCCTTCACACGCCCACAGCGCACTCAGTCCTCCTCCGCTGCCAGACGCTACACAGCTGGCTAGCAGCTCCGGGGCGGCACGGCTCTCTCGGCCCCTTCTCTGCACGGGGGCTCCTGCTGCTGCCGGGGGAGGGTCACGCTGAGCTGCTGCCTGTCCAGGCAGTGTGTCCATCCCTGGGGGTGCTCTTGCCTGCAGGGTGAGGCCGAGCTGCTTTCCTCTGCCAGCCGCCTGTGGTCTGAGCTGAAGACCATCACGCTTAAGAAATGTAGAGGTGCCTGGCCGGTGTGGCTCAGTGGACTGAGCGTCGTCCCGTGGACTGAGAGGTTCCGGTTCGATTCCGGGTCAGGGCACGTGCCTGGGTTTCAGGCTCGACCCCACTGGGGGTGTGCAAGAGGCGGCGGATCGATGTTTCTCTCTCATTGATGTTTCTCTTTCCCTTCCTCTCTCTCTAAAAAAAATCAATTAAAAAAGGAAATGTAGAGGTAACACCTCGGATGTTACATTTGTTCCTTGGCCTGAAGGTGGTTGCTTAATTTGGGGAACAGTCGTGACATCACATGGCAAGACAGCTTTCAAAGCCTGGAAAAGTGAGGTTGCTTGCTTGCTTTTCACCTCAGGCCGATGGTGTGTTTTTACCAATATTGTTGCGATGGGGTCCGAGCTCCTGTGAGCAGTGCAGTCCATCAGGGGACATGCGCACAGTTCTGGTTGCAGGTTTCCGAGGCGCAGCGCTCACGCACCGGAACGCATGCTGGGCCGCGGAGGGAAGGCCCGCCCTGTCGGGCTGACCACGTGGGGAAGTCGAGTCGCCCGCTCACTTGGTTCAAGTCTAAGCCACCGAGGTTCCTGTCTGGTGACACAGTCACTGTGTTTCTGAGAAGCGCCTCTCATTTCTGGGGCGCTGTTTACATACAAGTTGCATTGAAACCAATTAAAACAACCCAAAGTAAAAAAAAAGACCAAAAAGTTGAGAAAATGTAAGAATGACTTAGGCTTAGGACCAGCAAGCAGGGAGAGTTTCAGAATGTGCAGAAGTGAGCTGCAAACATGCCAGTACTATCCACAAGTGTCCAGGGTGGACTGTTTCCCAGAACCTGACTGGCAGCACGGGCTGGAGCTTTTAACTGACGTGGCGGGGGCGAGACGGGGCCTAAGGCTGAGAGGTGGGCGAGCCCATCATGCGTCTCACGGCAGCTAAGAGCCGACGGAGGGTGCTTCACAGTGTCCTCGGGCCGGGCGGGTGCGTGTCCAAAGACATGAGCATTTCACCGTCCACGAGAGGAATACTGCCTCCTCCTGCTTCCTTCCCTTCACGCTCATTCACTTCATTAGCTGCGTAAACACACAAAACCCTCGGTGGCCCTGTCTTTCAGGGTAACAGAGAAGCGGTATTTATTATGTATTCATTACAGGTACAGAGCACCCTGCCCAACAGCCTGAACACATTCAGCATGTTTGTCATGTGCTGTGAGGACCCTTGCTGTAAGCCTGGTTCTATAGACAATAAAGTGGATGAACCTGCATCTGTGTGGATCTGCAGTGTCCCTGGAGGTCGGCGAGGAGGGGGCGCTGCCGGGACCCCCGGATGCGGCTGGCTGGGCCTCGGTGCCGGGCTCTCAGGTCTGGGCCGCCTCTCCAGCGAGATCCTGTCCCAACTCTTCTCCGACGGGAGGCGGCACCCACCACAGCGGGCCCTCGCCCTCTTTGCCCCGGGGGGGGCCGAGGGTCAGGTGCGGACGAGAGTCAGTGCGGCCGCAGTGAGGAGACGTGAGGAGCTCGCACCCGAGCCAGAGGAGCAGCTCCCAGGGCCGCCTGGCAGGGAGCGCGGTTCCAGGCCATGGGTCCGGGCACCCCGGCCCTTTGTCCTCCCAGCGTCCCTCCACACTGTGGCCCTGGACAACCTGGGGGCTCTCTGCAGAACGGGGCTGAGTGATGTCAAAGACCTCGCGGGCTTGGCTCAGGGGTGCGTGAGCCAGAGCTTCTGCAGGCGAGGGGCACGAGCCGGTCACACTGCAGCGGCTGGCTCCTTCGAGGTCACCTTCCCTCGGGCGGCAGGCCTCCACGAGGCAGATGACCGCCAGTGCTCATCAGGGGCCCGGTTGGCTGTTGGAGGCCCCATTCCTGGGGGAGCTGAAACCGTCGTTCAGTCTCAGTTGGGTGCAGCTGGGGTGTCGCGTGAGCGACTCCACTTGAGGCCTGGTGTCTTGTTCCAGGCAGGGCCTCAGCATTTCCTTGACAACGAAGCCCGTCAGAGGCCTCCCGTCACTGGTGCGCACAGGCAGCGCAGTGCTTCTGGTGCTGCCTTCGTGCCCAGGAGCTGGTGGTGAAGCCTCCACAGGCCGAGCTTGTTCCGCGAACCCGGCTCATCAGAGGGCAGGGCTGAGGTCCGGAAGGAACAGGCGAGCAAAGCGTGTTCTTCGCTAGGGCTCCTCGCCAGCGCCGCCGGGTGCCGGGCACCCCTTTCGTTTACGCAACACCTCCACATCGTTGTTAAAAGTTAAACCGCGGCACAGTAAAAGTTTTACGTTTACTTGAGCGAAAATTGGTCCAAATTGGGCAGTGCCAAGGCGAAGTGGTGAGGGGCCCTCAGCCGAGCGGGGCGGGGTTCACAGAGCAGCTGCGGACCGGACCGGCCTGGGGAGAGCCGCTGGCGGCCCGGACTGGCTGCCCTCCTCCCCAGGCTCTGGGACAGCCGCCGGGCGTGGGCTCTGGTTTGCCCACAGCCTAGTGAACATGGCAGCCAGGTCCGTGAGCGGCCCCTTGGCTCATTACTTGAGCATCGTGAGCACTGTATGCAGCACGGAGCATGCCCAAGGGGGTCGTCGTTCATTGACAGAACTTCCCATGCAGACCTTGTTTCCACAGATCCGATTCTGATGTCCCCGTCCTCAGCAATTTGCCATTTAAGGAATTAACTGGCCACCCTGGGAAGTATACAGGGATTTCAGGAAAAGGGATAGTCATGAACGTAACTGTCCTCATCCGAGTGACACTTCAGAGAAAACTAACGATCCATAGTGACTTGAGGTTATGTCCAGCGACAGGTGTCCCCTGTGCTACTCGGGCTGCGAGCCCCGCCCAGGCTCCCGGGGGGGGGCAGTCTGGAGCGCACCACCCCAAAATCGCCCCCTGGCCTGTGACCACTTTCAGTTAAAGGCACTTGAAAAACAGTGAATGCAAGAAAAATTCCCCTACTTTTCCTCTTTTTCTTGAGAGCAGATGAACTTTCTGCATGAAAGGTGTCCCCTATACCGAAAGGAAGTAATGTCCTCAGTGTCTGGGCCGAGAAGCTGAGACCAGGGGAATTCCACACAGGTGTTGTTTGTTAAAATAATTGTTTCTCTCTCGCCTGCCCCGCGGTTTGCTTTTCCACAAATGCCGCTCGCTCTCCGCTCGACCTACTCATACAAGCAGGCGTCTCCCGTTGCTGGGGTCTCCGCGCCTTAGGAAGGCTCCATGCGTGTGAAACCGACAATCACAAACCACTGTGCTCCTCTCCTGCTGGCCCGCCTTAGGACTTCAATCCTCGGGGCAAAAGGAGCCCTAACAGGTGAAGGGGAGCAGGGTCTGCTACCCTAAAACAGGCCTCTTTGGCATAAGGACTATTTTAAGCTGATCATTTTTTAAGGCACAGGAAACACAGGAGAAACTCTGAAACAGCAGTTAGCCTTTAGTGGGAGACAGGCCCCACCCACTTACACGGGAACCCTCCTTTGGAAGGTCCCTGCCCTGGGGAGAGAGGACTCAATCCCCAGGGACTGCGTGAACGCTCCTCCCCAGGCCGAAGTCTGCCCCTCGGCCATCCTCACTGCGCTCCTCCTGGCCACCCCCAATATCTCCTTTGTCTTTATCTGGAGACGGCATTTGGGGGGCACTTGGGCCGTTTCTGGGGTCCCCAGTTTCCCTGGGTCTCTCCCAGGTGTGCAGTATGCAGACATGTTATTAAACCCGTTTGCTTTTTTCTGCTTGTCTTTCATTACCGGGCGGGGCTCTCTGCCAAGAACCAGAGGGTCCAGGGAAAATCGTCTTTCCTCCCAGAGGGTGAAGGGAGTTCTGCCCTGCAGAGCCGAGGTCTGCATTTCCCGGACCCCGGGGCCGAGTGCTGAGCAGCCCGCTCTCCCGGCACCTGGAAGTCTGCAAGTCTGAACCGACCACAGGTCGCCGGCCTGACCTCCGCCCCCTGCTCTGCTGCTAACCGTCCGTCCGTCCTTCTCTGATCTCTCTGTATGCTCCGGGGCTGGCAGCCTGCGGCTGGCTCTGGGCCTCGAGAACAGTCGCTCACACCAGTGCTTTCTGGCCCTGAAAACCTGTGCTGCTAATGAGGGTCCCTGAAAGGAGGTTCTCGGGGTTACCTTGAGCGGTTCCCTTACATTCACTCTTCTGTTTTGAAACCCCAGGTGTGCGGTGGGCTGGATGGTGGGTGTCAGGGGTCTGAACACGAGTCCTCTTCTGTAAACCCTCTAGAGGGTCATCTGCAGGGTTTATAGATCTCCAGGCGTCCGTGCGCAGGAGCCCCAACGTTGCCGTGCCCGGGCCATCAAGGAGAGGGGCCTGCTCCCCCTGCTCCCCCTGCGCCAGCCCTGCCGCCTGAACGCGGGTCTGTTCCGCGCACCCCTGCACTGTGTCCATCACTTCTGCGGCGTCTCCCACCGCAAGGAAGTGCGCGATCTGCCCCGTTGAACGGGAGATGCTCTGATTGCGGAAAAGCATGTGTTTGCCCCTCAGCAGGATGGTGTGGATGTGGAAAGAGAAACCAGCCTCACCTCTCTCTCCGCACCGTCCTTCTCCTTCCCTGAAAAAGCAAAGGCATGTAGGTGCGTGAGGGGCTGGCGGAGGGGCTGGTAACCCCGCTACAAGGCTGCCAGCCTTGGACTCCACTTGCAGAAAGGGAAGCGCACTCCTGTTTGGTGGCATTTCCCCTTTAACTGCTCATCTACAGTTATTTGAATTAACAGGGGCAAGAGCTTAAAATCTCTTGCAGGACAATTTCTGGCCAGCTTCTGGTGGCTGACTCAAACACTGACCGAGGGACCCGCATTTCCTGCTCGGGCCGACTAGAGCACCCCAAGGAGGCAGGAATGTCGTGGTCACTGAAAACAAACCTGGAGGTCTGACCACCCTCAGCTCTTACCCCTGTTGGATCCTGGGGACAACTACAGTTTACTATAACTTGCATATCTCAGCCCCACCCCAACACGTGTGACAAACACTTCCAAACACACAGAGGAGTTGAAAGGCTTGCCCTGTGAACACACACGCTCGCTGTCGCGGTCTGTCGGCCGGCCTGTCCTGTCCGCCTGCCCCCCCCCCGCCGCCCTCCAGGGCCTGCCCCCGGCGGTCCTCCTGTGCTGTGTTGAAAGGCAACCCCTCAGTATGGCAGGGCCCCGCTTGTGGGGACTGTCTCCCCATTACTGGGAGCACAGCCCTCCCCGGTTTCTTTTCGTTTGTTTCTTGACGTCACTCGAGGTTATTCTGAGAAATTAAACTTTTCGTGTGACTGTGAAGATGGGGGACCGACCCTGACTTCAGAATCGTTTGCCTGGAAATTAAACTGAGAGTATGATACACGGGTGGCCCCCCGGGGCAGTCTACCCGGGAGACATTCGCTTTTCCTGACCCGAGTTTTCCACCTGCTCTCCCAAGCCCTCGCCCGCTGGGTGTCTCCAGACCCTGCCTTCCTTCATCCAGGCCCGTCCAGTTTAACTGCCAACGTCACCCCGATTTAAAGCGAGCCTCCCCATCCCTTCCAGGGCCCGCTGTCCCCGGGTCAGGTGTGAGGGCACCCTCCACCCCTACAGGGAGGGGGCATGGCGGTGCTTTGCCATGGGGACCCCTCCACCCCTCCCTCTGCTCACTGTTCCTCCAGGGCCTGGACAAAGATAAAGAGGGGAAAAGCCCACGCCCCTCTCTAGCAGGCCCCTCTGCCAGGCCTTCCTGAGGCTGCTCACTCCCTGTGGTGCCCCCCCCACTGGCAGCACCCCTCCCTCCCCACCAGCAACCCCCCTCCCCACCAGCACCCGCCCTCCCCATCAGCACCCCCCCTACCCACCGGCAGCACCCCTCCCTCCCAGCAACCCCCTCCCCACCAGCACCCCCCCTACCCACCGGCAGCACCCCCCTCCCCACCAGCACCCCCCTTCCCACCAGCACCCCCCTCCCCACCAGCACCCCCCCAATCAGCACCCCCCCACCAGCAACCCCCTCCCCACCAGCACCCCTCCCTCCCCACCAGCACCTCCCCACCAGCACCCGCCCCCCCAGAGGCGGGAAGAAGGGGCAAGCCGACATTTTCTGCTTTGACCATTGACTGGAGAGGTGAGGATGGTGTCTCCTCACCATGCCCAGTGGAGGGCGCGCTGGGCACTTCTCTGTTATCCTGCTGGGAGCCCTGCTGACCCCCCCTTCTCAGCTGGGCAGGGCCTGGTCAGCGGGGCATCATCTGAGCTGATTGGGTCCTGGGACGGTGCCAGGTTCTGTCCTGCAGGCGCCCTCACTATCCCCAGGGCTTCTGGGGTTCCCGCTCCAGTTGCTGGGAAAACCCAATCCACTGATTTCCCGAGTGGGGAGGAAGCAGCCACCTCTCCCAGCGGGGGGGAGGGGGGGCAGCCTCTCTTGCCAAGGGCGCAGTGGCCACCCCTCCAGTCCTCGCCCCATGGGCGGCGTGGGAGAAGGGGGGCTGGGCTCCAGGCTCCGATGCAGATCTGCAGGGACAGGATCCCTGTGGCCGTGTTTTGGGGAGTCCTGAGGAGGAGCCTGGTGACTTGCATGCCTCCCCGTCTCAGCTGAGGCCCCTACTCTGCCGTTCTGGGCGAGTGCATGCGTTGCAGCGGTGGCTCCCGCCCGCATCCAGGGACTCCCCCCTCCCGCCCCCCTCTCCCTCCCGCAAGGACTTCCTTCCAGCTTCCAGCGAGCTGGGAGCTGCCGCCTTGTGGCCGCACCGCGTCACTGCGCCGCCGAGGGCAGGGCCAGGGCCAGCTGCTCCGAATGGCAGGTGCTCAGAACAGACGGGACTTGCCTCCTCTGGTTCACTTCCCCCAGGCGCGGGGCGCGTGGAGCCCAGAGCTGACCGCTGAGGGAGTCACGGCCCAATTGAGAAGTGCCGCCTTATAGGAAACGGGCTTCTTGCCCAGTTACCTTTAAATGTTTCAGGATGTAAAAAAATTGATTGTGTTGAATACAGCCATTTCTTCCCACTTAGAGCCAGTGTAAAAGCGGAACCCCACTAGCATCCCCCGGCCCCGATCTCTGGAGGTAAACACACGGTTTTCTTGCTCAATATTACCATCCTCATCACCGCTCCAATCTGTGTCTTTATTTCGCCCTCAAACATCCAACACGGTGTAGCTGTCAGGTCTTCCGATAGACAGCCATGGAGTCGAATATCCACACAGTCGTAAATTCAGGAATTGTCATTCTTTTTCTCTTCGTGCACAGAAGTATTTGCAGACCTTAAAACTGCATTGGTGCACTTTCAATGTTGATTTGGACTAAGACGATAAACTATTCATATTGCAATGTCCAGCAGCATCTCCTAGAGGCAAGGATGTATAAAGGCAAGTCTCCCTCCTGTTTCACCGGCTGCAGAACTAGTTACTACTGTAAACAAGGACATGTGGTAACTAGGTAATATGCTGAGCTTATCCGTATTCACGGATCTCAGGCTTTGTTTTAAACTTGACCATTGCAATCTTAAGTACTTATGTAGTAGACTTCCCAGAATCCCACTGTGAGATGAAAGACCCCGGGCTGGTACAGAGGCCTCCACAGGGAGTGTCCCAGCTCACATCCCCTTCTCTTTGACCCCAAACTCTGAAAGGCAGATTCAGCCAACCCTAAAAGAGATTTTGGTAGAAACCGTCTGTAAACCCCAGAGCCCCAAGACATGGTTGGGATGAAGTGGGTTAGTGCTTTGGAAAGGAAAAGGTAATTCTTTTTTCTTCTCCTTAAAGAAGTTATTCTTCCCTGGAGTCCTTTTCCAGTTCTGTTGTTACAAAGGCGAGGCCGCAGCCAACGGTCCTTACACCCGCTGCGAGAAAGAGGTCGACTGTGGGACGTGCAACTTGCAAACCACAACAAGGAAACCAGAGCCCCCCTTTCCCAGAGATGCTGGTCCGTTCCCTCAGCCCCAACCCCTGGGTCAGGGTCCGGCTGGAGTCCCGTGTGACCTGCAGCTGACAGCAGCTCACTCCCATCCACACCCTTCCTAGGAAGTCTGCTGGTCTGGTGCTTAGGAGGTCAAGGTTCGGCCAGCCTCACCCTGACACGCTCCAGGGCTGAGATGACTGATGTGCGTGGCTCAGGCCCAGTGACTGCAGAGCGACCAGGGAGAAGGCTCTGCCGGGACGGACGCAGCCAGGAGTGCTAGCCACCACCGTCAGGCTCAGGTTCGGGCGTCTCAGGCACCCCAGCTGGCATGAGCTCCAGGGGCCCCCCTTCCCTGCCGCTCCTCCTGGCACTGCTGCTGCTGCTGCTGATGCAGGTGAGTGGGCGGGGACCACCCTGGTGCCTGGGAGCTCCGCAAGGGTCAGGGGCCGGGCTGAGTGTGACCTGGTGAAGACTGGCTGGGCGCTCCAGGAGGGGTCAGGGCACCATCTGTTTGCGGGAGTGGTGGGCTCTGTTCAAAACTGGATTATGCAGCACACACCAATTTATTTACCTTTATGTCAACACACACCAGCTTTCCCATGATTCTTCTGTCCGCACTTCACATTAGACTGAGAAAATCTCAATGGCGTAGGTTGTCAAAGAACAAAACTCAAATACGTCCCTCCTGAAGATCTGACCGTGGTGGGAGGCCACGCTGTCGTCCCGGGCAAAGGCCGTGGGCTGGACTGGCCACTTGGCACCCCGACCTGGGCCTGTCCGCTTCTGGCTGCAGACATGCACTAGTTACTTGACCTTGGTCCTCACCCCGGCCTACGCTGGACTCTTCTTGAGAGGTGCAGAAATCCCGGTGCCATGCTCAGAGGTTTACATCGAGCTGATGCGGGGGGTTTGGCCCAGGCATCAGAGTCGAAACTTGACCATGGTCAGCCTCATCTTCACCTGAGAAGGGAGCTAGTTCAGCCCGTACCCGACCTGAGGCTGTGAGAACAAACAAGGAAATGCAGGAAAGGGCTCGGCCTGGCAGCGGCTCCGCCGAGGTGCCCGTCCGTCCGTCTGTCTCTCTCCCAGCCACTGTGGCTGGCTGGCTGGCTGTCTGTATTCGGTGCCCACACAGCAGCTGCTTATTAGATGCCAGGCTCGAGGGGGTAACAGCACCCGGGGTGGGGGAGAAGACCCCCGTCTAGGGCACTGGCCCGCCAGCGGAACTGCCCTTCTGAAGGGGCCTTGTTTGGCACCACGTGCTGGCGCTGGGACTTCCCTTGGTCACCTTCTGCCATGTGGGGTGGTGAGTGGTGCCGAGTTAGCTCTCGGTCACTGCTGCTTCCCACTGTCCTCTGGTCTCCAAACTGGAAACTGAGCCACAGTCTGCAGGGAGTGGTCACGTCTGTCACCACCCTCCTCTGAAACCCACCCCCGCGCCCGTCGTCCCGACCAGAAGCCAGGTGTGCCGCTCACAAACATCACGGAGACCAGACGCCTCCGCCCGTGCGGCCTTTCCGACACAGTCCCCAGGTCACCGAAGGTGACAATGGTGAACTGATGGCATGTGCACAGAAGTCACACCTTTAATGAAAAATACCGTGTTTTTAAAAACTCCATTTAGTTTGAGGAGGGGCACCGTTTCATATTTTTGCAAATCTCTTGAAAGCCTGCCTTAGAGCAGAGGGCTGGATTCTCCTCCCTGGTTCTGCCTCCAGTCCCTTGTCAGTGTCGTTTGGTTAAAGCACACGAAGAAATTCTGGCCTCACTCAGATATGTGTGTGGAAAGGGAAGAATATTTAATAGCCTTGAACTTGACAACTAGTTTTGTCCAGATTTTTAAAAATTGGTTTTTAGAGAGAGAAGGAGAGAGAAATATTCATGAGAGAGAAGCATCAATCTGCTGCCTCCTGCATGCCCCCCACCAGGGAGAGAGCCCACAATCTGGGCATGTGCCCTGACCGGGAACTGAACCGGCGACCTCCCCTTGCATGGGACAACGCTCAGTCCACTGAGCCACAGCAGCCAGGGTGACAAGTAGTTTCTTAACACTTGTAATGTGGGACAAGGATGAATATTAATGAGCTAACTGTGACACGGAAACCACAGGTCTTTCTTCCATTCTGGCGACTCTCACCGTGCATGACTTTGGGACGTGATGTGTTCATCATTAGGAAACTTTTGACTCACTGAGTCATGCAGATCTTCCAAATGTTGACATATTCCACAAGATTAAAAAAAAATCACACTTATGCCCTGGCTGGGTGGCTCAGTGGGTTAGAGTGTCGTCCCATATACCAAGGGAGTGGGGTTCAATCCCTGGTCAGGGCACATATAAGTGAAACAGCAGATTGATGCTTCTCTCTCTTACCCCCCCAACCAATTTAAAAATCACATTTATTAATATCTCCATGGGGATATCAGAAAAACTTCTAAGTATTGGGAGAGCTGTCAAACTCATAGTAGCAGACACAGTTCCAAAAGTCCTGCTTTTTGCTTGAAAGCCTAAATTTTATTTTCAAGAACATGATACTGTCCATCGTTTTTCTTTGAGTGACAGGCTCAGTCTGTTCCCTGTCCATCAGACACGCACCTGAGAACCACAGGCTGTCATTCTGCCGAGTAAACTGCTGTCCCAGAGCGCAGTGGCCTCGCCGGCGGCCACGGGGAATCCCGGGTGCTCCCACATGGCCTGCGCTCACCCTGGGCTCTGCTCCCTCCTCTCTGAGCGCTGCTAGGCATCCACTCGGAGCTGCAGTGCATAGGACTCAGACTTCTCGGCTCCATTGGTTCTCAAGCGATTCCTAGAATCTGGTGGAGTCTGGGGCCTCCGCCTTCCCCGGGGGGCTGAGGCCCGGCGGTTTCCTTCCCCATGTGCTGTACATGTGCAAACCCGCACAGGAAAGACACGCTACCCTGGGTATACGAGTGGGTGGCCGAGGGGACGCTCCCCAGTCGGGGAGCCCAGTGACAGACACTTGGGAACTGCTGCCCCAGAGGAAATCTCTGTGGGATGTGGGCGTTCTGTTTTGTTTTGGTGATAACTGACAACGGGAATAACTGAATGTCCCCACCAGGACAGAGAAACAAGTCTCCCGTTCATAGGGTGCACGGCTGTGAGGCAGTGAAAACGAACGACCTAGAACTCCAGGTGCCAGCACACACACACACACACACACACACACACACCCCTGTATACATGCATGCACACTGCACACATGTACACATGCATGCACACATGGCACACACGCACACACCTGTATACATGCACGCACGTGCACACACCTGTATACATACATTCACAGTGCGCACATATACACATGCATGCACACATGGGCACATGCACACACATACCTGTATACATGCATGCACACGGCACACGTGTACACATGCATGCATACACGGGCACACACATGCATGACGCATAGAATGTGCTCAGTGTTGGTTCTGACAGACACTGCAGAGAGGTCTTTCATTTTCAACAGTTTTACTTTATACATGTGTGTTTTTATTAGACGGGGTGAAGGTTGTTGAGATGCAAATGATAAATAATCCTCAATGTAAATCATGTAAATATAAAGTACCAAGTTCTATAATTTTATTGATTATTGTAAGATAAAGTTAAAAAAAGAAAGGAAAAACAGGAGAAAGCCCCCGAGTCCCAGCACCCACAGGGTTTGGGGGCGCTCGTCCTCAGCGGACAGTGTGACCCACTCTGTCCCCTTCTGGCTTCAAGGGCTCCCCCACTGGAGCAGCGGGTCGGAGTCTTGGTCAGCTCTCCTGTTTCATGCAAGAGAAGGGTCATTATGAACTGAGATGTCAAGAAGATACTATACTTATCAAACTAAAAAGAAGTTCCTTCTCCCCCTGATTCTTCATGATGTGTGTTTCTACCTGGTTCTGGTAAGTATATTCCCTAATAATTAATGTCATTTTTATTTTTTAGGTCGACCTCATCAACAGCTTCCAACAAGAACATGAGGATCTTACCAATCAAATGCAGGTGGGTTTGGAAGTCAGCTTCTGGCTAAGCCGAGGGAGCCTGCACGGCACTGGGGGACGGGCTCCGGTGGCGCCGGGCGCCCTGGCGCGGACTGGCTGGCAGAAATGAGCTCTCCAGTCTGGGGGGGACTGCCCAGGCCTGCAGGTGGCGCTCTGAGGTCCCGTTGGAGCGCGGGCGCTATGAGAGCAGGAGCTCAGCCCGCCGCCCATGCACTTTCTGCTCTGTGGAGCTGAACGGAGCGGACCGAGTGTTTCTAACGTGAGTGCGCCCCCACTGCCATCACGTGCCCACCCCCACGCTCACCTGGGGATCATTTCCTTCCTCTTGTTCTTGCGATCAAACTCACTGTCTAATGAAGTCATTTCTTTTTAAAGTCCATTTTTCTGGATAAAAATTAATGTGGCAATAAACTACATTCACTTGTAATAAACAGACGGTAACTAGAATATACATGTAGTAGAAACACATCCGTGTCGCTCATCCTCTCTGTTTTCCTGCCGGACAAGTCTCTGACTGATGCTCAGTCCACGACTCACTCTTTCCGTCTTGGTTATGAGGGAGGTGGGTAGACAGAGGCGGTCAAGGCCTGTGAGCACTGGATGGAGACTCCCCTTCAATGACTTCAGAGAGAGCAGGGTGTCTCCTCACTCATTCAACAACCATCGCTGTGTACCACAGCACAGGTGTGAGCACACAGAGTACAGGTGTCAACACACATAGGACAGGTGTCAGCACACACACAGGACAGGTGTAAGCACACAGAGCACAGGTGTGAGCACACAGAGGACAGATGTGAGCACAGGTGTGAGCACACAGAGCACAGGTGTGAGCACAGAGCACAGGTGTGAGCACAGAGCACAGGTGTGAGCACATACAAGGCAGGTGTCAGCACACACACAGGACAGGTGTCAGCATACAGAGCACAGGTGTAAACATAGAGCACAGTTGTGAGCACACAGAGCACAGGGGTCGGCACACGGGACAGGTGTGAGCACACACAGGACAGGTGTTGGCACACAGAGTGCAGGTGCCCGCACAGAGTACAGGTGTCAACACACAGAGGACAGGTGTGAGCACATACAAGACAGGTGTCAGCACACACACAGGACAGGTGTTGGCACACAGAGCACAGGTGTCGGCACACAGAGCGCAGGTGTCAGCACACACAGGACAGGTGTCAGCAAACACAGGGCAGGTGTCAGCACACAGAGTGCAGGTGTCGGCACACACAGGACAGGTGTGAGCACACACAGGACAGGTGTCGGCACACACAGAGCGTAGGTGTCGGCACACACAGGACAGGTATCGGCACATAGAGTGCAGGTGTGAGCACACATGTGACAGATGTGAGCACACACAGAGCACAGGTGTGAGCACACACAGGACAGGTGTCAGCACACAGGACAGGTGTTGGCACACAGTGCAGGTGTCAACACACACAGGACAGGTGTCAGCACTAACAGAGGGCAGGTGTCAGCACACTGGGCAGTAAAATCTGTGCCGTCTCTGCAACCCCAAAACGATCTCATAGCTCAGGATCGTGGGGCGCCTGTGCAAGCTTAGGGGGGCCTCTGTAAGAGAACAGGCGCATCTCATTCCTAAGCACCGGAGGCCGTGGTGAGGATGAGAGAGGACGTGTCACAGGCAGCCCAGCGCCTGCCAGCATCACCCCTTCCTAAATGCTGACACTGTCATCTCCAGGGAGACAGCCACCGGCCTCTACGGCGATCCAAGAGAAGATGGGTTGTCACCACCTTGGAGCTGGAGGAGGAAGACCCAGGACCCTTCCCGAAGTTTGTTGGAGAGGTACGGCGGCTGCTCTTGGGGGAGGCCACCTTCGTCCCCACCAGCAGGCCCCTCTGCAGGAGGGTGGAGGCACAGGGCCCTGTGCCAGTGAGGCCAGGGACCGGGGCAGGAGGGACACCTGCCTTTGCCCGCTGGGTGCTGCTCCACGGGGCGTCACTGAGAAAGTCAGGGTCATATGGCAACAGGCTGGCGAATTCCAGCCTGCAGGCCTGACTTATTTGGCCGACGAGGAGTCTTTAAAAAATATATATATTATTTAAAAATGAGATGTGGTTACAAGAAGCTGGGGGTAAGGGGACAAGTGACACTAAATGAGACAGGGAAGCAGAACAGTGGCTGCTGAAGGCCGGTGGGGCGGACGTCACGGGTGAGTGTCTGATGGGGCCGAGTGGCAGCTTTGCAAGGTGAGGGGCCTCTGGAGATGCCCGTGCTGATGGCGCACAGTATGGACACATGATGCCGCGGACTCTACACCGAGAGGTGGTTAAGATAGTACTTTCTGTGCTGCTATTTTATCACAATAAAAAGTTAGAAAAAACAGGGAGAATGTATTAAAAGTTCTGTCTTCTAGATCTTCTAAACACTAAGACCCGACCCTATGGAGCCCATTCTCACAGCAACGAGATGAGGCTTGAGGAACCCGAAGGCCCCGGTGCCCACCACCCCCGACTTCTCCTTCACTCTGAAGTGCCACAGACCCGGCGATGCTGGGATGCCAGGGGCTCACTCTTGGCCTACCCGCTTATACCCACCACGTCCTGGCCCCTGGTTACAAGTGCAGACCCCCGAGTCGCTCAGGGGGTCGTGTTCCAGGCGTAGCACACCCTAACTCCTGAGGCCCCACACTTCCTGACCGGTACAGCGGGTCAATGACAGTGCCCACGGCAGCAGGTTCCACAGATCGAACTGGTCAGGACGCTGAGGCCCACGGCAGGCGGGCTGGCTCCGAGCTCTTCCACGTCAGTGGTGTGACTGTACGTGTCTTCCCCCGACGGGCAGCCAATGCACCCCTCAGACACGCCTGTGCAGCCTGCCCCTGGGGAACGTGTGAGCAGAACGGGCCGTGCCCCGCATGCCCTGTAGGCTGCCTCGTGTCACGCCTGCTCGGGGGCATCCGAGCATGGACATTGAGTCATGTGCTGTGGGACAGGGCACCATCGGACGATTCTTTCTGCGTGGATGCAGTGATATCGCTCCTGACTTCTAACGTCAGTCAACGTGTCCCTTGTCCCTGCGTCTTGGTTGATGTGCTATTTTTCAGGCAAACCGTCCGATGTGCAATTGTTGGGTGTAGTTGCTCACCAGTGCCTGGAGTCTCAGCCTTGGTCAATGACACGCAAAGTGGTTGATGCTCACTCTCCTGTTTTCTTCATTTTCTCTCCTTCCAGCTACTCAATAATATGTCTGACAACACATCACTGATATACTTAATCAGCGGGCCCGGTGTGGATGAATATCCTGAGATTGGTTTGTTTTCCATAGAAGATCATCAGAATGGAAAAATATATGTTCACCGCCCTGTGGACCGAGAGACAACACCATCTTTCACGGTACCTAGAATTTGGCATTGTACACTCTTGCAGGAATCATGTATGTGGTGAGCATTCCTCGGCTGAGTGCCAGGCTCTGGGAGATGGGTGTGTTATTACACACCCAGACAAGTGCCACTTGTGTCAGCACACAGGACAGGTGTCGGCACAGAGCACAGGTGTCAGCACTAACAGAGGGCAGGTGTCAGCACACACAGGACAGGTGTCAGCACACAGGGCAGGTGTCAGCACACAGAAAGCAAGTGTTGGCACACACAAGGCAGGTGTCAGCACACAGGCCAGGTGTTGGCACACAGAAGGCAGGTGTCAGCACACGCAGGACAGGTGTCAGCACACAGGGCAGGTGTCAGCACACAGAGAGCAAGTGTTGGCACACACAAGGCAGGTGTCAGCACACAGGCCAGGTGTCGGCACACAGAGGGCAGGTGTCAGCACACGCAGGACAGAGCACATGCAGGGCGGGTGTTGGCACACAGGGCAGGTGTGTTATTACACACCGTGGCAGGCTTTAGAAGTGCGCACAGGGCCCGGAGGTAGTTTTGTAGTCTTCAGGCTGGATCTGGGCTTTGTAATGATGTCTGCAGTCTACGTGAACTGCTACCCCCTGCCTGCTGCTGACCAGCATCCCAATGTATCTGGGTCTCCGGCGGCATCAAATGGGCAAATTTGTTCTTTGAGGAGTCACAGCTGAACTCGATGGGGACAAACAGACCCCCACGCCGGGTTGCCTAATAGCGGATGAGTGAAGAAATGCCCACCGAGCAAGTCTCCAGGAATTCTCGGGCCTTCATCACCCCAGCACCGTGGTCTACTGTGAAGTTAAAATTCAGGTTCTAGCCCACGAAAGGCAATTAGAAATGAGAATGCTGAACCATGAGGGGGTGGGTCACGGTACTGCCCAACCTGTGGGAGGGTCTCAGGAAGTCGTCTTGTTTTGTTTTGCCTTCTGCTGAAAACTGGGCTTGGTCCTCCGCCTGCCTGGCTGCATGTTGACTCCCGTGGGGTGGGAAGACGGTAACGTGAGAGAGAAATGATGTATGGAGCTGTTCCTCAGCACCCCCGGGGTTCTTTGCATCGAGGTTTCCGGCCGTGCTCAGCCTCCCCGGCCATGTGAGCACTGCTCAGTTGTCTTTCACGTGGGTTTCTGCAATGGCTCGCTGGTTGGTCCGTCTACCTGACCATAAACTTCCAGATGCAGCATGGGAAGGGGGGCGTGTCCCACCCATGACTGTCCCGTCACTCTCCCCGATTCTTGGCATCCCATGAAATGTAAACTTCTGCATCTGTGTCTTCTGAGGGTATCTAGTTGAGTCTGGATGACCAGGTGCATGCAGATTTAACCGCTCATCATACCTTCCTCCTCAGTTGAGCCTTCATGACTCTGATATGTGCATTTTTACCTCTAGGAAGACTTCTTGCCTTCAAGTTTGCTATTTTGATATTTGTAGCTAGATGACTAGGTGAGCTTCTTTTGGTTAGTCTCTGAAAATCAGTCTGTTATCTGTCTATCCATCCAACGTCCGTCCTTCCATCCATCGTCCCTCCACCCCTCCATCTTCTAAGGAAGCACCTTTACTCTGCGTACTCTGTACCCTGTTTGAGGTGTGTCTCCGCTAAGTGGCGCGGAGCTGTCGTGAACCTGTCTTCAGTTAGGATACTCAGTGCGGTGTCCCCCACACGATCGGACCTAGTTCCTAGCTGTGTTAACCAGGCACCTGTGTTCTCCTTGCTCCTCGGTCCTGGCGCATTTCCTCTCCTGACCTATATTCTTTCAAATCATTTTCCATTATTCATTTTCCTTCTCTAGTACTTATACATTCTTTTATTATTCACTTAATGATTACTCTAGCAATTACAACATTCATTCTTCACTTATTAGGTTTGTGAGTAGTTTTATAATTTCTTGGACAATATGCAAAACCCTTAATTATGTTTACTGCTTCCACATGTTAGGTATTTTACTTTTCACATTTATGTGCAATAAAATGTGTACTTTTTGGTGTCCAGCTCTGACATGTGTAGTGCATGTCATCTGCACAACCATGTGATGGAGCAGCTCCGTCACCCCCAGTGTTTCTCTGTGCTTCTCCTTTGCAATCAGACTCTCCCCAACCCTGCCCTGGAAGCACCCATCTGCCCTCTGCCCCAAGTCTGCCGCGTTTAGAATGTCCTATGTGGGCACCACACAGAAGTTGTTTGCTTAGCAAACACCTGAGATTCCCCCAAGCTGCTTTGAGCGCTGGTGGCTGCTCCTTGTCCCTGCCCAGGAGCATTTCCCTGGCTGATGTGCAACAATGTATCGACTCAGCAGTTAGGGGCACCTGAGTTCTTTCCAGTCTGGGGAGATCCCAAAGGTGCTATAAGCATATGGGGTTTTGAGTACGTTTTCACTTCTTTGGGGTAAAAACCTAGGAGTCAGCGTGCTGGCCCCTATGATCAGTGTGTCTGACTGTGTGTGAAACCCCTGCGCGGTCCTGCAGGGACGAGCTCATCTGCACCCTCACGGCAGGTCTGGTGTCCTGCGTGGCCACCAGCTTTCTCGGCTCGGCCGTCCCAACAGGCGAGCAGAGGTATCTCACTGCGGTTTGTTTGCTGTTCTCTGACGTCAAAAGGTGATTCATTCCCACACGTGATCTTTGGAGCAGTGTCCGTCCAAAACCCGTGTCTATTTTTAACAACTGAAAATCAATTTCAGGAAGGTCACAGGAAATAAAGTTAATATATAAAAATGATTGGATTTCTACATACCAGCTATGAATAATCAGAAATCAAGATGTTAAAAACAGTATCATTTACCTCATCTCTAAAACAAATGGAGCGCATAGGTACAACCCTAAAATAGGTGTGGGATCTGTTTAATCAAAATACAACACACGGATGGAAGAAATCAAAGGCCCGGCTGAATAAGCAGGCAACGGTGCTTAGGGACTGCAAGGCTGTACCGAGACAATTCTTCCCAAATTGCTCTGTAAATGCAGTGCATGCCTGATCACAAGACGAAGAATTTTTATGGATACCAGGCAAACTAGCATTCGGTTTCACTGACTTCACTGTTATTTTTATTGATGTGCGCTTTTATCTTTAATATTTCCTTCTTTCTGTTTGACTTTGATCTGCTTTTTACATTTCTTTTTAGCTTCTTAAACTAAAGATAGAAGCTTAACATACTGATTTGAGATCTCTGAAAGAGAAGGCTGGTCACCTGCACGTCTGAGATGAATTGCCTCTCTTACAGAAGGGCAGTGACCACGTCGGAACCCAGCATCTGTGCACAGCGGGGCTAGCTACCTTAAATGCTCGCTTTCCCCAGACTTCTCAGCGGCCGCTCGGAGACACTTCAGCAGTAGTCACTAATGTGTGCCTTTCCCAGGACAACAGATGGGCACAGAGGCTGCAGCCATAGCCACCTGCGTTTCTCGGGTGGAGAAATGGAGACTTGAACCTAAACACTAGAGATATTTTCTGTAGTCACTGCACTGATTTGCTTTACCCACGTCCACCGAGCACCCAGCACGCCAGCACTGCGTGCAGCCCCGGGACCACCCGCTGGATGAGCAGCGACACCTGCCCTTGCCCGCCAGCCTGGCGGCGGAGACAGCAGATGCAGTTATGCAGCCGTCGGTTACCTGATTAGGGTCGCCACGTTGATGCTTCTGTGACATTAACACATGTCTCTGCCTCCCAGGTTCATTTCGATGTTGTGAATCGCTTGACAGGAGAGATCATGGACAACTCCTTGATCTTCAACATCAAGATCACTGACGTGAATGACCACGCACCCCAGTTCACTGAGAAGGAGTTCAACGTCAGCGTGAGAGCGAGCCATGAAGCAGGTGTGTGCACAGCCGGCTTCCGCCCTGTCCCCTGCAGGCTCTCCTGCCCGACAGGGTGGGGCACCTCCTCCTAATTGTCTTCAGGGAGGCAGTTCACTGTCCATGCCCCGAAGGGCCGGGCCCTGGGTCAGGGGCTCATTTCACGTTTGGCAAAACAACGATGTGGAGTTGAGTCTGTTGGAAGAGCTGATGTGTAAACACCAATCAGGAGTAAGCTCCGTGCAGCGAGGGGAAAGGCAGAGCTGGGTGGAGAGTTCCTGAATAGTGCTGTGAACTTCTCCCCTGTAAGATGACGTGTGTTTTCTGAGCTAGTTTCTGTGAGTCTTCAAAGCCAAACCATGCCTACTAGATAGAATATGCGTCTATTTTAATAACAAAAAGCATTATCTTTTTTTACTGATATGAGAGAGAGGAAGGGAGAGGGAGAAAAACAGATGAGAGAGAATATCGACTGGCCGCCTCCTGCACGCCCCCTACTGGGGATCAGGCCCACAACCTGGGCACGTGCCCTGATCAGGAATTGAACTGGTGACCTCTTGGTGCATGGGTTGATGCTCCACTGAGCCACACCGGCGGGGCACAAAAAGCATTATTTAGTTTGTAAAACAGTCTTTAGAAAACTTGGAAAATTCCAAGAAACAAAGACCAAAATAGAAAGGGTCTTTAATGCTATCAATTGGATAATGCCATCTCTGTTCTGGTTTGTATTGTCAGTATTATCCTTTGCCTTTTATGTGTGTGTATACACATACTGTATATTTGTGTGTGTATAGTCACTGACTTTTATATATAACTCCAAATGTGTATTTGCATATGCACATACATTTTAAAAATCATCCTAGGAAAAATGTCTGTATGTGGATATTAAATATTCACCAAGACATGGGCATGCTTTTTACATGTGTGTATTTTTGAATCTTCTGTTTGTCATTTAAGAGAATCCTACAGCATTTGGTAGTGAAATATTTTATTTTAGGCATGTGTTTTAAGGTACTTCACTAATCTCCTGTTGTTGGACATTTATGCTTTGTTGCCGCTTCCTGCTATTTTCATAAAATTTGCTCCCCTGAACACATCTGAGCTTCAGCTGTCCCATCACTTGGCAGGCTGAGAAGCAGGGTTGCTCATAAGAACTGCACCCACGGTTTGGGTTCTAGTGTGCTCGTCCACCAGCCGCGCCTGGAGGGCTCACCTTGTCCATGGGGTGCCCCAGCGCCCGTTCCTCTTCCCTCGCTCGCCCCTTTCTTTGTCCACCTCTGTTCGTGTGTTTCTCCTGTCTCTTGGATTTTAACCTCCCCCTTCTATGTTAAGAGAATGTCTAAGTCTACCTTATACACATCAAGTGTGTTCTCCTGGGTTATCATTTCCTTTTCGTCCGTGGGGTTTTTTTTGGCCACACATTAAAAACCTACCTGTTGACTCTGTCCTTTATGTCGTCTGCAGTCATGACCTTATGACTGTGGAAATAGTCCTCTCTATTTTCTCTGGTACACTGGTTTAACTTTATATGTAGATACTCCCACTATTCTGATGTATGCCCAGTACGTCAGCAAAGCATCACCCTCCTACTGGTTCAACCGGCTGCCTTTGGCCAATAGTAACAGTGAAAAATATTCTTTCCAGGTCAACCTATTTTTCAGATGTCAACAGTTGATTTGGACCAAGAAAACACTCCAAATTCTCGAGTCCTCTACTCCCTTGTTTCTCAAACGCCGTTACTGAAGGAAAGTGGATTCAAGATCGACCGCGACAGCGGAGAAATCTGGCTCTCGGGATGCCCCGAGTATGAGGTTACGTGGACCTGACTTTCTCATTGAGCTGCGTTCTGTCTCCAAGCCCAGCACTGCACTGACCTCTGCAGCGCAAAACCCTCCGCTGGACTTGCTCCTAAAACTGGTAAAATGGAATCTTTCTCTGTTAACACCCCTTTCCTTCCCCCACAGACTGCTCCTCAGTTCACACTACTGATCAGAGCGAGGGACTGCGGGGACCCACCGCTGTCGGCCACGGCCACGGTTCACGTCCACGTGCAGGAAGGCAACCACCACAGGCCCACGTTCACCCAGGACAATGTAAGCCCCGGCTGCCTCCAGATCCCAGTCCAACTGACAGCCCGAGTCCTGGGCGAGTCCTCCTGGGGGAGCCCCCATATCACCCCACATCCTCGCTGTCCTCCAGAACGTAAGCTAGTCCCGAAGTGACCGTGCGGGCCGAGAACCACCTGCCGTCGCCCGATGAGCCTGCACCTCTCACCGCTCTGGGCCAGCAGATGTGCTCAGAATCTCCTGCATCTGCCCCCCGCACTGGGGGAACCGCCGTGATGGCCCCACGGCCGGACACGCGGCCCGGGGGTCAGGGGCTCCACGTTCACGGGCACCAGGCTCTCTCACAGCCACACTGCTGTTTGGGGACGGGGACTTTTCACTGGTGGGGAGGGGGCTGCCCAGCGTATTGTAGGATGTTTAGCTGCAACCCTGACCTCTACCCACAAGATGCCAGCAGTCCCCCCGAGTCACGACAACCAAACACATCTGCAGACATCGCCACATGTTCCCTGGGGCGGAACTGCCCCGGGGGGAAATCTAGACCTGGGCTTTCCCCACAGGTTCAGGGCCACAGGACAGGAGCGACCAGCGGGTGGGCTCTGGCCCGGCCATGTCACCTGGCTCATTATCAGTCCACACAGGGTGTCAGGCACTGCACGACCCCTGGGCCAGATGTGCGACACCCACTGCCCCAGGCTGTGTGGAAACACTGCACTGGAGACAGGACAGTGAAAAGCACTCAGGACCTGTCTTCCACCTTCTCATTTTCTACTCTTCTGTCTGGAGTTTAAAGTGAAATATCCACTGTCTTTCTCCTGGCCCCTCCCTGCACACGAGGACACACACTCGACCCTTCGCCCCGGGGTGGTGTTTGTATGCCTTGCTCACAGCACCTGAAACAGAACCTGGTACATAAATAAAGGCTACAGATCATTATTATTATTTTTTAAAGTGTCATTTAAAAGAATTAAAAAATGGTGTGAACCAAGGCTGGAACACTTCCCGTGAAAGCAGCCCCCCAACAGTGCAGCATGGCTGAAAAGCAACGTGGGTCACGTGCAAGCCTTGTTCCTGGGTCCCCTGCAGCTCCGCGAACGCCGTGCTCCCCAAAGCGTGCTGCAGAGCACAGCCCTGGTATTCGGCTGTGCCGTCCAGAGGAACCGTCTTGTCCCCGAAGTGTTACGTAGCCACCTAGTCTAAAGATCTGTGTGAGGACTGACCGAGGGAGCCCCGGCGGGGAGCTAGGGTTCGGGGGCAGCATGAGCTAGGCAGTGTCATCGTTGAACTTCTTAGAGAAACGGCGCTCCGTGTGGGCTGCAGAGTTCCGACAGCGCCCAGCGCGGAGGGACGAGGTGCCTGCTGTCCCTGTGCTGCTGTGACAGGCTTCTCAGGCCCCCTGGGGTGGAGCCCAGCAGCCAGGGAGACAGCCAGGCTGAGGCGCGAGGGCTGACGTTCCCTCTCCGCTCTCTTTCCCTCGCGCTTCATCTCCACGACGCGGACACGACGGTGGCCCCTCAGTACCAGGTGCAGGTCCCCGAAGGCCGAGTCCGCCCCGATGTGCTGCGTCTCTCAGTCCGAGACGGCGACTCACCATTCACGTCAGCCTGGAAGGCAAAGTTCAACATATCCGATGGCAACCAAGAGGGACACTTTGACATCCTGACCGACCCCGAGACCAACGAAGGGATCTTAAATGTTATCAAGGTAAAGCCACACGGAATGCACACGGCCGGTGGCTGAAGGGCTGCGTCGGGGCCACGCCGTGTCCGAGTGCCCAGGCACCCAGTGAGGGCAGGGCTGGGCCGGACTTCTGCAGTGGGCCTCCCACCAAACTAACATTAGAAGTTACTTTTGATAAGACGTTCGGTACTTTGACATTTAATTTAATTTTTAGATAAAATTTAAGAGATTCGCAGAGGCCCTAAATGTTTTCTCTCATGATAAAGGTACTTAAAACACTTTCTCTAACCCGAGTCCATGTCTTTCGCTCTGAGTCTAAGGAAGTGAGAACGTTCCTGCAGACCCCAGCACGTGCTGGCACTCGCCTGCTGTGCCTAGAGAAGAGGTGCCCTGCCCCCCAGGCAGGGACACCAACGCCCCGAGAGGGCGGTGCTTTCGGGAAGTCACAGCTAGAGCGGGGTTCTGCTGGGGCCGTGTGACTCCAGGGCCTTGTCTTCGCTGCTCTCAGCCAGCCCCTAGGGTGCCCGCCTCTGGTGTGCAGGTGTGCAGGAGGCTGGGGTGGGGCCTGACATCCCTCCTGTCAGTGGAACAAGCTCCCAGGTGGTGGTCACACGTGACTCCACGTGTGGGAGCTGACCTGCCCACGTCCCAAGCCTCTCAGTCACTGTCCACGCAGGCTCTAAGAGCCGTGGTCGTTATGTGCATACTTCCTCTGGGTCCCCTGAGTCTGCAGCAGAGGTGCCACCTTCATGCTACTCCAGGTTCCAGTTTCAGTCTCAGTTTTCATTCCCTCCGAGGGGCGGTGGCCCTGTCCACCCAGGATGAGGGCAGGAACTGCCTAAATGACAGTGAGCTGAGCTGGTCTCGGCCACGGTCAAAGACAAAGTGAACCACCCGTGAAGCGCAGGCTCTGCAGGTCCTCTGGCCACAGGGCAGCAGGCACTGACGAAACCTCTCGCGGGGCACGCAGGCTCTGGATTACGAGGCGCACCCCACATGGAGTCTCATCGTCGCCGTGGACAACGAGGAGCCGCTCTCCCCCTGCGCACGACACACGCTCCAGGAGCCGACGGGGGCGGCGGCCAGCGTCACGGTGAGCCTGCAGGTGACGGATGCCAACGAGCCGCCGGCCTTTCACCCCGGGAGCTTCGTGGTCACCGAGGTGGAAGGCGCCAGGCCCGGGACCCCTCTGGGAAGATTCAGTGCCACGGACCCAGACAGAACCGGCGGCCAGATAAGGTGAGACGGGAGGAGGGCTGTGGAGGAAGAGCAGCCACACAGCTGCGGGCGCCCTGCGGACCCAGCCCCCGACGTGACGCCGAGGCGGGCCCTGTCCCGGTTCTGGGAATCCCAGAAGCACAGGAAGGCCCCCGGCCCAGGGTCCGCCCCTCTCCCTTCCAGCGCTCTCCAGCCAGCAGGCAGAACCCACTCGCTCGCTGCCCTCTGCCCTGAGACAGACCCGCGTTGCCCTCCCCGCCTGGAACCACCGTGCTTCCGTCTCCGCCACCAGAGGGTGGATCCTGGCGGCCCTCCGGCTTCAGGGCACCAGTGCTGTTGTTTCAGATCCTCACGCGAGGGTTTTTTCAATTTATTTTAAGACAGAGTGGGAGGGGGGGAGAGAGAGAGAGAGAGAGAGAGAGAGAGAGACACGATGTGAGAGAGACACCGACTGGCTGCCTCCCACACAACCCCGACCAGGGACCAAACCACAACCAAGGTACGTGCCCTTGACTGACGTCAAACCCGTGACTCTTTGGTCCCCAGGCCGACGCACTAACTGCTGAGCAACACCGGCCGGGGCAAGAGTGTTGTTTTTTTGTAAATCTGTGATAAAATGAATGTAACCCAAGGTTTATCCTCAACCTCTTCTCAGCGTACAGGTCAGCGGCATTGAGCATTCACACTGCAGTGTGACCGTCACCCCTCCACCCCCAGAACCCTTCTCATGGGGACACCGACACTCTGTCCCATTAAACTAGCCCCCTCCCTGCTCCCCCAGTCCCTGGCCCGCACCTTCCTACTTTCTGCCTCTATGGCGCTGACGACTCTAGGTCCCTCGTATAAATGGAATCACACTGTATTTGCCTCTTTTGTGACCGGCTTGTTTTAGTAGCATGACGCCCTCAAGGTCCACCCACAATGCAGCATGTGGAAGGATTTCCTTTCCACTGAAGGTTGAAAACACAGGGTGGGCCAAAAGTAGGCTCACAGCTGGAGCACGTGGGGCACCCACTCTCGCGTTATCATCATCTCCCACAGGAGCAGCTGTGGGCCTACTTTTGCCTACCCTGTCTGCTCTGCAGGGTAGACCGCGGTTTACTTGTCTGCTCCTCCGCCGATGGGCACTTAGCTCGTGTCCAGTTTGTGACTAATTAATGACAACATAAGGGAAAGAGGTCACAAGACAAATACGGTATGATTCCACTTATAAGAGGTGCTTCCCACAGCCAAAACCCGAGACAGAAAACCGTAAGGACGGAAGCAGATCAGTGGTCACCAGGGGCTGTGGGGGCGGGAGAGTGGGGGCTGGTGCTTAGCAGGTACAGCGTGGGCTCCACGACATGGAAAGCCACAGGGTGGGTGGTGGTGACACTGGGAGTATGTAACCTCCCTGAGCCATGCACCTGAAAATGTCACCGTTATGTGTTCTTGACCACGGTGAAAGGGGGGAAGCATTAAAAGTGAAGAGATGAGATATGACAACCCACATTGCCTGCAGGTCGACCAACGGGAGGTTTGGCATCACTGGGCCCGTGTTCCGTGATCACGCGGGCAGAGCTGGGTTACTGGGTCATGCCCATCGAGGGGCTGAGCTCAGCACTTCGTCCCAGCCGGCCGGCTTCGCTCATTTCTGGCCCATGCTTGGCCCGTGAGCACCTGAGTTTGAGATTTTTCTTTAGAAGAACGCTGCTCAACTTACACTTTGGGAAAGAACAGATTTTGTTTCTTTTAATTTCCAATTCATTGTGGAGTGATGACCTTATCAAACGTGGAAATGATCATGTGCGGGGGTCACGGCAAGGCCGACAACTGTGACCGTTTCTCAGCACGGCCCCCTCGGCTGGCCCGCGTGGTGCCGCTGCGCTCAGACTGGCACGGCCGCACAGCTGTGCGCGGTGGGCGGCAGCGGTCAGACCACAGCGCCAAGCAGACTGCTTTCTAACGCGCTCCCGGGCGACGCTGCTGGTCCGTGGGCCTGGCTCTGGGCAGACCTGGCTCGCAAGCAGGTCTCAGTAAACGTCTGTATCCTGTGGAGTCTGAAAGGGTTAGTAATGTTTTAACAAAATTAAACTCCCTTCTGACCAGTTATTCCTGCACGTAAACACCCGAGCAGTTTTCTCAAAACCCTGGGACTGAAGACAAGGGGTTAATGGTGGCCTTGGGAAACTCGGAGGGACCATAAGAAGAAAGAGATTAATGATGGCCCTGACCTCTGCTGAGGCAGATTCCTCCCTTACCTCTGAGACAGCTTGTATCAGCCCCGGCACCAATTAAGCGGCGCCAAGAGAATGTGGGGTTTTTTTTTAATGTACATTTTGTAATTTCTGTAGTTTGTGCCTATATAAGCCAGAGAACAAAGGCTCGGAGCTGAGCTCTTTTCGGCTCATTTCGGCTCAGCCCACCTGCACCCAGGCGCATGCGATAAGCCATTCTGCTCTATGCTGGCCTCGCACTGTGGATGTGACCTCCCGCCGGTCAGACCTTCTAGTCAGTCAGTCTGCTACTTGAGCCCCAATATCGCCTTTGCCAAGGTGTAAGCTGTGCACCCCTCCAGACAGAATTGGGCGGGGCCCAGGGGGCAGGTCTGTCCAGGTGTGGGCTCCGCCTTCACCCAGGGGGCAGGTCTGTCCAGGTGTGGGCTCCGCCTTCGCCCAGGGGGCAGGTCTGTCCATGTGTGGGCTCCGCCTTTGCAGGGGAGGGGGGGCTTCCCCTCACACAAGAGCTAGAGAGGCGTGTTCACCTGAGATCCGCCTTTGCCTGAGATCCGCCTTTGCCTGAGATCCGCAGGTTAACTGAGTTTCTATCGATCTGTAAATGGTATAAAACTGCTGCCCTTCCAAGGAACTTCTGGGCCTTTCTGAGTCAGAGCAGACATGGCAAAGCTCCAGTCCCTTAAAACCTCGATACGTAGACTGTTGGGGAGGGAGAGCTGCTGACCCTTTCCCATGGGAAGAGAAGGTGGGGGTACTTCCCTTCTCTGGCCCTTTGTGGGGCCTGCGGCCTTTCCAGTGCTGGCCTCTGGGTGCAGGAGGTTCTCCTGCCCCTCCCTCAGTGGGCAGCTGTGCTTGGCAATGCCACACGGGTCCACGGGTGCCATTGATCCCGACTGGTCTCAGGGAATCCAGAGCTGGGCATGCTCACCTGTTCAGGTGGCACCAGGTACACACAGGTGAGGGGACCTGGAAGTCCTTGTGGAATGACAAGAGCCCACCTGGGAGTCTGGGGGAATGGTCCTATGCTTCGGCCGTGGGGACAGGCTGGTGTCCACGCTACGTGAGCAGCACCCACAGGCAAACGAAGACTAGCTGCTCCCAGGATGGAGTGAGCTCCCTGAGGTGGACAAAGTGATGTTCAGCCCAGCAAGGGCCCCACGCTCAATACGCAGTGTATGTCACTGGGTGGTCTCCAGGCCGAGGTCCACTCCCAACTTCACCGTCCTCAGAGTCCCTAAGTGACTGATAGAGATCGTGTCCGCTGTGACGTGTTCTGACGTGAGCTCTGATACCACTTCGTAATCTTGCATGTGTTTCCTTCCTTGAGGTATGAACTGGTTCACGACCCTGCGAGCTGGGTGGCCGTGGACGAACGCTCAGGAGCAGTCGTCACCAGGCAGCAGATTGACCGGGAGTCCCCTTACGTGAATGACAGCTTCTACGTCATCATCGCACATGCTGTTGATGACGGTAAGTGTTTACCCCAAATCGGAGGAAAACTGTTTCCTTGCTCGTGAGGGACAATCACCCCCATGAGTCTTTCAGCACAAATGGGGAAAATACAAACCTGTTCATAACCGCCATGAACAATGGTGATGGTTTTGATAATTCTTGAAATGGCAAACTGGGGCCCAGTGCCGGGGAGAACAGGACAGCACCCCTGAGACCGTGAGCCCAGGAGGAAGTTGGCCGGCGGTGTGCTCAGTACTCCGCACGGCCCCATCCCTGGAATGGCTTGTGAGATGAGCTCAGCTCAGTGCCACCGCACTGGACACTCGTCCTGAAGCCGGGGCTGCTTTCACGAACGTGCTTCAACCCTTCCTCTGTGGTCCCCCCAGGCCGAAGTTCTAAACTTGTCAGAACATGAAGCAGAATAAGTAAACACTTTCAAATACCTTCAGTCACTGGGGTGAAGGACATCTGTGAGTCCAAAGCCAGGTTCCGAGGGCCGTGTAGCTGGGTGCCCGGTGTGAGAATCGGTCAGTAGGACGTTGGTTAGGAACATGGGAGTCTGTGCTGTTAGTCAGTCTAAAGCGAGAGGAGGACAGTGGGGTCTGTCTTCCAGGGACTTAGAGAAATAATGCAGTGGAACCCTGCATACCCTCTGCTGTGTCCCTGATGGTACGCATCACAACCGGCCACTGCCAAGGACATAGTCCGGAACCTGTCCACGTTCACACCATGCCCGTTGTCCTCCATCCCACCCCCTTAACATGTGTGTAAGGGAAAATATAACACTCGTGCTGATTCTACATTCTCCTGGTTCTGCAAATGGCTTGAGGTGGCGCCTGTGAACTCGTCCTGAAGGCAGATGCTCTGAGTTTGGAGAAGAGTGGCGAGCAGACGGGGCAGCTACGGCGGAGCCCAAGCCCCTGGGAACCAGCTCGGAGCTCAGGGCGGCCTCCTTCTCCCGGAGGCTGGATGCTCCTCTTCCAGGGGCGTGTGCCTGGAGCCGCCCTTTCACTGCTGAGTGACCCTTCCTGATCCCCCAGGCCACCCGCCGCAGACGGGGACGGGGACCCTGATGCTCTTCCTGTCCGACGTGAACGACAACGCCCCGACGCTCCATCCCCGCTCTCAGTACCTGGAGGTCTGTGAGTCCTCGGGGCCCGAGCCCCTCCTCGTCGAGGCGGAGGACCGCGACCTGGAGCCCTACTCGGACCCGTTCACCTTCGAACTGGACACCACCCAGGGAAACGCAGGGGACACGTGGAAACTGGGGGAGAGCAGGGGTGAGTATGTACGGGCCGGGGATAAAGGCCCAAAACGAGAGACCCGACTCAGACTCAGGCTAAAGTGACTTGTTGGCTGCTGTCGCTGAGAAAGCGCTGGGCAAGCCTGTCCCAGCAGAGCCCTGTCCATCGGCTCAGGACCGTCCCCAGACACGCCTGCTCGGACCCCGCTCGGCCTTCTCGGGCTCCTTCATTTTCAGACCGTTCTCCTCTGCGGGCCGAAGGGCACTACCGGGCGTCCCTGAGGCTCACCCCAGGACCTGGCAAGAATACTCCCGTCACTGCAGGTGTGGGTCGCCTGCCCTGCCAATCACTGTGGTGGGAGTGGGGGGGAGACACGCTCACCGGTGCTACGGAGCCCACACCTGGACCGGCTGGGATCTGGGCTTGGCCTCGCCCGACTCACGTGGGCTTCTCCAGAGGAGAATCGGGGTCTGTGACCAGGAGGGACCAGTGGCATCTGCCACCAGCACGCTCCATTGTGCTTTCTCGATGGCCCTGCAGAGGCAGCTTGCCCCAGTGGCGCTCACGGGCAGGCCAGCCGAGCATGTGGCAGAGCGCTGCGTACCGCCCCTGGACAGAGGCCTGGCCCGGCTTGGGTGCTGCAGGCGCATCTCCAAGCCCGTGGGACATCCTTCTCGACAAAGGTTTACCCGGGGTCTTGTGCCAATCAGCAGGAACAGTGTGGCTTTGGGTCATGTGGGCACCCAACCAGGCTATGGGACCAAGTCCTGATAAGGACTCTGGATGCCAGGCTCAGGTGGCTTCCCTGGTTGGCAATGTTCTGAGTGTTTCACTCATCAGTGCCAGGAGGTAACGCTGCCCTGACTCCACATCTCTGGACTCTGCCATGCGTGTTTCTTCCCATGGCCGACTGGTCTGGGAGCAGCAATGGTAGCTGATGTGGGCAGTGCGGGTGGTGTTGGCGACGGCCCTCTATCTCTGCAGTCGGCCGACTGGTCTGGGAGCAGCAATGGTAGCTGATGTGGGCAGTGCGGGTGGTGTTGGTGACGGCCCTCTATCTCTGCAGTCGGCCGACTGGTCTGGGAGCAGCAATCACAGCTGATGTGGGCAGTGCGGGTGGTGTTGGTGATGGCCCTCTATCTCTGCAGTCGGCCGACTGGTCTGGGAGCAGCAATCGTAGCTGATGTGGGCAGTGCGGGTGGTGTCGGCGATGGCCCTCTATCTCTGCAGTCGGCCGACTGGTCTGGGAGCAGCAATGGTAGCTGATGTGGGCAGTGCGGGTGGTGTCGGCCACGGCCCTCTATCTCTGCAGTCGGCCGACTTTCATCCAAAACTTGGCACACGGGAGGCGTTTGTAAATGTCTGCTGAGTAGACGAGCGAGGGAGTCGATGCGTTCATGACCCTGTTCCCTTTGCAGGTTGGTCGGTTGAACTTTTAATGCTGAGAAGCCTGCCCCCTGGTGATTACTCAGTGCCGCTTGTCATCGGAGACAGACAGGGGCTCTCCCAGAAACAGAGTGTCCGCGTGAGGGTCTGTTCCTGTCCCGGCGGATCCACGTGTGCAGCAGAGCAGTCGGCCGCGGGGCTGGAGCTCCCTGCTCTGCTCTTCGCAGTGTTCACGGCTCTGGCAGGTCAGCGGTCCAGGGATGTCCAGGCCGTGAGCCAGGGGAGGAGCCCTCTGGAGTGGGGAGCAGGTGACGGCAGAGAGCGGCGGGCTGTCTAGAGAATGACCTGGGTGGGGGCCCAGATCAAAGGTCGCCGACCTGGTCAGACATGCTGTCTGGCAAAAGTGGTTTCTGTTCTGTAAGCAATGATCTACAGAGATGGAACCACAGACAGCCTGTCACAGGGTGACCCTGATGTCACAGTAACTCCAAGGCAGCAATAAGCATGTCTGTGTGGGCTCCCGGGCTTGGGAAAGGTGAAGAAGGAAGCTAGATTCTCAAAAAACACAATATTCCTAGTCACATGGTATTAGTCAACCATGTCAACAGTTACCTGGCACCTGTGCCACGGGCTGTGCTAAGCTCTGCAGCTACAAAGATAACCAAGGCACCCTCTGCCCATCAAGGCACCCGCTGCCTGTTAGGGTACCCTCTGCCCATAAGGCACCCGCTGCTCGCCGCTCACGGCTGAGCTACAAGTTAACAGATGTGACCCGGATGAAGCCTCTGATGCAGACGAGCTCGTTTCACTCACTCGCTGGTTTGTCTCATCACAGCTGCTCTGCTCCTCCTGCTGTACCGCGCTTGTGCGTCTGCAGCCAGGAGGCGCCGCCGCCCCTACCGGCGAGACGAAGGCCAGCAGACCCTGATCAAGTACAACGACGAGAGCAGGGCCCACGAAGCCCAGGTAGTGAAACCAAGCGCCATGCATTTCACAATGACATCGGCAATAAACATACACTTTCCCACCCGCTGTGCCCGCCTCCCGTCTTCACCCTCACTCACATTTGCGCAGCAGAAGGGGGAAAGCACTCCTGAAAAAGTTGTCCAACTTCACTAAACTGACTTCTCGTTTTAGGTCAGTGGGTCTCCACTGGGGCGGTTTTGCCCCCCAGGGAACATTGGGCAAAGTCTGGAGACAATTCTGAGGCTCACAACTCGGCTCGGGTGGGGAGAGGATGCTTCTGGTACCTAGTGGGTGGAGCCCAGGGACTGTGCTGACATCCAGCACCCAGGACGCCCCACAACAGAGAAGGGCGTGGCCCATGAGCCAGCAGTGCCAAAGCGGAGAAACCTTGTTTAGGGGAAAAGTGGTTTTTACCAGGTACGGTTTCTCTCTACGAACAATGTGCTGGGCTCACTAAGTAAACGAGTCCACTTGGGTTTCTCCCAAGGCCTGGGCTGGAGTGAGGCAGAACCACACCCCCATCCCCGAGGGCAGATGCTGAGAGTTACTAATCCGCCTTAAGGCTTTTCAGCTTGTTAGCTTCGCCATGTTGAGCAAATGGCCCTGGTCAAGGTCCAGCTGTGGGAGGGACGAAAGCCCCATGCAGGACAAGGGGCCTGTCTTCTTCTGGTACCGAGACAGCCTTCCCCTGTCTCTTAACGCCCCCCCCCCTTTCTGCCAAGGTTATCTTTAGGGCTCTGAGAACGGGGGACACAACCAACCCGGGTTGAGGTGACAACACTGTGGTGTAGCTACATCATCTAAGTGACCCTGACTCTCCTAGATACAGTGAGATTAGCAATGTTCTCTCCCTGCCTCAAATTCACTGGACGACGGACCCAAGTCACAAAACACACACGTGAAATCTTGAGCACGGACTCGGGGCCGCCAATGTTAGTATCGCTGACCGGAAGGGCTCGTTGTGTCTTCGTGACCACTGGTAAGTGAAGCCCCTTCCCCGTGACCCATCTCACGGACCGCACCTGCCGACACCTGCGCACACGCACCTGGACCGTCCGTGCTGGGGCGGCCTCGCCTCACCCGCGCAGCCGCCGTGGACTCCGCCCCCTGTCGACCGCAACAGCCGGCCGCGTGCTCCACCCGCAAACAGGGCAGGAAGGGAGGGTTGCAAAGCCACAGCTCGGACTTCGAGAGCCACGCACGTGCAGCCCCGACCGCCAGGGAGGAAGAGGAAGTGGCAGTCAGGGGGCGGGGCCTTGCAACCATAGAGTTCCGCTGTTACCATAGAGTTCCCCGCCGACACAGGGCATCGCAGCGCCACCTACAGGCCCTCCGGACTCCCGTCGTGGTGACGGTCTCGGCCCCTGGACGGCCGATCAAGCTGGTCGGCAAGACTGCACAGGGGCTTCGGGTCTCCAAGGGGAAGCGGGTGAGCTCTTGGAGAAGAGATCCAGCCCCCGTCAACATCGGAGCCCCCAGCGAGGACGTGATGAATGAAGAATGAATGCGACGGTGCATGCAGCCCAGCAAGGGCCTCGCGAGCCTCAGGGGGCCCCCTTGTAGAGGACGAGGCCCTGTTGAAACAAGGGCTTCTACCATCGCTGTACCTGAAACGCTGACCCAGACCCTCCACTTCCCAGCCATCAGTTGCAGAAACACCCCTGTCCCTGAACAAGTGCACTCTGATTTATGGGACAGGGGGCTTGACGTTTTCTGGGATGGCTAGATGCAGTGTTTGGGGAGATGTTCCTCCTGGCTCTGTGCCTTTATTTCTGCCGTGGGTAATTTCAGCCCTCTGTCCCACAGATGGGGTCAGAGGTCAGGGATCAGATGCCAGCCCTGCAGATCGACGCAGCGGAGGAAGGCGCCAAGCTGGGTGCTAAGGTCAGTGTGGCTGATGCGCTGCTTGGGTTCGAGCAGGGAGGTGGCTTCGTGGATGGTTTCCATGGCAGGAACACGGCGGCTGAACCTCCCCGGGGGTGCAGGCTGGCCTCTCTGCAAGGCCACTCCACACCTGTCCAGTGCCACCGTCAGGACTTGACCACGTGCACGTGCCGCTTGTACTAGTGTACTTTTAAATATTCTTCTTCAAATAGGCCTGCGTCCAAATGCAGTACATTTCTGTAGATAAGGAACTTGTATGTTTCAACTGTAAATGAAAAACCAGTTTTACTTGTATAGTAGGGAATAGACACGACGGGAAGAGGACCCAGTAATGCCAGGTAGCAGATGCTGCCTGCCAAAGGCTCGGGGTCTCTCTGTGAAAAGGGGAGACGGTGAGGCCATGCGGGCACCGGACAGAGACTTTCTCCTGATGTTGTTGTAAGGTGTCAGCGTGATAACCAGAGACGCACAGCCGAACTGTAAAGGAGCACTTATTACACCAGCGGGCTGGGGGGGCTCTCCCCAAATCTTCAGCAACCTGCCTTCTCTGTTGCTGGCTTTTAAAGGCACAAACTACAGAAAAAAACAAACAAAAAAGACAACTACATGCTTTTAGCACTTCTTTTGGCACCGTTAAGGGGGGCTGATACAGAGAAGGGGAAGAGGGGAGCTTGTTAGAGGTCAGGGCAACCATTAATCTCCTTTTTCTCCTGGTTCCTCTGAGTTTCCCAAGGCCGTCATTAACCCCTTATCTTTATAGTTTTCTTTGGGTTTCTCAAGGGCCTTATGTTTACAAGAAAGAGTCTGCCAGGGTGTGTACATGCAGTAACTGAGGGTCTGATGGAGTCATTACAATGTCACTGGGAGGAGGGATGAGGAATTGGAAAGGGAATTATTTTCTCACCAGGTGAGTCCATGTCATTGACAAGTCTACTCCCAAACTGACTAACTGCCCCCTCAGGGCCTTAGTGCGGGGCTGGGAGGAGCAGGACTGCCCTTTCTCATTCATGCACAGATGTCACGCTCCGGTGGTGGCCTTCTCTCTCCTTAACCATCCGAAAGCATGCGGAGGCCAGCGGTCTGCTCCTGTACGCTCAGGACTCGCGGTGACTTCCTGCCCATGCCCTGGGCGTGCACTCTGCAAGCTGGGTCCGGCGGAACTTTTTCCAGAATCTGTGGGGGAGGACACCTTGTCTCCCCATTTACAGGGAAGGAAACCAAGGCCGTGGCTTCCATTTCTTGATGTGTCCCTGGGTTCCCTTCATGGTGTTCCGCAAATAGTGGTTGTACCTGCGGAGTCAGGCGAAGTGAACAGCCATTCACACACCTCTCCTCTGTTAAGTTGTTAAGTTGCCCCTTATGATTTATTGGGAAACCTGGTACCTTAAAATCTGCTGCAATGCATGAAGTATCTTTTTTTTTTTTAATCCTCACCCGAGGGCATTTTTGCATTTATCTTCAGATAGAGCAGAGGGAGATGGGGGAGGGGGGTCGGGGGGGGGGAGAGAAACATTATTGTGAGAGAGACACATCGACTGGCTGCCACCCACATGATCCTAACTGGGGCCGGGGACAAACTGCAACCGAGGTATGTGCCCTTAGCAGGAACCGAACCTGGGACTCTCTGGTTCGTGGGCCGACGCTGTCTCCACTGAGCCAAACCAGCCAGGGCAAAGCATGAAGTATCTTAAATAACATCATTGCCAAGGTCCATTGCCTGCTTTATTTTCTTTGACATTTTATTTCATTACTGAAGACCTCACTTCAACCTCACTCGTGTATCAGCTATTATTTTAACAACAACAAAAAAAGTCCTTTTATGACAAAAACTGTGGGGATGGGGGGTTGGTAGATGGACCATTTGTAACCTTGTGATATGCATTCTCACAACTTGGCCAGCCTAGGATCAAAGTGTGTGTGTGGACAGACAGGTTTGACTGATAGACAGGAAGACCACCTTGCTAGAATTGAATGCTTCTTTTGCATGTGAATAAGGTAAGGTTTGCATGACTATGGCTGGAACACTGCCTTGAGTGGACAAATGGGTTGTAGGACTCAAGAATGCCTGGGTTTGTTATTTTTTAGTTTTAAAGTCTCTTTCCACTGTAAAAAGGGAGAGACAAGGCTAGGCTATATGGTTTGCAGAGACACCATCTCAAGGAAATAATTGACATAAATGGGACTGCGTCCAGAGATCTGAAGCATTTGCTCCCTTGCAAAGCTCCCCCTCACTCCAAGCAGAGTGTGCTTGTAGTTCATTGCATTGCACCAATCCCAGGAGGCCGAGAGACGGCAAAAAACAAAAAGAGGTATTCAGGTCCACAGAGCCATCATCTTTATGATGGAAAACCTCTAAAAAAGAATTCAAGACCTCTATAATTTCACTGTCATGTCTTAGCCTATGTTAGAGCTAAGACAGAAATATGCTGTTCTGTTTTGCACGAAGGTGATGTCACAAACCCATCATTGCAAGGGCTGTGCATCGATAGGGTGTCCCTCTGGTCCTGGTGGGACCAGTGTCCTGGGCATGGAACCCAGTCGGTCACGCAGCACCCTGTGCTCAGAAGGGCCCTGCGCTTGGTTTAAGGCTCTGCTGTCATCATCTTGAAATTTTTAATATCGGGACAGTGGATCCCATATTCTCACTTGCACTGGGTCCTGCAATTATGTCCACTGGGTCCTAGGGGTGGAAGTACCTCATTTACAAATGTTGAGGCCATGCCCATTGCACAAAAAGACTCTTACTGAGCTTTTGTGGACCCAACACGGGGCTTGAAAATCTCATTCCTGTGCTCTGTTCCCATGAAGCAACTGTCAAGCTTGCCCATGGACCTCTGCTAGGAATACCTACACTGCTATCCTCTTAATTTCTATACCATCAGTGAGAAGGAAAACACAGTGATTGTAGGGATTTCTGGTTGTGTGCTTGCAGGGTCCCCCTTTCCTCTCTCCCACCACAGACAGGTGACAGATGACCACACTGCCCTTGATCCGACTCTCCGTCAAGGAGAGCTCAGACCGCCCTCCACCCGGATGGTGGCCCCCCATCTTCTGGCCAGGAGAGGCCATGGATGCGGAGTTTTAGGGAAGGCTCGTCAGTGGTGTTAAGACTCTACTACTTTGCTTGGCAGGTTTCCCAGGATACCATGGGGCCCAGACAAGCCCAGGGAGTGAGGGCGGGAGTGATGGCAGAGACCCTGCATCAGGTAGGACGGCTTCCCGTGTCTGCTTCCCCCCGGCCCAGGCTGGGGACCCTTCCTCCTACATCAGCGTCTCTGTCCGCCAGGACTGCACAACAGCAGACCCCAGCCGGCGGCTTAGGCAGTGGGCTGACCCCTCCCAGTGCTGGACCCGGAGGTGTGCGATGGGGTGTGCGATGGGGTGTGCGATGGGGTGTGAGATGGGGTGTGCGATGGGGTGTGAGATGGGGAGTGAGATGGGGTGTGCGATGGGGTGTGCGATGGGGTGTGCGATGGGGTGTGCGATGGGGTGTGCGATGGGGTGTGCGATGGGGTGTGCGATGGGGTGTGCGATGGGGTGTGCGATGGGGAGTGAGATGGGGTGTGCGATGGGGTGTGCGATGGGGTGTGCGATGGGGTGTGCGATGGGGTGTGAGATGGGGTGTGAGATCAGAGCGCCGGCTCGGCGGGTTCCGCTGAGAACCACTTCCTGGTTCACAGATGCTCACTTTCTCGCTGTGTCCTCACACGGCAGCGAGCGAGCTGTCTCTTCTTATAAGGGCGCTAATCCCATCCCGAGGACCCCACCCTCCTGACCTCATCTTTGCCCGATTATCTCCCAAAGGCCCCACTCCAACTACCATGAGGAGTTTGGAGGTGCAAAGCAGTGCCCGGGGTCCTCGTTCCAGGGGTTGTTTCTGCAGGACATGGCCGGGGACAGCAGTGAGCAGTCTCTGTCTGTGGAGTCATGAGGGACGTGGGTGGACGAGGCTGAGGGGTTGTTGGGTGACGACATTAGCTCCCTGGAGGGCCCCTCAGCACAGCCCCTGCGCGTCCTTGAGCCCATCAGAGCAGCGTCAGGGAAGGCCCTTGTCCCCGGTGTCCCATCTGTGAAGCAGCGTGGTGCAACCCACCACACGTCAGGAGTGATTCCTTGCACACGGCCCCTAGCACGCGGCACCTGCCTCGCCCTCGTCACGCATGTGCACTGCGTGCAGCCAGGCTTGGTGGGCGGTGCGGCCGGGATGCGGGGCCCGCCCGGCTGGGCAGGAGAGGCTGCTGGTTGGCCCAGGCCCCTCTCCTCCGAGCACCGGGCAGGCGGCCACATTTACTGGGAGTGAGCCTGGGCCCTGCACTTGCTGGGTCAGAGGAGGACAGAGGAGGGGCCTGATTCTCCCCCTCGGGAGCCTTTTACTTCGCTGGAGGTTTATGATGAATCACTGATCGTATGGGGGCTCGGAAAGTGCTGAGTCAGGTGCGGAAACCACCACTGGGCGGTCAGCCTCAGGACGCTGCTCTGGTTCCCCAGCGGGCCTGTCTGGCTCTGCACTCCAGCTCCGTCCTGAATGACCTTCTGCTGCGCCGAAGGGGCAGCGGGCCTGAGCACCTCTCCCTATCCCCCCCCATCCTGGATGGCCTCACAGTGACCACAGTCCCTGGGAGAGTGGACCCAGGCAGCGGGCAGACATATGGGCGAGGGTTCCCGGGTTCACCTGTGAGCACCAGTCAATACAGCACAGGAGATGCTTTTCTGTTAAACAGAGAGGCTCGGGGTAGCTCCAGCCAGAGGAGGCGGGCGGGGAGCAACCCCCTGGGCGAGCGGAGGTCTCGGGGCTTCTCTGCTTCCTCTTTCCAGGCCTTGCCCCACCTCCTGCCTCCTCCAGCTCCGAGAGGTTTGATTCCGAGCATCTTCATGCCCTGGGTGAGCTCACCCTGTCAGGGACCGCTGTTAGCTAGGGATGAGCTAGCGGATTGTTGCTAAACCCATTGCCACTGGGGTGCAGTCACTGGCTCAGATATACACCCCCCAGGTGTCTGGAGGTGAATAGGTGGAAGCCCTTTAACCTCGTCTGTCCAGCAGTCCATCCATCCATCCCTCCACCCATTTAGCAAGTTTTTATTGAGTCACTCAGACCAGACAAAAGCAGAGAAGTCTTCAGGGAGAGATGACCTGGTCCCTGAAGCAGGAGCTGGCGTTTGCTGGTTGGCAGGTGGGGACGGTCATTCAGGAGGGGATAGCAGGTGTCAGAGCACAGGTGGCGGAGGGATCAACCCCCAGAATAAACTCAAACGAGGGCGGGGTGGGGATGCTACCTGGGACCTGCACCACCTGTTGGCTGCCGTTTCTGAGTCCGCGGCACCTGCTGTGACAGCCGGGGACGCGAGGGACGGCCTGCCAGTCACGATGCATTGAGGCGTCCCTCCACGGAGCGGGAAGGAAAGGGGCCACGTGGGGAGAACCTGGCATTTACCTCCTCTTTCCCTGGCTTTTCTCCAGAAGCTCTGCGGCCTGGACCCACTGGCTGAGGACCCTGGGTCCCTGCCTCACATCTACGTGGAGGAGGGAGCCTGGGACCAGGCAGAGACCCTGAGCTCACTCTCCTTCTCGGAACACAGTCTGCCGTCTGACCTGATGCTCTGGCTGGGGGCCAAGGCCTGAAGAAATGCATTCCGACCTGTTTCCTCCCCAAAACTGCGTACGCCGGTCAATCAGGATAATTCCTCCCTCCCTCGCTCCCTCCCTTCCTCCCTCCTCGTCCTGGGCTCAGAATAAGCTGAGTTCAGCCACACAGGCCAGGGCTTGAGTAGCCTTTAATGAACAAATTCCAATGAGATTGTATCTTTATTTTTATTTTTGCATTTATCTTCAAATAGAGCAGGAAGGAGAGAGAGAGAAACATAGACGTGAGAGAGACACATCGACTGGCTGCCACCCACACGACCCCAACCAGGGCCGGGGACGCTCTGATAGTCACAGACCAGACCTCATGAACCAAAAGCAAAACAGCAGGTTATTAATTTTTAAACATTTGATTCCAGAGAAATGTGAACTAAATTAAACTTGAAAGTGATTCTTTGCTTCCATTAGCAGCCTAGCTCAGAGGGTGAATGAAATATGATCCATAGGTTAAGCAACGCTTGGGCCATCATAGGTGATGTTGGGGGTCGGGAGAGGAAACTAGATTTTTTCTTTTTAGTGATTATTTATATTTCTGTAATTATGATTCTGTTTCAGTTTAAGTGGGGAAAATAGGTAAATAGGGAAATATTTACTAGGAGATTTGTGATCAGTATTTTTGTGATTAAAAAATTAATAGCAATCCTTTCCAGTTCTTGAGTGCATAAATAAATAAAACATGTTATAAGAGAAATGGTTGTGCTTACAACTTTGTAAGCAGAGCGTACTTTAAAAATGAACAGACATGATTTAACTTACAGGTGTTATATAAGTAAAATAACTGAGTAGCCTTTTTTGGTTGTTGTTAATCCTCACCTAAGGATATTTTTTTCCATTGATTTTTAGAGAGAGTGGAAGGGAGGGAGGGAGGGGGGAGAGAGAGAAACATCAACGTGAGAGAGACACATGGATTGGTTGCCTCCTGCATGACCCCAACCGGGGCTGGGGATCCAACCTGCAACCCAGGTACGTGCCCTAGACCACTAATCGAACCCATGACCCTTTGGTGCTCAGACTGATGCCCTATCCACTAAAGCCACACAGGCCAGCGGTTGAGTAACCTTTAATGAACAAATTCCAATGAGATTGTATCTTTATTTTTATTTTTGTATTTATCTTCAGATAGAGCAGGAAGGAGAGAGAGAGAAACATCGACGTGAGAGAGACACATCGACTGGCTGCCACCCACACGACCCCAACCGGGGCCGGGGACGAACTGCAACTGAGGTACGTGCCCTTAGCGGGAACCGAACCCAGGACTCTCTGGTCCGTGGGCAGACCCTGTAACCGCTGAGCCAAGCCAGCCAGGGCGAGATTGTATTTTTAAACAAGACCATAAACTCTAACCGATTTTTACTTGTCCACTTACTGCTGGGGTAAGTGTGCGGAGAGGATGGTGTCTTTTAAAAATATTAAAAAGTTTTAGCCAGCAGGAAACGTGCCCTATAGCTTCCTTGCCTGAGCAATAGACAAGAGACCGGCTCAGCACAATTTTAAATGCTATCAGGACACTTCCCTGCATGGACTGTACATCTCGAAGGCGCGTTGGAATCTGAAAACTTGACATGATTAATGAGCATAATCTTTTGTGAGCGCCCTCTGGGGCTCTGGGGTGAGCCGGGAAAGTGTTCTATGAAACGACGCTTCAGGGTCTCGGGGTGGAAACCTCCCTTCTCTAAGAAGAAGCGGTGGGATTTACTGTGAAGACCCCGCGTGTTCGTCCAGCGACCTCACCTCACTCGCCATCGCTGTCGGGTCTGTGGGCCACCGATGGAGAATAACCAGGACCTGTCTCCAAGCACCGGGACGCGGGCCTGACACCACCGTGCTAACTACGCTGGGTGATCGCAGGGGCGTCTGGGCCTTTGGCAGGTGGTCTTTAGACCTTCCTGGATCTGAGGCAGGAAATGATGGCCATGGGTCGATCTGGCCCCCTGTTCGTTGTACGAATAAAGTTTTATTGGCACCCGGCCATGCTCACGTACCATTTACGTGTCACCTAGGACTGCTCTGTTGCTGTGTCAGCAGAGCTGCGCAGTCGCGACAGAGACCCTCCGTCCCCACAAAGCCAGGCGTGCCTCCCTCCGGCTCTTTGCAGAACAGAAGTGGCCGACCCTTGCGTAAGGCCTTCCTTTCGGAACCTCACGTCGTACCACACGCGTGAAGTGGGTCAGCCGCCTTACAGACATGGGCAGGTTTGAAGGAAGTTTGCTTTGGCCATGGCTGGCTCGTTGGTGGTGAAATCCTGGCCCCTGTGCCCACTGGTGAATTCCTGCCTTAGGACCTTCTCCAGCCAATGGTTTTCAAAAGTCATAAAATAAGCAGATAAAAGTTTGTGCGTGGCCAGTTTAACAATGCACAAGGAGAACCGAGTGTGACGTTTTGTAGACACTGAATTCGACACTCACTATTTTGATTTTGTTGTGGTCTTTGCGTGCCCTGGAGTCAATGTGTATACGCATTTCAGATCCTGAACATTTCCCTAGGTCTCGGGGACGGTGGTGCCAGGGGATGAGATGGCCCCGTTGGCATGTTTCTGAAGCTCACTGGGCATAGGAGACATCATTCTTTCCTCTAGATGTCCGTCTGTGTTACATAGCATCACCTTCCCCAACGGACACCTGCCCTGGACATACCTGGAGGTGGCTGGGTCTCCCCACAGGTTCATTCCCAAGTCTGTGTACCTGCCTACAAGGTTTGCATTAGAAACGTCAGCCCAGGAGGGTCTGGGGAAGCCTCAGCCACCATGGAATTTACTTGAACTTCACCGAGTCCTGGCACGGTAATGAAAGAGGCAAGGCAACCAAAATAGTAAATATTTCCCAGGAAAATGGGGTTGTATTAAGAACATCGTCTCCAAATTAGCAGTCCAAGGATAGCTGCAGTCTCGTACGCTACATGTTTGTTTTGTGCTTCATCAGTCACGGTTTTCCATCGGCTCTAACAATCCCATCGGTTCCATGGGGCTTTTCATCCGAGGTGTCTGTCCCGGTTACTTCTGCGACTTGCTGAACACCGGTGCTGTGAACGCAGTAGATTCGCAGGTGAAACGCTGACCTGGGAAACCTCCCCTGTGTCCAGTCTCCTAAAGGCATGAGGGCAGGCGACCGCCGACCTCGTCTAGTCATTGTCGCTTCTGAAATGTGTGTGTCAGAGGCCAGACGAATGTGCCGTAAGGAAGGAGGAGGAGGAGAAAGAATCCCGGGGCTACGGAAACAGGACAGGTGCGGTCATTTACCTTTTCCAGCGCAAGGACCCTGGAACTGAAGTCCGACACGAATCTGAGGCTGCAGTGACTGCGGATTGTCCTTCCCCAACAAGAGAACCCTGACTTGTCAGCCGTCCAGAACACGAGGGACACTTCCCATCCTCCCTTGCAGCCAGGTACAGCCATGTGACCAAGTCCTGGCCAATGGAAAGCAACTTCCAGGAAGTGTCCTTGAAGGATGGAGATGGGTCTGTCTCTTCCCCCTCTTCTAGTTCTGCTGGCTGGAATAAGGATATGATGGCTGGTGCTGTGGCAGCCATTCTGGACATTGGTGCATCAACAGGACAGAAAGAGTGTGGGTCTCTGACACCAAGGAGCCCCTCGGGACCAGCCCTGGGCCACCTTACTCTAGTCTCAACATGAAGGAGAACGAAATATGTCTTGTTTAAGTCACTACTGTTTTGGACTTTCTGTTTCTTGTGGCCAAATCTAATCTTAACTGACACAAAAGATAGAACCAAGAGAAACCAGCCTCAAATCGCAGAAGTGAAACGTGGCGTGGGCTCCATGCCTGTGGTCAAATACTGTGGGCTCGAGGACCGTGACCCTTATCCTGCAGGAACAAAGCCCTTGATAACAAGGGTCCCTGACGTTGTTTTTTCAAAGGCCACTCGTGTTCTAAACAAGGACGGAGGTAGAAGAAATTTATAGAAATTTATAGAAAAGCATCACTGGTCCTCGCTGCTCCTAGCAAAGCCCTGTGAGAGAGAGGCCGACTCAGGCCGCTGCCGGCCAGCGCAGGAGTGGACGGAAGGGGCCCAGCTGTGCTAATGGACACGTTCCACCTGCAGCCCGCCGTCCGAGTCCACGGAGAGCTTGGCAATCTGGAGCCTCACAGGTTGGAAAAAAGCCGCTGCAATGCCTCCCAAATGACACCTGTCCTGGTGAGCACTTAGCAGGAAAAAAAAAAAAAAAATGAGCGGCCCTTCCTGGCCATTGGTGAACCTTGCGGCAAAGCCATTTCAAGGTGTCGCCTTCCCACCCAAGCCCAGTGCTTGGAGGGCTCGAGGTGGGTGGGCACCATCGTGCTGAGAGACCGGAGGCAGCGGCCAGCCAGGGAGGCCGCGAGGAAGGGCCGGGCTGTCCCAGGACCTCCAGGTCTTCCCAGACAGGACCTCTGCACACAGACAGACCAGAAGCCTTTATTTACATTTCAGAACAAAGTGTCCTGCCAGAGAAAACCACTGCCTGGTCTGAGAAAGCCTGAGATCGTCCAACCCCAAAGCCATCCCTGGAACCCCCAACCCGGGAAACAAGAAGCTTGCAACCAGGGAGGGCTCGGCCTCTGGCACCACGCCCGTCGGGTGTGGCAGGAGATGACAGACAGACGCAAGGCAGGGCCGCGGAGGGCTGCGCTGCAGACGCGTCTTCCCGGCCCCGCCGGACTGGCCCGTGCGCGTGGCCCGTGATGCCGAGTTGACCTGAGCAGTTTTCACAGTCGGCACCCTGTCCCCACTCGTCCACCTCCTGACGGTAACGGGAACCGACACTTGTGTTCAGTTTACAGGTTGTGAGCACTGCCCGGTGAGCGGCTGTCTGAGTGGACAGGAGTCTGGGGACATGTCTACAATTCTGCCACCCACGGGGAAACTGATGATACCCCCAGGGCAAGAACAGGCTTCTGCGGACGCAGGAAGCAGGGACTTTGTGGGACGTGCCTGGACGCTCAGAAGGGGCCGCCTTTCCGGCCACGTGCCTGGCCCTTGGCTCTGCC